TGAGGGGACGTCTGAGGATCAATGTGTGACAGATGGAGGGCGTCAGCAGGGCGCGCGCGTGTGTGTGTGTTTAGTAAATGTGAAAGAGGTATTTGACCTCTAGAAATAGGAGAGCAGAGAAGAACATTTTTATTTTCTAATAAGGGAAACCTGGTCAAGAGGGCTGCTGCTATTTGGGGTTTTTCACCAACATCTCCAGGAGAGCAAAGAAAAGAAAGAGATCCTGCTGAGAGAAACACTGAGACACAGCTAAGGTGATGAAAATGATCAGACTAGTCTGAGTGACAATCACCTTCATCAGCTTCTTCTTAAACTTTGAGCTAAATAAGTCTGATAATTAAAACTGATTGAATTACACTTGAGTCCTTCTAAAACTGCTGTTTATGTGATTTCTGACATGATTTCTGACATGCATTAATCTGCAGGACAGCAGTGACTCACCAGCAGGCTTTCTCTCTTTCTCTGTTACCTGAATTGCCTTACTGTTTGCTGGGATACAGCTATTCTGTTTTGGCACCAGAGAGGGGTTAAAAAAGTAAGAGGAGTCACTCTGCTGCAGGTTCCAAGACTGAAAAATCTACTAAAGCTGGTTTCATTGGCCTCCAGTTTATATAGCACTGGAATTAAAATTAATACACTAATTTTATAGCAAAAAGTGAAGCTGCAGAGAACTTTAATACAACACTGCAAACAAGTTTTCATATACATGACTTCCTGCTGTCTGAGCCTGCACATCTTCATTTCTTAAACACTGTGCTTTTGGAATTAACTTCATTTCAAATATTGTGCACTTTGTACTGGCTGATTTAATTTCTTATTTATCCTAATTTGACTTCTATTCTTCTATTAATATTTGTATTTTTAAAAATAAGTATAATGACTAAGTTTCCCCAGAGATTAAAAAAGTATTTTTATTTTAAAGTCAAAAGTATTAAGTCAAAAAATAATAGTCAAAACAGCATAACATTAAAACAAATTAAAGTCAAAAAAGAAAAAAGTCGAAAAAGAATAAGGTCAAAACAGAATTAAGTTAACTGAAAAAAGTCAAAACAGAATAGATCCACATAGAATAAAGTCACAACAGAATAAAGTTAACAGAATGCAGTCAAAACAGAATAGGTCAACATAGAATAAAGTCAAAACAGAATTAAGTAAACAGAGAAAAGTCGAAACAGAATAGGTCAACATAGAATAAAGTCAAAACAGAATAAACTAGAAGAGCACTTGGAGAGGGCAGACCTCCGCCACAGCTCATGTCCCCCCTTACATTGTGATTCACACCAAAACTTTTACTGTTACGTGTCTTTTATTAACTTTTGTGTTTAAACTGGTATGTTCACTGTTCATAATGTTCCTAAAACAAGAAATGCCCTGACCCGGATTCAAACCCAGGACCTTCTTGCAATAAAGGATACTATTCTTACAATAAAGGAGTTATAACAGTTATAACTAACCAAAAGGGAAGGGGGGCTGTGAGTGGGATCTAGCAAAAGGGAGGCAGTCTACCAAAGGTGTCCCAGGAGTGCACTTAGCCACCACACATGAACTCACTGCAAAACACTACAAACACTGCCCCAGTGCGCTTACCACTACAACAAAAAGGTGTGGGGAACCACCCAACATGCCTAGCCTCTACTGCTAGCCAGCCACCACTGCTAAAACTACGTAAAAAAAAAAGATGGTTCTGCTAAAATGTCTCTTTAATCACAATCACTTTCCATTTCTTGAACGCCATCTGTTAATAAAATGCGGCCACTCATACCTATTTAGGTACATTTATCCAAGTTTCCTGCACCAGTGGACGCCGACAGACAGGTAAAAGTGCAAATTAAAATTAAACAATCTAAAAGGTTTATGTTGATGATCCAGATTTAGCATATGCTGCATTTTTGTCTGCATTTTTAAAATTATATGATAAGCATTGTCCTATAAAAATGTGTAGGGTGAAAGATCAATATGAAGGTAAACCATGTATTACAAAAGGTCTGCAAAAAGCATGTAATAAGAAAAATCAATTGTACAAAAAGTTTTTACAGCAGAGAACTAGTGATAGTGAGGAAAAATATAAGCGCTATAAGAACAAACTAACTACCATTATGAGGACTCAAAAAAAGGAATACTATAATAAAATGTTGGAGGACAGTAAAAATTACATACAAAAAACTTGGAAGGTAATCAATTATATTATTCAGAATAAAAGCAATCATTCAGAACTTCAAGAATAATTTATAAATAAAGTAAATAATAAAGTGGATGATACAAGAAATATTGTTGAAGAGTTCAATGACTATTTTGTAGATGTTGGAGCTTCTTTGGCAAAACAGATTACTGTATCTGATGACAACAAATATATGTTTAATAATTTGATCAACACTAATTCTAGTTCTATGTGTCTAAGTGGGGTACATGAAACTATTATCATTGAAATTGTAAGAAAATTAAAAAACAAGAGATCACTTGGCACACATTCCATTGATACAGTAATTATTAAAGATGTCATTGATTATATTGTCAGACCCTTGACCTATGTTTGTAATTTGTCTTTTCAAAAAGGAATCTTTCCTAACAACATGAAGATAGCAAAGGTGATCCAAATTCATAAAAATTGAGATAAACACTGCATGGAAAATTACAGATCATATCACTTTTGCTGCAGTTTCTAAAATTTTTGAGAAATTGCTTGTGAAACAATTAAATATGTTCACTCATAAAAATAAATTAAATTAAAATCTATATGGATTCAGAGAAAACAGAACTACTGCTTTTGCAGTAATGCAAATGGTAGCAACTGCTAATGAAAATGGTGAATGGTCTGTATATTGATCTGCAGAAGGCGTTAGACACCATAGATCACAGACAGTTATAGAAGAAATTAGAGATGTATGGAATACAGGGGGTTGTTCATTCTTGGCTGTAAAGTTATTTAGGTAATAGACACCAGTGTGAACAAATGAATGATACCATATCATCACTGAGAAAGATTACATGTGGCGTACCACAAGGATCAATGATTGGTCCAATACTGTTCATTCTTTCTATCAATGACATCTGCAATGTAACAGATTTTTTTAGATATGTAATATTTGCAAATGATACCAATTTGTTTAGCTCTGTTAAGAATTTAAAGGAACTTTTGTGTTGTGCAGAAATGGAGCTGGAAAATCTCAAGACTTAGTTTGATGCCAATAAATTATCTTTAAATATTAAAAAAACAAAATTTATGTTTTTTGGGAATCTAAAGGAAAGTGATTGTAATGTTAAATAAGAATATGTAATGTTGACATTGCAAGAGTTACTTTGGGTTGTCATTGATCATAAGTTAACATGGAAAAAACACATTGAATACAATAAAATGAAAATTTCAAATATTCAATATTCAAATTTCAATACTACCCACTTTTTGCTTAATTCCATAAAGATGTCTTCCTTTATTACCTACCTCCCAACACTTTTGCCATTCATTCATGATTCTGCTCTTTATTAATGCCTTAGCATCTGACTTACTAAATGTAGTTTCCATAACTGTGTCATGTACCCTTTCAGTCAATTCACTCGGTACAACACATATAGTATGGGATATCACGCCCTTGCGTGGCCTGACTAAAGATACCTTTACTCACGCCTTTATGGCAGATGATCTGTGGTGACGTCTGGGAGGCTCCGCCTGCACATGTATACGTGTGACACCACAGTCATCCTTCAGTTCTTACGCTCTTCACCTTGCTGAGAACACCTACATCGAGTCGGGCCAACTAGCTGCTGCTAGCTTAGCCTGGTCTTGTCTGTGGCTACTGCTTAACTGCCCCTGTCGGTGTTAGCCTGCGGTGCTAATTTCATTCGGCTTCTGGGTCTTGTTATGAGCGCTGAGCCTAAGAAAGTGAAGGCGAAGTTTTCTGTTCACCCCTGTCCTCCGGGGTGTGGCTTCTCCCTTTATGAGAAAGATCTCCATGAGGCTTGCCCCGTTTGCCTGGGGATTGTCCACGCCAGGAGGGCTTTGACTGAGCCCGAGTCGTGTGAGTCCTGTCACCGGCTCCAAAGCTCAACCCTGGAAAGGCGGGTCAAGTTTGTGGAGAGAATATTAGGAAAGACCACTATTGCGCTGCACGATCCCCTCCTCTCCGAGTCCAGGGACCCAGCTTCGTCCGAGTCTGGTGGTGAGGACTTCCTGGTCAAAGGCTCAGTTGGAAACTGGGCAGACCATGTGGAGTGTGCTGACGGGTCAACTGGATTTGAGCCGGGCCCCTCCGAGGGCGCTGGCCAGCCACTATCCGGGCTAGCCTGTTACCAGGAGGATGATGACGTGCTGGACACTGGCCTGGGCGTGCAGGGTTTTTCGGAGGAGGAGCATTGTCTTTGGGTCAGTACGATGCCGCCTCTGCTACGCCGGTTGATCTGGACGACACATCCTTCCTCTCACTGTACCGTCGTGCAGCTGAGAAACTAGAAGTAGAATGGCCCTCTCCTCCACCGACTCAAAAACTGTCGCGGTTCTCTGGGTTTTTTTCGCCCACCCGAACCGACGATTGTTAAAAACAGTTTGCCCATGTTCCCGGATTTTGTCGCAGAACTAACCTCGACATGGAACAAGCCGCTGTCCACCCGCGCCACAGTGCTTGGTTGTGGACAGTTTCTGGACCTGGATGGAGCTGACAAAGCTGGTTTGGTGAACCCTCCGCCTATGGAGGCATCCCTGACAGCTTATCTGGCCCCGGCCAAAAATCATGGTGTCGATGGCCCCATCACGCTCCCGTCCAAGCACTGCAGGTTTTGAGCAGCATCATCCCCAGGCGTGATGCAAGGCCCAAACAGCAGGGTTATCTGCACAAACCGGCACCGGCGCCTCCTCCCAAGAGGACTGCGACGCCCGCTTCTTCGGGGCCCAAGCTGGTGAAGCAGAATGTACCCAGTCTGAACCCATGCCTCTCGGCTTGGAACAAGTGTCCGCCCCTGGGCCTCCAGTGGGGCTCAGCGCCCAGGAAAAAGACACAGCAGTCATCCTAGCTTCGGGATCGACTCGAGAGGGGGCCCACCAGCACGGAGACACTGCAGCCCTTCAGTTTTTGCCACCAAAGAGGCCGCATTTAAAGTTAGTTCAGGGGTCCGGTCCCGAGAGGTGCTGCACTCCCTTAAAACAGTCTCCCAAGCACAACCTCCCTCACATGCACATGCCCCAATAATGGCGCCTGATGTTCACTGTGTGAATGTTACAAATGTCAAATAATGGTTTTGTTTTGTTCTCAAAACATCATAAATCAATCAAGTCTGGGCGGGAAAGTGTTACTGTTCCCAGCTGGAACGCCAGATGGCGACAACCCCTCCCCCACAGTGCTGGAGGTCAGTCGACTGATTGTTCATCTCCCTCGGTGGTGCGCATGCACAGTTTCACCATGGGTACAGAGAACCATTGCCATGGGCTACTGCTTACAGTTCAGGGCCTGGTCGCCTTGCTTCCACTCTTAAATACACACAGTTGTAGCAGAAGAAGCAGCAGCAGTGCTGAGGTAAGAAAAAAAAAACTCATTGGAGGGGGCTCTGTGCGAGGGCGCAGCAGTGAGAGGGGTGTGGACGCCAGCACAGTGCAAGCTCCACATCAATTATCTGGAGCTATTAGCTACCCTTTTAGCTCTGAAGCATTTTCGTCCCATTCTGACAGGTCATCATGTTCTGATCAGGACGGAAAACACAACCATGGTTTCCTACATAAACATGCAGGGAGGGACATGCTCTCTTGCCCTGTTAAAACTGCCTGACTCTCAGTTGCTATGGTGCAGTGTTCATTTTCTTTCACTCAGAGCCACACATATTCAGGTAACTTAAACCTTGGGCTGGACCTTCTCTCCAGGGGGGTCCTCTTGTGAGAGACTGGAGATTGCAGCCACTCTAGTGGTGGCTCAGACATGGGACCTCCTCTCCCAGGTGGGAGGAGAGGCGATTCACCCACGCCCAAAACTGTGGCAACTATATGCCTACCTGTTGAAAGGTCCAAATTAATAGCTCAGGGTCTGCCCCCAAATGTAGTGACAACAATCCAGAGTGCAAGGGCATAATCTGCTAGGGGCCTACATGCCTATAAATGGCGGGTATTTGAGCAGTGGTGTCAGGACCGAAATGTATTCCCATTTCAGAGTTCTATTGTGGATGTTTTAACATTCCTTCAGGAGCTGCTGGATAGGGGTCTCTCTTTCTCAACAATTAAGGTCTATTTGGCAGCTATATCAGCATGCCATGATGGCTTTTATGGTGTGATGCCAGGCACTCACCCTCTTGCTATGCGCTTCCTAAAGGGGGTATGTAGGCTGAGACCTGTGCTTAAACTCAGTGTTCCCTCATGGGATTTAGCGCTGGTGCTTGAGGCTCTTGGTGGACCCCCATTTGAGCCCATTGAGTCAGCAGACATGAAATTTCTTTCATTCAAAACTGCACTGCTACTTGCTTTGACGTCTGCAAAGTGAGTGGGTGACCTTCATGCTTTGTCTGTGCATCCCTCTTGTACCCAGTTCACTCTGGATGGATCTAAGGTTACATTGCGCCCAAATGCGGCGTATTTGCCTAAGATTATCCCCACAACCTATAACTTTATGAGTTTTGAACTACTGAGCTTCTGCCCTCCTCCATTTGCATCTGAGGAGCAGAGGAGGTTGCATTCCTTGTGTCCTGTGCGTGCACTACGCACTTACATAGACCTCACTCAGAGTGTGCGTTTATGTGACCAGTTGTTTGTCTGTTTTGCTAATCCAGCCAAAGGCAAGGCACTGTCTAAACAGCGGCTTTCCCACTGGATTGTGAAGGCTATCTCCTTAGCATATGGCAGCAGGGGTCTTCTGTTGCCCCAAGGTGTGGGGGCACATTTAACCAGGGGAATGGTGGCCTCATGGACCTTGTTTAAAGGGGTTTGCACTGCAGCCAGTTTATCATCCCTGCACACTTTTTTTCAGTTTTATCATTTGGATGTGACAGCCCCTTCAGTGGCTCACACTGTCCTTTCTGCTGGGTCTACAATGCTGGAGCCTATCTAGAGACGAACAACCATCCATGTTCATAATTGCAATTTAAAAGTGACCAATTAACCTAACCCCAATTCTGCATGTTTTTGGGATGTGGGAGGAAACCGGGGTACCTGGAGTAAACCCATGCAGACACAGGGAGAACATGCAAACTCCACACAGAAATGCCCTGACCTGGGTTTCGAACCCAGGACCTTCCTGCTGTGAGGTGACGGAGCTAACCACTACAGCACTGTGCCGCCCTCTTTTCAGCTCTTCATGTACAAATGAGTCTGCAATGACAGGAGGTAAAAGCCATGCAGGTGTTACTGGAAAGAGGACTTTGGGACAAAATTTTCTCCCATAACATCCAATTTCCACAGCCAAATTGTTCACAGTCCAAGCATAGCACTCTCTCTTTGCTCGTCCACTTTCCCAGCATGGTTGAATAGCTACTACTGCAGGATGATCTTCCCCATGTACTTGTAAATGAAAATAATAATTTAACATCACCTGCTTAAGTCTTAAATTCAGTGGCGGTTCATTCATTTCCACTTGCACTGCATTAACCGGAGAAGTCTTAATTGCTCCACAGCATAATCTCAATGCCTGCTTTTGAATCACCTCTATCTTTTTTAACAATGTTTTAGATGCTGACCCATACACAATACACCCATAATCAATCACAGATCGTATTAGAGGAAAAATAAATGTTTTTCATAGCACACCGACTTGCTCCCCATTAAGACCCTGCCAGACATCTCATGACATGTAATACCATTTTACTTTTTTTTTCTACTTTACCAATATGCTCATTCCAGGTTAACTTTGATTTAAATAAAACACTGAGAAATCAAAAGGTATTTACCTGCTCTAGTTCCTTACCATACAACTTTACATCAACATTTCCTTTTAGTTTCTTCCTGGTAAAAATCAATATTTTTTTTTTCTACAGAAAACTTAAAGCCCCATGCATACAACTGTAACAATAATAATAATAATGTAATCTTTAAAGAAGCGAGAAGGGATGATTAGATTCAATGGCCAGACTTATCAGAAGCTCTAAGATTTGACTACGGAGCCCAGGATCGACCAATCGATGCACAAGAACGACACAACCACAGTGCACTCTTTAAGAAAACAGAAATGCTTCCCTATTTATTAAACAGAATGGGAAGGCCACAATAATAATACAGTGTTAACACAATCTAAACAACTCTTACCCGGGTAAGTATGAAAATAAATAAAAATCTCTGCAGCTGCTTATGTCACTAATGTTCAGTCCAACCAACTCTGTACAATTGAAAATAAGTCCCACCTCACTAGTGTGAGGGTGATGTGTATGTATGTCACAGTGTAAAAGGATTCAGGGTCCGCGGCATCTCTAAGTATCCTCCGGGGTTTGGCTCGCCATCAAACTTCGACTGGCTCCATTATCCACGTAGGTCCAACTCTGAATGGGGTCCAACAGAAAAACCTGACCGATGCGTTTCTCCTCCCGTACGGCTTCTCTCACTGCGCTCACACAGGTCCAGGTCGGCCGGGGGAATTTTTCCAACAGCTTTCTCTGACTTTTATCCAGGTTTTTAATAGTTTTACCATCCGAAATTGTGTTCTGACTCATCTCGTGTTCAATCTGGCTTGTTCTCGTTCTCATAGCGGCTTCATAGGAAGTGAACTTGCGCCGATCGGGTCAGTGGGTGGGAGCTTCTCTTCTGATTGGATGAGAGACCTCTCTTTCAAATTACAAATCCATGACATTTCTGTTACTGTTAAATTTCTTCTTCTAAGTGAACATTTCTTTCAATCGACTAATAAGCATCATATTCAATGAATTGATTTTCCACTATGAATTTAACAGTCTCTAAATTTAAACATCTTGGATTTTAATACACAATGAACTATTTCAATACAGATTTTTAACCTGGGTTACACAACCATTTCTCCACCTTTCCAACTTCATCTTGAATCCTTCCTTGCATAGTTTTAAGATTTTCCCCCTTTTCTATTATGCCCCATCATCAGCAAATGATGACCCCCCAGTATCATAGCTTACATAATCAAAAACATCATTAATCATAATAGAGAATAATATTGGGCTAATTACACTACCCTGGGGCACTCCATTATCCACCTGATGCTTTGTGGAGAGCCTTGCTCCTACTTTCACTTGGATTTACTTATTAAATCTTTAATTCAATTAAAAGTTATTCTGTTAATTCCTATTTTACTTAACTTAATCATTAATCCCTCTGTCCATACCATGTCGTATGCGTTTTCCACATCAAAAAATACAGCCATAACAGATTCCTTATTTACTTGAACTTTTTTTTATCTCTGTTTCTAAACTGATTACCAGATCCATAGCCCCCCTCCCTTTTCTGAATCCACACTGGCAAGGAGAGACTAGACTTTACTTTCAATCCTTTCCATGACTTTAAGTAAGGGCAATTGGTCTATAACTATTCAGGTTAAAAGGGTCCTTTCCTGGCTTCACTATCAGGACAATCACTGCGTTTTTCCAACTTGTTGGTAACCTACCTTCTTCCCATATTTTATTATACATACCTAACAGCTTATTTTTCATCCAGATAGGACTCGAGCGCCCTGAGAGTGGCAGCAAGTCACAGCAGCTCCTCACAGATTTTACGTTTTTTCCTTCTTATTGTTGTTTTTTGCACCTTATTTGTCTTTCTTTTTATTTAGCAGTGTTGTGTCTTGCATATTCCAGCCATGGATGTGCATTTCATGACTCTAACACTTTGTTTTCTTTTACTTTTCGGAGTTTTTAAGTCCGCGTCCGGCGACCCATTCAGCGGCCCCATTGTTTACAGCCGTGAACAGCTGTTGGCGCTGCGCCAAGCCCGGCCACCTTCGTGGGAGAGACAGGACATCCCCGCCAAGCTCCGCAGGAGAAGAAGCAGATGCAGGGCTGGAGTTCAGCATCGGGCAAAGCAGAGACTTTTTAAACCAACTGTCCCGTCCATCATCATGGGAAACGTGAGGTCTCTCCCCAACAAGATGGAAGAGTTCACAGCGCTGACTCGGCTGCAGTGGGAGTATCGGGATTGCAGCCTCATGATGTTCACGGAGTCATGGCTGAACGAACTCACTCCGGACCTGCTCGTAACTTTGGACAGATTTCACTTCATCAGAGCGGACCAGAGCATGAGGGAGAGTGGTAAGAAGAAAGGAGGCGGGATAGCGTTGTATGTGAATGAGAGATGGTGTAATGCTGGGCACGTCAGTGTTAAAGAGCAGCGCTGCTCTAAGGACATTGAGCTGCTGGCTGTGAGTTTGCAGCCATATTACCTGCCGAGGAAGTTTTCGCATGTCATCGCATTAACATCCCCCCCTCAGCTGATGCTGCTGCAGCCTGTGAACTCCTCCATAGTGAAGTGTCCAAGCTACGAACATAACACCCTCAGTCTCTGATCGTCATCTCTGGAGACTTAAGTCATGCATCGCTCTCCTCCACTCTCCCTACCTTCAGCCAGTATGTAAACTGCCCGACAAGAGACAATAACACTTTGGACTTACTGTATGCAAACACCAAGGATGCATACACCTCCTCCCCCCTCCCCCCGCTGGGCCACTCAGATCACAACCTGGTGAGACTGCAGCCCATTTTCATACCTATGGTGAAGAAATAACCCCCCCCACCATCAGGTATGTTAAGAGGTGGTCTGAGGAGGCCACTGAGGCGCTGCAGGACTGTTTTGAGACCACAGACTGGGATGTACTGTGCGGCCCACATGGTGATGACATCGACACCATGACAGACTGTATCACAGACTACATAAACTTCTGTGTTGAGAACATCGTACCCACCAGGAAAGTATGGTGTTACTCCAACAGCAAACCCTGGGTGACCCCGGAACTTAAAGTCCTCCTGAAGGAGAAGAAGAGGGTCTTTAAATCTGGGGACAAGGAGAAGCTGAGGAGGGTGCTGAAGGAGCTGAAGAAGAAGATCAGAGAGGGAAAGGCCAGCTACAAGACCAAGATGGAAAACCTTTTGCAACAGAACAACGCAAGGGAGGTCTGGAGAGGCCTGAAATCCATCTCAGGTCATAGCAGGGGCCACGAGAGGGGACCTGAAGCAGGAGACAGGGAGTGGGCCAACGAGCTGAATCTGTTCTTCAATAGATTTGACTCTGCTCCCACTCCTCCCCCGACTCATCAAACCAACGACCCGTCTGCTGCTTCTTCTTCACACCACCTTAGTCCCATGGCACCGGCATCATCAACCCCCCTCCACTCATCCTCCACCACCCCCTCCAGCACCACTCCCAGTCTCTCCATAACAGCTGACCAGGTGAGAAGTGAGCTGAGGAAGATGAAGCCAAGGAAAGCCACGGGGCCTGACGGCACCAGCTCCAGACTCCTGAAGGACTGTGCAGACCAGCTCTGTGAGGTGCTTCTGCACATCTTCAGCTTGAGCCTGAGTCTGGAGAGGGTCCCAACACTGTGGAAGACTTCCTGCATGATTCCTGTCCTCAAGACAGCACACCCCAGGGAGCCCAACCACTTCAGACCTGTGGCCCTCACTTCTCACCTGATGAAGACTCTGGAGAGGATCATGCTGAGGAACCTCCGCCCCCTGGTGAGCTCTCATCTGGATCCTCTGCAGTTTGCGTACCAGCCGAACATCGGGGTGGACGACGCAGTCATCTACCTGCTGCAGAGGTCTATGGCCCACCTGGAGAATACCGGCAGCACTGTGAGGGTCATGTTTTTTTACTCCTCCAGTGCGTTCAACACCATCCAGCGTTCACTGCTCAGGGGGAAGCTCGAGAGGGCGGGAGTGGACTGTCACCTAGCCACATGGACCGTGGACTACCTCACCGACAGACCACAGTTTGTGAGGCTTCAGAACTGTGTATCGGACATGGTGGTCTGCAGCACAGGAGCTCCACAGGGGACAGTGCTCTCCCCCTTCCTCTTCACCCTGTACACCTCAGACTTCAGCTACAACTCTGGGAGCTGTTACCTCCAGAAATTCTCTGATGACACAGCCATCGTCAGATGTGTATCGTCAGGGGATGAGTGGGAATACAGGACTGTCATCATTGACTTTGTCAACTGGTGTGGCACAAACCACCTCCAGCTCAACGCCAGTAAGACAAAGGAGATGGTTGTGGATTTCCACAGGAGGAGGACACCTCAGACTGTTCCAGTGAACATCCAGGGTCTGGACATCGAGATGGTGGAGTCCTACAGATTCCTGGGTTTCCACCTCAACAACAAACTGGACTGGTCAACAAACACAGACGCTCTGTACAAGAAGGGCCAAAGTCGTCTCCACCTGCTGAGGAGACTGAGGTCCTTTGGAGTGTGCAGGACTCTGCTCAGTACTTTCTATGACTCTGTGGTAGCATCTGCACTTTTCTATGCGGTGGTCTGCTGGGGGGCAGGGAGCACTGAGAGGGACAGGAAGAGACTGAATAGACTGGTCAGGAGGGCCAGTTCTGTCCTGGACTGTTCTTTAGACTCCCTGGAGGAGGTGGGTGAGAGGAGGATGTTAACAAAGCTTGTATCCATCATGGACAATCCCTCTTACCCACTGCACCAGACTGTGGGGGCTTTAAGCAGCTCCTTCAGCAGCAGACTGAGACTTCCACCTTGCAGGACGGAGCGCTACCGCAGGTCATTCCTCCCCTCTGCAATAAGACTTTACAACGAACTGTAATAATAACTGGACTCACACCAGCATGGCATTTAAATTGTGTATATTGTAGATAGTTTTATTTTTCATCTCCCTTTTTCCTTTTTCTAATTTTTTTCTTAATTATTACATTTATTTAAGTTCTTAATATTGGGATCTTTATTTTTATAACTGCATTTTTACACTCTTTGTGCAACTTTTCAGCTAAAATTATGTTGCAAACATGATCAGAGGACATCAAGGATTATGAAAAAATGATAGAAATGGTTATGAAATTTTGATGGCAGGTCCCCTTTAAGTCCCAAAGAGGAAAAGAACAACCCGGACTGTTATCGACACAAAGTTCAAAAGCCAGCATCTGTGATGGTATGGGGGTGCATTAGGGCATGGGTAACTTACACATCTGTAAAGGCAACATTAATGCTGAAATTTACATACAGGTTTTGGAGCAACATGTGCTGCCATCCAAGCAATGTCTTTTTCATGGACTCCCCTGCTATTTCAGCAAGACAATGCCAATCCACAATGTGACAACCCCTCCCGCTCCTCCTCTGCTTTCTCCCCTTGCATGTGTCTGATTCTGCTCTGTGTTGCAGCCTCAGGGAGATGGTGGAGGGCGGAGCTGGGAGGGGCTGAGTTACCTGCCCAACAGGGCAGGGCCAGAGAGCATAAAAGGCCTGGCTGAAATGCTGTAGGTCTCTCTCTCAGCAGGGCCTGCACCTACTACACCAGCCACCACCTTTTTGGGTTTGATCATCGAACAACATCCACCACACACATGCTCACACATCCAACATTTGCTGACACTACTGATCTTAATCCTGACGCCTCATACTCATTGATAATCATTTTTGTTAAATAAAATATTTTGGTTAACGGTTATTGTTGTGTGTTGCCTCCCTTCTTGTTATCTGCCTTCAGCCAGGCAGTAAAAGCACGTGTTACAACAGCGTGGCTTCATAGTAAAAGAGTGCGGGTACTCGACTGGCCTGCCTGCAGTCCAGACCTGTCTCCCATTAAAAATGTGTGGGGCATTATAAAGCGTAAAATACGAACAGAGACCCCCCCCTGCACAGCATGCAGCCTCTGAATCCTACATGCTACACAAAACAGAATAAAGTCAAAACAGAATAAAGTTAAAACAGAATAAAGTTAACACAGAATAAACTTAACAGAATAAAGTCAAAACACAATAATAATCCTTATAATATAGTAATATAATACAGTTTTTTTTTTTTTTTTTTTTTTTTGGCATTATTACTGGCAGCCACACACTTGCCCTTTTGTAAGTCATCCGTGGGAGTGGAGGCAGGCTGCAAAGCAGTAAAAAACTCTGATTCTATCATTTTATTTTTGTAAAATACAGACTTTTGTCCCTCAATGTAACAATTCATTCAGGTAATGATTTCAGTCCTTTAATGTCACAAATTTATTTTTGTAACTTGACGACATCATTTGAGTAAGAAAACCTTATTTTCTTTGGACAATAGGACAAAAAATTTGACCATCAGGACTTAACTTTTGACCATATTATGTAATTTTGTTTTGCAACTTTTAAAAGTTCTTTTTATTAATAAATTTATTTTGTAACAAATTTCTAATACATGACAACTTCATTCTCAGAATATTAAAATTTTCTGTCTGCAACATTACAACTGGTCTTGTAACATAATTTCATGTCTATTATATTTTAACTGAATTTTGAAAAGTTATGACTTTTTTTGTAACATCATGACTTTTTTTTTTTTAACACATTTATTCTCAGAGCATTAAGCTGCTTTTCTCGAACATCATGATGTAATACACACAACATCAGGGTTTAAATTCTTGTATCATTATGACCTTATTCTCACAATATTACAACATTATTCTTGTTACATTGAACTGTCTTTCATCCCTCTAATATCTTTACATTATTTTAAGTTAAAGACATCATCCTGTTTCTCACTCCGGTGTTTTAAAATATTATTTCAGCCTCCATCTGAATCACCTTTAGTTTTTTCATCTGCTCCTGTTTTGAGCAATTTACATCTATTTTCTAAGATTATAACAACATACACTTACCTCGTGATTTGAAATTTTGCATACATCTGGTACAGACACCAAACATTTTAACTTTGCAGCTTTTGTTTTAAATATGGAAAAGTTTTAACCCTCCCTTTAAATCTGTGTTTTTAAAGGTGGCCCTTATACTCTGTTGTAGATACTGGATACATTAATTTCTCTAACTATCCTGAATCAGGTTGAGATTTAAAATCTGATTAATAATTTTAGCAACTGTATTATATTTCTCTATAACTATATAACTATAATAACCATATATATTTTACAGCTATATAATATTTCTTTGAATAAAGTGACTCTGCTATATGCAGTATTTGAGCTTTTGGTCCATCCCAAGCAGCTACAGCATCACAGTAACTGAAGCTTAAACCCCTTAGGAAAAACTTTTATTTACTGGTAGCTATATTTAAGAGGTTATATTTTAAAGAATCATTGTGAACAATAAGCTTTGTGACTTGGGTAGAGCTACATACAGATTTTTAGTATATGGAGACATTTTTTATAAAACATTACTAAATGACTAAATGAATCTTATTGACAGGAGCAAAATATAAAAAATTAATGAAGATCCGATCTCACTGAAAACAGAACATATTTGGACCTTTACGAGTCAATACAAACTGTTTATTTAGAGGTGGTTTCAGGTAAAAACAAGTTCTGTGGTTCTTTTTATCCCAGGGTTCAAATCTGTCTTCTGTTTAAACTCAACAGAACTCAGACCAGCACATCCACGTTAGAGTTGTGTTTCTGTGAAAATAAAACTTGCGCACTCCTCACACCTCGGCTGTGAATTTTCACACTCATCCTGTTGTTCTTTTCTTGTATTCAAATGAGCTTCACAGTTCAGAGAAAACAGCAGAGAAGTGAAGAGCCAAGAAGGTCTTCAGCGCTCAGATTTCACTGATTACTGCAGCAAAGAAAACACTGACAAGTTTAGATTTTTCTCACTGTAAAGGAACCTGAACATCAAGCAGATCAAATGTACCACTTTATTCACAGGGAGGCCCACAACACCTCCTATATATCAAACATAGTTTTGACAGGAGAGTAGCCTGTAGCAGATTACTTGAATTATAACTTTCTCTCACTCATCTCACCATATAGAAACCAACTAGCAGCATTATTGGTGTGTCGGTCATGAAAGAACTGATCAAAAGAACTAGTTCTTTTTGGTGAACGAAATGAACGAGGTCACCCCCCCTAAATGATCCGTTCAGTCCATCCAGTTCTTTTGATTGGCTGAAGAGTCAGTTCACCGTTCCTTAGGGCGGGACTATCTCTGTGCTTGCCTGTCTTATCCTTTTGTCGCGCCTTGCTCTGTGGGTGGGTGGGGCTTAGAGAAGCAGCAGCAGTATTGAGCTGACTGACAGACCAGGACCGATGACCGACTCGGTCTCCGTCTTTTCAGTCAGCTCGGTCTGACCGAGAGATTGACTGACTCTCAGACTGACTGAGTACAAGCGTTCACTCTCTGTGAGGTGCTGTCAGCCTGTCACTATACGACCGACTTGTGAACGCAACGGGATGTACTGAATAAAATAAACTATAAGGCAGTCTCTTGGGGGGGGGTATCTGTACTCACGAGTCCAACAAACAGTGCCGCGGCCGCCGCACGAGCCGACAGCCGAGCCTGAGCGAGCGAGACAGTCACACACACACACACACACACACACACAGGCACACAGCTGCTGCTGCAGCCAGAGGCAGAGACTCACTAGCAGAAGGTTTAGCATACTTAGCTAACAAACAGCGGTTGCTAAGGGTACGCGGGGTTGCTTGAGGCAGCAGGATGCGTTTGTCCAGTAAAATATCCCGATGCTGTACGGTGTCTGTGTACAGATCTGTATTCAGCCACCATTTGAATTAGTACCAATGCGTAATGTGCTAGCCTAGCTGTATAGCTTGGTTTAGCTGGGTCAACATGCCAGTGTTTCGGTGTAAAAAGTGACCCTGTTACCTGGAGACTTTTGAAAAAATTCTCATGAGATTGTCCCAAGTCGCACAGCTGTTGAATACGTATCCTTAGATCTCTCTGTGTTTTGAATGTCAGCAAAGACGTATCTGTTGGAAATACTTGATGTTATTGTCACAAAGGGAGCTAAGAGGCTCTCGTTCGTTCAGAGTCTGAACAGATCTCCCCCTGCATAAACCCGGTCAGCGCGTCTGAATGAACATGAACATGAGCGAATGGACTGACTAACGACCAATTGACCGAAATGACCGAAATGAATGGATCTTTTTACTGAACGAACCGGAATGATCCGGTTCTCTTATATGAACAGTTTTGCCCACCACTAAGCAGCATGCTACAATGCGACACAAACAGCTGGTTTTAACAGAAGTCCTGCCTCTGACGAAGCAAAATAGCCAACTTTGTAGGATTTGAGGGTGGCCATTCAGATTTCAAAGGGGGCTAAGGCCACCCTAATTCATCCCTCTGGACACAGCCCTGGTCATAGTGTTAGTTGCAGTTTCAGACTGGGAAACTGCACATGAACAAAACTGGCGTGGTCACTTTCTCTCTTGTACAAGCCTCCGCCACTGTTGTTGATGAAGACATTATGAGAAGCCCTGCCACCTCTCCATCGCAACCAATCAATGGATCTTTCGTTTATACACCTCCAATTCACAACAAATATTTTCAGACACTTCACTAGAACTGGTCTAGACAAGACACTTCAAGATATTTACAAAGGCTAACATAAAGTTAGGATCTGATTAAGTCTCATTTAGTAAGACCAGACCCACACCTTCTTAAAATCGTTGTTTAAAAGTAAGGTGATTGAAAATTATAGAAAAAATGATTGAGGTCACGGATTAACTTATATTCTGGATTTAATTTATTATTATTATTATTATTATTAATAATAATATATATATTTTTTTTGAGTCATTTTTTTGTTCTTTGTTTTGTTGTTGTGTTTTCTATCAAACGTGTGGAATAAGATGTTTTGAATATTTTGATTTAGTAAGAAGGATAGGCAATAATAAGCTCTTGCTTCAGCCTATGCCTTTTCGGTCCGGTTTTCTTTTCTTGTAATCTACTGTATATATTGAATGGATATGACCAGATCAAAATAAACTTCAAACTTCAAACTTAATTCTGATTGGTCAAGAAGTGACATTGGTGACCTTTGCATGGCTCCAAAAGCTTTTTTTATTTTGGATAGTTTAAAAAGAAAACAGGAGATGCAGACTCAAAAACCAATGGCATACAATCGCACCTTTATACTATAGGTTCCAGGTCTGAATTTGTATTATTCTGAAGACTACCTTGTAACAATTTAATGAACTTTCCAGTGTAACAATAGTGGACTATTTACCTCTGAGTTATAGTACAGAAGAAGTATAAAGGAGCAAATGAACAAAACCCCGACAAAAATGTGCAAAGCTTTTGTTTATAAGTGAAAGACAGATTGAATGAGCTACAAGGTACGATGTGATAAATGTATCATATCATGTTCATACAGTCTGTGTGATACCAGACAAGGGACATCTGTAGGTCCACAGCTTGCTTTATTGTCAGCTCATTCATTTACACACACCATCTACTTCCTGTCCGTCACCTTGTATCTTCGTAACTCAATAGGTACCCATTCGATCCTGCTACAGTAAATACAGTGAAACTGATACCAGCTAAGTTGGGTGAAATATGATAAAATAAAATAAAAAACGTAATGTTGGAATTAGACTGAGTGTGAAAAACTGATTGTCAAACCTCTTGGACGCTTCAACCTGTCTACGAAAGAGACCACGCCCCCTACTTATACATTCTTTTAATTTTTAATCTGAAGTCAGTTGTCTCAGATGGAGAACTGAGTCATAGTGACTGAAACTGTCTTTGTAAAAGTCTGTAAACATGTTTTTTCTGCTGTGTAGTTTTTAAGATGAGGCTCTTTGAGGACTGACTCAGTGCAGGATGCAGCCTCTTGTGGACATCAGAGGAACTGCAACTCTGTATTAGCTTCAAAAATTGCAGCTTTTTCGGATTTTATGGAGCGAAAACAGTTGAATCTGACTTCCACAGAACATTGTATTTTTGGTTATAAACACGTACATTTATACTCCAAATCTTGAATTAGGTTTTAACTTGTACTTACTTTTTTTTTTTTTTTTTTTTTTTTGCTCATCTGATTTTCCACGTTTTAACCCATTTTCCTTAAAGGCTAAAACTTGTTTTCAGTCTAAACTCTCTAAGTAAAGCACATCCACCATGCTAACCAGTCCGATCAGGGTTCAGTGGTTGTTTCTGGGCAGTCTGTTTTTATTCCTGCCCATGATGAAAAAGTGAGAGTGTAATGAAACAGCCATGTTGTGAAATAAAAGGCTGCAGATGGAGCGTGCATGCAATGCTGTCAGGTTGCTTGGCTGGCTGCGGTGACTCAATCAGCTGAGGGGGAAGCTTGTAAACAGAGTAAAAATAGTCTAGGCTGATCATCCATTAATCTTGAGCTGAGTAGATGCTGCTTTGATGGCTCTCCACAGGTTATAATTCAGCAGTTAGTCATCAAACAGAAATCTACCCTTTAACTTTTTATCCATCTGCAGTTAGTATCAGATGATGTTCAACTTTATTGGACAAAAACAACTGTTAACCCCGTAAAAACTTTATTAGATTACTGGAAAATGTTCAGGAGAAGATTAATAATTAATTGTAAGACACTTTACATGGGACAAGTTATTAAACTGCAGATTATTTTGTCTTAAAGCTGACTGACAGAAAACTAGTCTGCAGCTTCTTTGATAAACTAATGCTTCTGTTTAAAAAGATCAAAAATCACGGACTCCTTCCTCTTAAATGTAAATATCTATGACTCTAATAATGAAATAACCTGTTTGATTCTGTTTCCTATGGTTTTACTCAGTTGATAAAATTATTTGAATGGGTTAACTTGATTCAAAAGATGGTAATTCTGCATGCTTTTTTACTACACATACACATGGAAGTTATAATAATGAGATCATCTCTAGTAAAAACTTCTGCAAAATAAATAGTAAATAGAATCAGAGGTACCTCTAAAGAGTGAGATAGAGATTAAAGTCTATTTAGAAGAATGAAACCATGGAAATACAACTTTAGTGTCTTAAACTTATAACTTTTTCCTTTAGTGAGTGGGACTATCCATGTGTCTCATTTCATATCAGTTGGCTGATCTTTTTAATTAATTTAAGTCCGAATACAGATTAACCATAGCCTGCAATTATGAGTTATAGGTTTAAGGTTATAACTTTACTTTCAAAAGATTCAAACTTCTCAGAAAATGACAGCTCAAAATAAGTGGACCTTCTACAAATTTATTCCTGCAAATTAACAAATTTAATTTGGAAATTTGCAAAATTATTTTCATGAATTTGGAATTTTTTGGGAACTTTACATTTCTTTTTTTGTCTTTTTCACGCACCCCTGACTCTCCCTGCTCCTCCTTCTGCCCCCCCCTCCCCCTCCTGCTCCTCTTCTGCTGTCCTCTCTCCTCCTCCTGCTCTTCTCCATGCTCTCCTCTCTCCATCTGCCTCCTCCCGCTCTCCTCCTCCTGCTACTCTTCTGCTGTCCTCTCTCCTCCTCCTGCTCTTCTCCATGCTCTCTTCTCTCCACCTTCCTCCTCCTACAGTATAACAAGTTAGATCTTTTCGTACATTAAGACTGTTTTTCTTACATTTAAATGTAACCTGTAAAAAAAATGCGTAATCCTTGAAATGTATTACTTGGATAATAAAGATAACTAGAAAATTCCAGGGAAATTTTGATAAATTTTGCCCACTTGCTGATTTGCTGCTGCTCGCCGCTGATTTACTCACATTTAGGCCATGTTTTAGGTGGAGATACATGAAGGCATTAATGCATTAAAGGCTGCTTCCTGTTTGGGGATGGAAGGGTCATCCAAGATGGCTGCAGAGTGGGACATGTCTTCAGAGTGACTGTGACGCTGACTTTGCCTCACTGAGCCTCTGCCTGCTTAGAACAGGACTGGCCCAAACAAACTCACAAACTCACTTTGTAGGAAAACCGCAAAAGATATTGAAATGTGGTTTTCACAGGTTGAAGGGTTCGGGTCTCATCTAAAGGTCAGAGTTCAAATCACATTTCTACCTCAAAGTATGACATCACAATCAAGCTGCAAATATGGAGACCCCCCATGTTTTCAGCAGCTCCATTCACTTTGAATAGGAATCTTGATATCTCACTAGTGCCCACAAAAGGCTTGTTGCTGACAAACAACATGTTGTATCTGTGAGGATTTTGAGTTATGCAGCAGTTGGGTTTCCTGTGTTCTTCTCCTCTGTGTGTGTTCTCCCCCTCTCTCTCTCTCTCTCTCTCTCTGCAGCGCTGGAGGCACGGCGGGAGGCAAGGCAGGCCCGAACTGATTGCACGCACCTGATTCTCATTGGTGTCAATTACCTGGCTATATATGCCAGCTCCTCTGTCGACAGAGTGCCGGATGATTTCTCAGTCATGCAACACGTGTCTTGCCACGCTGAGCTCCCTAATCTCCCACCCCAGTGGCGGCTGCTGGTCTTTCAAGGAGGGGAAGCTCATTTTTCTGGCCTACATCATAATTGTGTTTGTTTATTTGTATGTAACAGAACAGAGTCGCCAAACACAACGGCAGTCGTTTTTAACAAAGACAAAAGTCGCTGAGGATCGGTAAAGTCTCTGGAGCAGTTAAGAACAACAGAATGAATAACTTGGAAAATGCTCTGGTAGATGTTTTATTCTTCAAGATCGCTGATTCGCTTGTTTAGCTGTCAATCAAAAAAGGATTTCACCTCAGACAGCTCATCCAATCATGGATGCAGAAGCTCAGAGTCCGGGAGAAAGTCGCGACCGCCCTCTCGTCATAGAACTCCAGAGAAGCTGAGCGTCCGATGGGCGGGACAAAGCCCAGCATTTATCCAATGAGCGTCTAGTTTCGCTGCTGGAACAACCCACTTTTGAGCTTCCACATTGAAGTCAGCAGACACCGAGCGTCCGGCTGTGTGAAGCGCTGCGAGGATGAATGAGAACGAAGTTGTGCAGAAGAAGCTGATTCTGAACAAAAGATGAAGGCTTTCTAGCGCGTATTTAGTTAATGAAATGTACACACAGCAGTACGTATTTCACTTCTTTTTTTTGGGGGGGGTGGGGGTGACATTTTAAGGGAAGCTGAGCTTCCCTTGCAGTCTTACGCCTGGTTCACACAGGAAGCGCCGCGCGCGCGCAGCGCCGGCTCGCGCTTGGCTGTTCACACAGGAAGCGCTTTCTGCTGCGCTCTGACATGCCGGTCAGACATCGACTGAGCCCGGTAGTACTCGGCCGTTTCCATCTGCCCTCAGTTTTCCACACTTACGAGCGCTTTAAAAATGGGTAAATCACTATTTATTTACGTTTTTATTTCGTCATACATGAATTAAATATTGACAGCATCTTCAAGTATTGTTTTAAATTATTATATAGGGGTAAACGACGAATAAATTGGGGAGTCTGTTGACTCCATTGTATGTATAGCCTTGTTAGCTCGAGGCTATTGACTGTATCGTAATAAAGTCCACCCCCTCTTTGTCTCAATAACATCACTGAATCTCTGCAGCTCTCCCTCCGTGTGTGTGTGTGTGTGTGTGTGTGTGTGTGTGTGTGTGTGTGTGTGTGTGTGTGTGTGTGTTCATCGGTAAAAAAAATAGACCGACAAGCAACACCGTCAATCTTTTTCTAATTTATTGAAATTTACTTTATTTTGAAAATTGACCGGATTCTCTCGCATCTCCTTCCTGACTTCCTGTCTGGTCCGATCTGCTCTGTTGAGCTTTACATCGGCGCGCGCGGCTCGCGCCAAAAATAGAGAGAAGCGGAGCAGCCGCGCTCCAGAGCGCGAGCCGTTCCGCGCGCGGCGCTTCCGCGCGCGTGCTGTGTGAACAGTCTCATAGGTTAACATGGGCGCCGATCTGAAACTCTGTGCGCGGCGCTTCCGTTCCGCGCGCGGCGCTTCCAGTGTGAACCAGACGTTAGAGCAATCGCCACTGTCCCACCCGTGTATCCAGCCTGCCTCTCAGTGTTCGTTTGTGAGTTCTTTTGTTACTTTCCAGAGAGTTTTTCCAAAGGGAATTTTTTTGTTTGTTTTTTCATCACCCCCTGCCAGTTTCAGGAGCAGGGGGTGTATGTTTTGTCACGGGGTGTGTTGCTCTGCATTTTGGGGCCATTACTGAGCCTGCCTAGACGATAACAATATGTGCATGCTTGCTCGACTTTGCAGGCATATAATAATGCATCGATTTGGCCCAAGGTCACAATGGACAAACCAGGGATAGGGGGGATCAAATCGCCCACCTTCTAATTGTTGGACGACTGCTTTAACTCCTGAGTTAGTGCCACTCCTTTTGTTCATTTTTTAACGACGTCCTTTAAATTTTGCCTTTTCTTGTTCATTTGCAAATGGTTGATCATGATCTTTACTTGCAGTAGACCTTTTCGTTGCTTCAGGCTTCCGAAGCTTCAAGACATAAAACACGTTTAAATCTTATTCAAAAACACACTGATTCTTTCCTGCTGAGGAGGTCATCTTTGTGATACAGGATCTTTGTTTCCCAGTAGCAGTTAGTATGCGCATGCGCAGCCTCATCCTCGGTTCCCCTTGCCGGAGCGCTGAGAGTAACCTGCCCGGTGATCGCCACTGCCGTTCCCGCTGCTGTTGTACATGCTGTCGCTTCCTTGGCTCCACGTTGTGAGCTTCTGTCCGACACCAAAACTTGGAATTTATTTCCGTTGTAGGACACAAAAACTACATCAACAAAGAGTTTACGGAGAAGCCATCAATCTCCCCTCGTCTCCCGGTCCTCCTGCCGGTGCTGAGCGGACCGTCCGTGAAGGTAAAAGTCCGCTCTTGGTGACAGTTTTCGGCGCTGTAAGGGATGAAGGGCTGCTGCGTCCCAGGGCAGCTCGGTTCACTCCATGCTGTTTTTACATTTCAGGAGTTTTCTGTGTTGAACTTGTAAATTTATGACCCCGTTTGCTTTCTATCGGCGGTTTGAACGACAACTTTTCCTCCGGGATGTCCGTTAACTGTTTACCGTCCGAGAGAGGCTCGTCTCCGGACATTTCGAGGAAATACGCTTTTTCTCGCTTTAGTTTGCCTGAAGTGACATGATTCGGAAACTAGAAAACCGTTTAACACAGGTATTTAAAGTTTTTACCTGTTACTTAATGAATCCCTGTCGTTTTTATTGGAAGTTTTATTCAAAAATCACCCGATTGTGTGACGCACAGGTAGGCCCACAGACTCCTGATACACCTGCACATTGAATGATTGATCACAGATTAAGTTCCCTCTTCAATAGGATCAATACTTTACTTCCTTGCCAGGGCTGAGGTCAAGTTTCTTGCAGGCTTTTAAAGTGACAATACCGGCAAAAATCCATAGATAGTCGTTGAATGGTATGGGTAGGCTGCAGTTGATATAAATGAGTTTTGCAATTTGTATTCTTTTTTATTTAAAGTTTATAATTTATGAAACTATGCAAAATACTGGAGCGTGCATACTTGAGTGATGGTTTTTGTTCCTTTGCAAACTCATGGACTGTGTCTGTCACCCTAAAGTCTTCAGAGTCTCTGATTTATGTCCACTTTCTTAAGCACTGAGTGAATCACTGATGTTGACAATAGTCTAGTGGTCTAAAGAATCATGCATGTTTTCTGCAGAAGGCCTGAGCAGACATGTATGCATGCATTTTATTTCCTCTGTTCTCCTCTTGGTGAGGAGTTTTCTTTGAATGGTTTTCCTCACACTGTAAACCTCAGATTAGTTTTTGTAGGTTTTGTTGCAGCAGTGTTGTTTGCAGCACAATAGCTGACATTATTGAGCTGGAGGTAAAAAAAATGTAGTTGTGATGTTTGAAAAGATCAATTGTGTGAACGTGCAGCAGAAAGATGTAAGAACTGCGTCATTTTTTCCTGAATCGTGCAGGCTTGATTGAAGCCAGTTATTGATCGTTAGTTTGACACTGGATGCTGGGATTGCTGCTGAAGTGAGTTTGTGCAGTGTGTACTGTCTGAACCATGTATTGTTTGCACATACACAATAGTCAAGTTGTAGGACATGCCATGCTCATCAAATGAACCAAAACACATCCGTCTGTCAACACTCCCTTATTCAGGCATGGAAATCTCTCACCTTTTGGTGAAATTCGCCGTTTTGTCATAAAGGGTGACCTACATGATCGTGTAGATCAAAGGAGAATTTTTTTAGGGGGGGGGGGGGGGGTCGGGAGATTTATTTATTTTTTTATTATCATGTGATCGACTTAATACGTAAACTGAGCACTTCAGAAATCGGCCCTTTTAAATGACACTTGGACGGTCAGCAAATCCTCCAATCATAGGCCAAACTGCGTTCCATTATTCCAATCATGCGCACACTCTTCACGAGTACTTGGAGAGCCTGTGGTAGCATTGCAAAGCTGCGAGAACGAGAAGCAGGACTTATCCATGCCGGTGTTGTGCCGTAGAATGCACCCCTGCCGTAGAATGCCCCATTGACGAGAGCGCGGTCCAAGTTTTCCTTACCGTGGATGGATTCAAAAGAGTGTGCCTTTAATGACTTCATTCAGGTTATTCAGATAAGCCGAAAACAAAAGCCCTCTGATTCAGAATATTTGCTGTCCCGAGACATTGTGTCATTTTTGAGACACATTAAAACAGAACGAATGTTTGCGATTGAATTTGGTGAGTAATGGTTTCAATCATTTTCATATTTTGTGGTATAACAAAGTTACTGCCGTTCGCTACAGTTTGCGTTGAACACTGCCAGAGCTAGCCAAACCTCCGGTGACAAAATAGCTCCCGTTTGCTTGATATTAAGTTAGCATCAAGCTTGTGTAGTTAACAGTAACATAAAGGAAGAAACACAAGCTTCTTTCTAATAGCTCTGTAATTGGTATTTCAGGGACGTGTGAGGATAATATTCACGTGGGGGGCTGAAAAGGCTGAAGGTGAAGAGGTAAATTCTAGAACTTGTTGTCCTATGCTTTGCCCCATGCTTGAAGCCTTTTGTGACGAAATAAAAACATGTGAACCCTGGTCTTTTTAACACTACTTTTCGCCGCTGATGTTATTCATTGATTCATTAAAACGTAATGGTTTTGAGCCATCTAAAATAGCGAAAGCGGGCATCTCGCGTTTACTGCTCTAGCTCTATCCGTTGACAAGACGGGGCGTCAATTTTTTTCAGCGCGACATTAGCGTGAGAGAAGACAACAGGGAAGAGTGTGTCACGAAAGGCTTACCGTGTGTTTAGACCAAAAGCTACTAAAGCTGTTGTGTAAATCGCTATGTTGCTATTATTTTTATATGGCTGTCAAGAAACTGGGAGTGCTCAGCAGGCAAAGAAGCAGGCTGCTGAAAGTGAGAAGCAGGCAAGGCTGAGGCATGTGGCCACTCAGCGTAAAAGGCCATGGAGACTCTGGCGGCCCAGGCAAAAAGAAAAAAGAAAAAAGTGATCAATTGGACTTGGTATTGGATCTATTGGAATTGCATGTATTGTTCTCCAGTCTGGCAGGGCATACATTGATCTAAAGTGCAGGATGTAAAGTCTTTATTTTTTTTATTGTTTTTTTTTTTCTCTTTAAATTATTATTCTTCATATGGCCTTGTACAAACAGGTTTGAACACCTCTCTCTGACTCATCTAACTCATTTAGCTTCTGTGAAAGTAAACTTTGTTTCTAAATAAAACATGGCCAGCACAAGATGCATGTGATGTTGTATGTGTGTGTGTGTGTGTGAGACTTGGAGTGTTTTTGGCGCCTCCTGCAGATCACTGAAACACAATGTGGGTGAACAGATCTCAATATTTTGTTGGGTTATACAGTGTACCGGAATGTATTTCCTCTGCACCCTTCTCACCTTTTCAACCCCTGACCCATTTTCATGCCTGCTTATTTTTCAGGATAATTCTGCACCTCCAGTCAATATTTATACTGCAGAACAGAAAAAAACAAGACAAAAAAACTGCAGTATTAGTTTTGTAGTATTGTGTAGCCCTGGTCTCTGTGTATTGGTGCTTTTCAAGTTGATTTTGGTGGGTACGTTTTCTGAAATAAACAAGATGAAGAAAAACATAGCCCTCATAGTCCCCATGACCAAACTCTACTGCAACAAAGGACGTCCCCATAAGGTTTTTTCAGCCCACCTTTTTCCAAGATTTAGAACAGATTATTTACTGATGATGATGATGAACAAAACACGTCTGTGTGTCCTGCTGGAGAGTCATCAGGTGTCTTCAACCGAAAAGTGCTCTGAAGAAGACCATCAGCTCACTGAGTCATGCTGTGTGTGTGTGTGTGTGTGTGTGTGTGTGTGTGTGTGTGTGTGTGTGTGTGTGTGTGTGTGTGTGTGTTAGATCTGCTGCTGTCTCTTTGCCTGAGCCACCTGATAAACACTGTGCAGTACGTCTCTAGGTCAGGTTGCAGTCTGGGGGGTTCTGGGAGTCTGGTGTGTACGGGGTCAGCAGAGTGTGCTCTGGCTGCAGCAGGTTTGTCCTCTGAGTCTGAAGAATGTAAATAGAAACAGTAACTGGAGCCTAATGTTGGTCCTTTGCTGCCCATGGGGGAGCGGCTGCAGCTCAAAGTGTTGACGAGGAATCGGTTCTGCTGGTGTAAGAGAGGATCGAGTGTGTGCATGAAATTTTGTTTACAATTAGGGCTGTCCTGCACCGTGTGTAAGGAATACATTAGAGTCATGCCGACAGTAAATCCTCAGCAGGGGCTCTGACAGGCGTCTGACCGATGTGTGTGCAGACCTGAGGTCAGTTCAGGCTGCAGTTCGGCACGAGTCCATTTGGAACTTTTTACTGTGGTGATCTGATTATCCACAGCCAATCAGGTTATTGTTGAGATGATTCTTAATCAACTCATCCTTGTATTTTGCTCAAGATGTAACACAGATGCTGACATAGAAACACCTCCAGTTTTGCCGATAATAAGGGACCAGTGAGCAATGTTCCCTCTAAGCTGCGCGCCTGCGCAATCGCGCACTGCTCACACATTGTCAGCGCACAAGAAAAGCTATACAGCGCATGTCTAACACAGTGAGTGATAGATGTCCAGCCAATGATGTGATACGGTTCACTTACGCTACGTAGCCAATCATCGCATTGACATTGCTTACATACCGTAAATTCCGGACTATAGAGCGCACCGTTATATAAGCCGCAGATGCTTATTTTAGGGAAAAAAATAACTTTGTACACGTATAAGCCGCACCGGTAAATAAGCCGCGGGTGTCCACCTGGTGACATTGTCACCTAAAAAGTAAATTAAGATGTTTTTTTATCAAAGTCTGATATTTATTTCGAAATATTTACTCAGCTACACACAGATAGCGAAAACATATGGACAACAGTAAATCTACACAAGCAGTTGTCAGCGCTGGTCCGTGTCCCTGTGTGTGCGGGTGTGTGTGTGTCTCTCTGTGTGTGTATAGCCCTGTAGACGACTTTCATTCACGGATACATAAAAGAAGTGGACAAAGAAGTGGCTGCGGAGAAATACGCGGCCGGTGGGAACTAAAGGCTGCGCTGAATGGAAGCTAGTGATGTGTCGGTCGGTGACCAGAAGGAGCGCCGCGATCGTGCACTGCAGATAGTTTCGGCACCTGTTTTATTTCCTTGCGCGAGCCGCGTCGGACCCCCCCCCCGGCGGTCTAAGGGTAAGGGCATTTGATGGTGCTCACAATGATCTTCAGTGTGCTCACGAAGCTTGTGTGTTTACCCAGACACATGAAAAATTAGAGGGAACATTGCCAGTGAGTTTCCGCGAGTTTATTCAGATGGTCCTACAGGGAGGAAACATCACTGTCATCACTAGTGCTGGGCGATAGGACGATAGATATCGTGGGCACGATAGAAAAATGTCTATCGCGCCATTTCTATTTTTATCGTTTCGAGTGATAGGCTGTATTTTATCCATAGGGCTTGTGCCCTCAGATGATTCATAGTAACAACAACAATAATTGCACATTCAGTAAGTGTATTTGGTGTCAAACGGGAAAGAAAACAATATTTTCTTACAAAGAAAAGGATGCGTTGACATGTAGGCTCGCATTTCTCTTTCGATTTTGCGACATGACGCTGCTTTACGTGCCCTCTTCGTGTCCAGCGTCTCCCGCCGTTGCGGGTTACCTGGGTTACACACGTGAGGGGATCATTGTAAGCAGTGCTTAATTTGTGCCGGAGCAAGCCGGAGCACGCTCCGGGACCTCTTTTGATCGGATCTGGGACCTATTTCAGCCGCTCCGGCACCTGTTTCATCTGCTCCGGGACCTTCCCTGTAGAGGATGACATTTTTCGGGAGTCATTTTTAAATTAATCCCTTGATCGGGACGGGACGGAAAAAAAGCAACGGGAGTGGGCAGGAGCGGGAACAACATTAATAGATGATCATTTTCAGCTTTGTTAAACAACCAGATGAACAGGTGCGTCCATTTTTGTAGTCATCTCTCAGTGAGAGCCAACACTCTTGACCGCGCTAGCAACACAAAAGAACTACAACAGTGGTTTGACTTCCTGTCAGCTGGGAGCGCGGCTGCGCATTTCTACCCTTCAAGCCAGGAGCGAGGAAATGTAATTTTGTGACATTCTGTAGTTTTTCAATCATTTCTGGAGGCGTGGCGAATCAAATCACCTTACCTGTCTGCCCCTGATAGGCGAATAAAGCGCTCAGATTCATGCTCGGGTCTTGCTACGTGCTTCAAGAGTAAAGTAAACAACGACGGAGGCAGAGAGCAGCTTTGGAGGAGAAACATCCAGCAGTGTGAACAACCTCTTCAAAAGAGCCCTAAAAACCTACCTTTTTAATAAAGCCTTTGGTTAGCTTTCCTCTATGCTTTTACTACCTTGCCTCTTACATTGCAAGTCTATATTCTTTATTTTTTTTATTCTTTTATGCTTTTTTTATGCCAATCTGTGACTGTCATTCTATTGCTTTTTTTATTGTTGCTGCTCTTTTTTTACTGTGTACTGTAGCACTTTGAGATTTTTTGTAAATGTAAAGTGCATTACAAATTAAATTTATTATTATTATTATTATTATTATGGAGTGCTTTGGCTCACACTATCAGCGTTTTCTGTGAGTGTTGCATAACTTTGGGTGAGCACAGACATGAACGCACTTCGGCCACGTATTTATTTATTCATTTTTCTAGTTTTAAGTGCTGGTCTTGTACTGGCACTGTACTAGGGCAGCTGTATACACTTAAATTTTTCATAGAACTGAAAGCATACTATAGCTATATCGTGGTATATCGTTGTTGTGATATAAAATGATCCATATCGTGATATACATTTTTTTCCATATCGCCCAGCACTAGTCATCACTGTCCTTCTAATTGTGAATCTCAACAGCTAATGTCAGGTTGTTTCATATAGAACTATACCGTGTAAGTACCAAACATGTTTGCTATTTGCACTGTGACAAATGGCCCGTCATATGGTGAGTTGATATCAGGTGAAGTATATGGCACATACAGTACAGTTTCAGACACTGATCAGGTTGAATTAGTTAACAGCTGCTCTTTCAGCCCTCACCAGCTCTGTGGATCAAATGCACACTATGTGCAGATCTTAAGCTCCTGACGTTGTTGCTCTTTGCTTCAGTCTGAACAAATGGTAAATTCTTTTTTTTTTTTTGATCAGCAGACAAAAAGTGACTCAGAGGCTCTCCTGATGCCTGATTAATAATTTTGTATTAAAAAGCAGAAGTTCTGCAGCTGTGAGAGGTACAAGTGTCAATGACGTATAAGGTTTTTCAACATGCCAATTTTAAAATACCAAAAATAAGTATATCTTTTGCAACAGTTCAAACACTAAGGGTGTGCTGGCACGCACAGGCACACAGACACAGACACAGACGTTTGGATACAGTGCTGCAAGTGAGCGTCGTGAGTGAAAAGCAAGCAAACAGAATGAACACGGCAGCTTTAGTGTCTAAACCGAACGCAACAGCCCAAGTGTGGGAATATTTCGGCTTTAAACCAAATGAAAGAGGTGAGCCCACAAATACGGACGAGCCGATATGTCGTATTTGTTCCAAAGTTGTGGTGACAAAGAAGGGGAATACGACGAACATGCATGCGCACCTCAGGCACAATCATCCCCTCCATTTTTCCCAACTGAGCAAAAAAAGTACCGCCGGAGGTGCTGCGGAGCCATCGTCCCGACAGGTACCGCTTACTGAAGCGTTTGGTAAGCAAAGCAAATATAAACAAAACAGCGCAAAATGGTGCGCGCTGACGGACAGCGGAAATTAAAGTTTATCACTTTTGACATGGTGTACTTGCATTATTATGCCATATATTATCATTTTCTATAATTTAAAAAACGGTGTCAATAATATCGTTTATCGGCAATAATTTGTAGCACAATTACCGTCCAGCAAAATTTGTTATCGTGACAGGCCTACACGTAAGCATACTGTATCAGGTATCAATGTCTCAGTTACAGAAATTAGATATTTTAGTTTGTATTTGATATAATTAATGTTATTATTGGTCGCACCACATAATTGGAAATCGCGCCAAATGACCTGAAGACCTTGTATCATTAAAAATCAATGTAAAAAGACCTATGAACAATTAATTCCATGCAAATTTTATATTCAAACCAAATTTTATTAACATTTCAAACATGAACACAAACATTTCATTTCATTTTTTTGACAAAAATTTAACTCTGTGTGTGTATGTGTCCCAGAGGCCTGTACTACGAAGCCGGATTAACACACTCAGGATAATTCTGCCACAACTCGCTCAACTTCACCAGATCTCCGTAATCCTGATCAGCTGTACTACGAGGCAGGATATCAACTCGCTAACTAAATTCAGTTGTGGTCAGTCTAGATCTGTGCACGCACACGTAAAGGGGGTGGGGTCAGTGCCACCGGACCAATCTCCATAATGGAGAAGGCTGCACGTCATATTTCACAGCTGAGGAACAGAGCATTAAATACGCAAATATGAGGAGTACCACAACATTATAACAGTGAGGAGCAGGACAGCCGCAGCTGCTAAAAACCGGAAGGACTGCTGGCAAAAAAAATCATCGACTGTGTAAATTACATTTGTGGGTTCATAAATTTATGGCCCCCTAATATGTTGTCATGCAGCGTGTGTGATCACCTCCATCATTGACGTCATTATTTCAGATACAACAGCAGTGGGGAAGAGTACATGGGAGCAAATAAAAATAAATCTAAAAATATCCGTCAAAGTAGTTAGTAAGTTTATTGGAAGATTTTATTTGTACAAATTGTAATGCGTAAACAGTGATTTCCTCACACTGCCTTTATTTCTTTTTTTCTCCATCATCTGATGGTCACATGTCATCTGCAGACACATTTGGGGTTAAGAGGAGTTTTCTAATCTGCTTCAATAAATTCTGAATGATGATTAATATGCCGCATGAAACTGGAACTTGGAGCTTGGCAAATATTAGTGCATTGCTTAGACTTCATGCTACCTGAATATTGAGGCCGTCCAAGGAAAACCTGTAACATTCGAAGAGAACGTCATCAGGTAAATCTAACGGATTTGAACGATCATGAATATAACGCTCTCGACGAAGCGCACCTCTCATTATCCGTGCAATGATGTCCCCAGGATCCGGCAAAAGTAGGCAAGCCATTTTCCAAAAGATCTGATTGGTCAGTGGGCGGTCTTTTATACCTGCTGAGATCTTATCCTGAAACATAACCTGCTTCTGAGCAGGTTTGGTGTTCCGCTTAAGTTACCGGGGCAACGGACCCGGATAAAAAGAGATCCACCTTCGTAGTACGGAAAACCCAGAAGTTATCTCGCTAAGACCAAATCCAGCTTCTTAGTACAGGCCTCTGGATAGAAAGAAATCCACCTTCATGGTACTGAAAACCCAGGAGTTATTCCAGAAGTTATCTCACTAAGATCAAATCCAGCTTCATAGTACAGGCCTCAGGCCTTTTTAAACTTTGCCCAATCTTGGCCCAATCTTTGACCAGTCTTTGCATGAACAACATGCTGCGGGGTCAGAGTTGACACGCTGCCTATGGCAAGCACTTTTTACTGTGCTTGGCAGTGGCATCTGGTAAAATAAATTCAAATGAGTCAAATAGATACATGAATTAGGGATGGACCGAATATAAGAAACACTTGGCCGAATACCAAATAGCCGAATATGATTAATAAATATGTATATAAATTATGAATTTTTATCACCAAGCAATTTTTGTACAATTGCTGTCATTGCCGTACATTTGTTTTAGAACTACCTGATTATGGCAAAACCTGGCAAACTTAAATATTAATCACTTTATGTTTGAACCATGAAACATTTATTCAGCTTCGGCACATGACATAACAATGCTATAACAATAACATTCAATAATCTTTCTCTGATATGTCGAAATATTTCCAAACCACAGACATGCCGGTTGAACGGCTTCGAGCCAAGACAGCTGCACGTATCGTGTGCGTCGTATCAGCATGCCGGTGTTGTGCCGTAGAATGCACCCCCGACGGGAGCGCGGTTGAAAGTACTTAACAAGGCGAAAAAAATCCAAGTTTTCCTTACCATTGGATGAATTCAAAAGCGTGTGCCTCTAATAATTTCATTCATTAACGATCAAATAGTCGTGTTTTTTAAAATATGAGATCATTTTCTTCCACTTTAAGAAGCTAACGAGTGGATGGGAGGCAGGGGGTGCATTCTACGGGGGTGCTTTTTACGGCACAACACCGGCTTGACTCTTGTCGCGTTCCGATTACATCATCAACATGCTACTAAAACAGGGAAAACAGCGCCGTCTGCGTTTTCCGTTTTTGAGAGTTCATTCTAAACATATGTTTATCCACACTATTCGGTATTTTTTTTCGGCCATAACATCTATTCGGCCGAAAACCGAAAATTCATTTTTGATGCTTTTCGGCCGAATATTTTCGGCGCCGAATATTCGGACCCATCCCTAACGTGAATATTAATAAATCACTAACTGCATAAATACCTTAGTGAAATGGCATGCTTTTAATATTTTTTTTCTTATTTTGTACAAAGATCAACTAACCATTATTTCAGAAATATTAGCAAAATGACTCATCAAATAACAAAAAAATATTCAAAATAATACTAAAAATTAAGTACTTAGTGTTTATCAATCATCAATTGAATATAAAAAGCGTAAATACTGCTGATCTAGGGCATATTTATGATGGGAAAAAAATCTGCAGTGGTCGCACCACATGATAATTGGTCGCACCGTTTGACATTTTCAAGTTAAGTTAAATCTTACTGATACAGAATTAGCCACATAAACAAAGCTTGCGAGCTTCCCACAAAAGGTCACTATGAAATTTATAATTAAAATATATATTTGTGGAAATAACTTAAATTGTTTTTTTGAGGTCATGCAACTTCCTGTCCTTGGGTAGATTTCAGCATAAAAGTGTCAAAAATGGTCATTGCTTGATGGTCGCACCACATGATATTTAATGAAATGGACATGATTGGACAAAATTTATTTGTATATTATAAAAAAAATATAACTGCAAAAGCTTTGCAGTTTTGTACAGGAATACAAAAAACTTTGAAAATCATGCCAAATATTGCAGAATGAAAATTGTAATAGATTTAAAGTAATTTCAAAGAAGTTTTCAAAACAGCAGTCATGGCTGGATGGTCGCACCACATGATATCTTGACACTTTGAAGTTCAGAAAAATTACAAAAAACTCCTGATTTTTGAAAAGTTGAAGTGACTTCATATATTAGAGAGATACTACACATAGATCATATATTTTTTTACATTTAAACCTTTTTGTAACTTAAAGAAAATACAGCCGGCCAGAATATTCAGGCGTCACGTCATTGACCCACAAACAGATGACTATTTAAACAGCAGGTAGGGCTGTGCTATAAAACAGTAACGATACATATTGAAATTTAATTTCTCTCAATATCAATATAAAACATGGTCAATATGCTCTTCGATAGCTGGCATTCTGCCATGTTTTGGTAGACTGTAAAAATAGCCAATGAAAAGGGGAGTTGATCCAGGTCTGCTTCACGCTGAACCAATCATGTGCTGAATTAGAACCAAGTAGCAAACAACTGCGTTGTAGCAGGCTGCAGCTACACCCAACCATAGCACTTTAAGACGTGAAGCCGACAGCACTGTTGGTGAGAAAAAAAGAAAATGAGTGCTACCCCCGGCAGAAATGCAGATGAAGGATCAACAGATGATGACATCGTCAACAACACTGGCATGAAAACATCAGTGGTGTGGAGTAAGGCTGCACGATATTGGAAAAAACTAACATTGCGATTTTTTTCAACCCTACGATATATATTGCGATATTAAAAATACAGGAATTTTCACCAGATGACCTGAATAGCATTTAATGTTATGCTGCACTGCTGAAATCTTGAGGACAGTTAACCTGCTCTGAACTTACCTCTTTTTGTGAACGTTAGTAGAATGGCTTCTGTCTGTCTCAGAGATATTTTTAGCTTTTATTGTGCTGGGACGTTATTGTGGCCGCAGATGAACACAGAACACGTGTTTTGGTCGACATCATCCTTCTTTTAACCAAAATAATTCCAGATAACTGACTTTCCTTTTCTTTTTGGCAACAAATCTTAATTTTCAGTGGTTTTCTCTTGTTCGTTGCTCATTTTGCAATCGTTGTTGTTGTTGTTAGCGGTGTTGTGCCGAGAAATGCATGTCCTCCGAGAATTGCATGCACCTCGCAAAACGCGCACCGCTTATAATAGAGTGGTCCACGGAAATGTACAATTTAAAACCCATACAGTTCTTATTTGTTGGGCTTAACAGTCATGAGTAAAGTTCCGAAAGTAATTCTCAGCGGACACGCATTTCTCGGCTCAACACCAGCAGCCAGCGTCTCACTCCATGTGTAGGACATGTGCAGAGGTGGGTTTCCTCCGCTCTGATTTTGATTGACAGCAGGCAGGGTAGTCTGATTGGCAACTGAGAACTGAGTCTGATTGGCAACTGAGTAAAGGACGAAGGTGATTGGTGGATCACCGCACAGCACATGCAGAGTCACATGCAGTGTATCTCAGTCAGTTACCCTTGAAATTAACTGAGTTTATTCACCTCCGACATCGCAGGGTCTGCGATGTGACTATCGCACACACGTACGTCGCGATGCTCAAACGATATATCGTGCAGGCCTAGTGTGGAGGTATTTTGTCGGATATGAAGCAGAGCAATGTACACTGCAAATTATGTCGAGTACATTCTTGCAAAGTTGGGGAACACTTTAAATCTTTTCACCACCTGAAGCAGTGCCACGCGGCAGAGCACGCGCAATGCAAAAGGTTTCAAACCCCAAGCAGAGCAAGGAGTCCATGGTGCCTGTGCAGCTGAAACAGCTGACCATTTAGTCCGCTTTCTTTAGCGCAATGTATGACAAAACATTGAAGAGACACAAAAACCTCACAGATGCAGTAGCTTATTGTATTGCAAAAGACATGCTATCAATAAGCACTGTTAAATTTTATTTTTCATATTTTGATATATATATATATATGTATATCGATAACGACTGATATATTATTGTGGTACACTTTTTCCCATAACGCCCAGCCCTAACAGCAGGTGGACAATAGAATCTTCATCAAACCAGCACTCTGGGATCTGTGTCTGAAACCTGGTACACTGCTGGATGACAGAGCTCCCTGATGTCATGATGAGGAGTTAGAGTTCAACAAAGGGTTAATTTGAGATATAGATTGACCTCAGTTTTAAAATATGAATAAAATTAAAGATATGTGGGTCATTCCATGAAATCGGTGCCTTTTGCGTCTCCATTGCAATGGACATGACATATTTCCATAGACTGTACATAAGATGGAAAGAGTCTGCCTCCTCGCTGGGTGAAGCCACTTCCAGAACAGCACCCTCTGATGGTGGGCTGCAGTACAGGTCATAAATCCGGCCTCTGCCAGCAAAGCTTATGGGACTGTGGACAAACTTTAAAAATGTATTACACAGAATATACATTTTTCTCCCCCCTGCTTGTGATGTTGACATGTAGTTATTGTAAGTCCTTTTTTTTCTGTACAGCTCTGTTTTTAAAAGTTATTAGGGGGTTCATGTTTTCTATGATTGACACCTGGTACAGCCTATGGGTGTTCAGGAATTGCGAAGCTCTCCCGGGGGGATACGCTCGGCTCAAACAGCGGCGACTGCGCGCATCGCTACTGCGCAGCTCTGGTTTCAAGGAAGTGGAGAAAAACCTGGAATTACCGAGAGCTTTTTGGCTTCAAATCCGTATACAGGCGGAAGGTGGAACCAGGTTGTCCATCTTATATACAGTCTATGAATATTTCTGGCTCTAAACCAATAAAAACTTTGTGAACTAATAATGTCAGCAGTGCTGGTTGCTGATTGGATCCTGATTATCAAATCACAATCAAGTCATAACTTTGTGCACGCCCAAAGGGAGTGACAGACGTCGGACAAGACAGGCATGGCTAAGCGACTGGAGAAAGGGAGGAGTAAGTGCTCATTTTCAGTCAGAAATATAAATTTATATTCAAGCTAGCCAAACAAATTTGCTCTCAGTATAATTTTAAGTGTTACAAGTGATAGTATTTTAAGTCATCTTGATTGTATCTCATATAATTAATTTCTACAATTTTTTCAAAGTCTGATGTCTAGTGCAATGGACATCGGGAGTTAGGCAACAGTTGCCAACTCTCACTCATTACTAGTGTCAATATGCAAAGAAACAAAACACCTGTTAGCTTTTCACAGGTAAAGTATGATGTCTCAGTTTATTTAGACTTAGACTTAGACTTACGCCTGGTTCACACAGGAGGCCGACTGCGCGCTTGGCTGTTCACACATAAAGCGTTTTCTGCTGCGCTCTGAAGCGCCGGTCAGACATCGACAGTGCTCGGCTGTTTCCGTCTGCCCTCAGTTCTCCACACTTAAGAGCACTTTAAACATGGGTAAATCAATATTTATTTACGTTTTTATTATGTCATACATAAATTAAATATTGGCAGCATCTTCAAGTATTGTTTTAAATTATTATATAGGGGTAAACAACGAATGAATTGGGGAGTCTTGACTCTGTTGTATGTGTAGCCTTGTTAGCTCGAGGCTATTGACTCTATCATAATAAAGTCCCCCTCTTTTGTCTCATTAACGTCACTGAATCTCTGCAGCTCTCCCTCCGTGTGTGTGTGTGTGTGTATGTGTGTGTGTGTGCGTGCGTACGTGCGTGCGTGCATGTCCAGCGGGAAAAAATAGACCGACAAGCAACACTGTAAATCCCTTTTTTCTAACTTATTGAAATATATATTATTTTGAAAACTGACCGGATTCTCTCGCATCTCCTGTTCCCGACTTCCTGTCTGGTCCGATCTGCTCCATCCAGATTTACAATTGGCGCTTGTGGCGCGCGGCTTGCGCAAAAAATAGAGAGAAGTGGAGCGGCCATGCTTCAGAGCGCGGCGCTTTGTGTGAACAGTCACATAGGTTAACACGGGTGCCGATCCGAAACTCGGTGCGCGGCGCTTCCGTTCCGCGTGCAGCGCTTCCTGTGTGAACCAGGCGTTAGACTAAACTTTATTCATCCCTTGGGAAATTCGGGTTAGCAGCAGCTTTACAAGTAAAGAGGTAGAAAAGGTGCAAAGTGCAGCATGCAAAACGTAGTTACAACATAAAATAAGATAAAATACAAAAAATTAAATAAGATACAAGTTACACAATCTACATAAATATAGAAGTGGCATATGATGGTGTGTGTGTGTGTGTGTGTGTGTGTGTGTGTGTGTGTGTGTGTGTGTGTGTGTGTGTGTGTGTGTGTGTGTGTGTGCGTGCTGGACACTGGCAACCACAGACTGGTAGAACATCTGCAGCAGTTTGCAGCAGATGTTAAAGGACCGGAGTCTCCTCAGGAAGTACAACCTGCTCTGGGTCCTCCGGTATAGGTGGCTGGTGTGTGCTGACCAGTCCAGTTTGTTGTCCAGCCACAGCCTGAGGTATTTGTAGGAGTCGACAGACTCCACCTCAACTCCCTCGAGCAGGACTGGTCTCTGCCTCGGTCTGGACCTCCCAAAGTCCATGACCAGCTCCTTCGTCTTTGAGGTGTTGAGCTCCAGGTGGTTAAGGCGACTCCAGGAGGCAAAGTCCCCCACCAGACTCCGGTACTCCTCCTCTCGGTCATCCCTGATACACCCAACGATGGCTGTGTCATCTACGTACTTCTGTATGTGACTCAGCTCCGAATCATAGCAGAAGTCCGATGTATACAGGGTGAAGAGAACAGGGGCCAGCACTGTGCCCTGGGGGGCTCCAGTGCTGCTGATCACAGTTTCAGATGTGGCATCCCTCATCCTGACATACTGTGACCTGTCTGTTAGGTAGCTGGAGATCCAGGCCACCAGGTAGGGGTCCACTCCCATGCTGTTGAGTTTGTCCTGTAGCAAGGGGTGCTGGATTGTGTTGAAAGCACTGGAGAAATCCAAAAAGAGGATCCTCACTGTGCCGCTTCCCTTATTCAGGTGGGAGTGGGTCCGGTGTAGCATGTAGAGGATGGCATCCTCCACCCCAACGTCTGGCTGGTAGGCAAACTGCAGGTGGTCTTGGGCATGTTGCACCTGGGGTCTGAGGAAGGTGAGGAAGAGCCGCTCCAGCGTCTTCATAAGGTGGGACGTGAGTGCCACCGGTCGGAAGTCATTCAGCTTGCTGGGTCGGTTCTTCTTAGGCACCGGAACAGGATGTCTTCCAGAGGGTGGGCACTCTCCCTAGCTGCAGGCTATGGTTGAAGACGCGTTGCAGTGGGCCTGCTGCTTTCCCGTGTTTTAGCTTCCTCAGCTGACCTCTGACCTGTTCTGATTGTGTTCAGGCAGGGGGGGGCGGTGTTGCGGTGTCCGGGAAGGGGGAGTGAGGTGTTGTTGTTTCCGGTGGGCAGCGTATGGTGGTGGGGAAGAGGGGTAGCTGCTGTGTGTGTATGTGTGTGTGTGTGTGTGTGTGCGTGTGTGTGTGTGGGGGGGGGGGCTGGTTGAACCTGTTGAAGAAAACGATCATTTCATTTGCCCTCTTCGTTGTCCCCACATCGGCTCTGGTCTTTGAATTGAGACCAGTGATGGTCCTTACGCCTTCCCAGACCTCCCTCATGCTGTTCTCCTTCAGCTTCTGCTCCACTTTCCTCCTGTAGCTGTCCTTAGCCTCCCTGACGAGGTGTTTCACCTCCCGCTGTGCTGCTTTCATGGCCTCCCTATCTCCGCTCCTGAAGGCAGCCTTCTTTTTGTTTAGCACAGTTTTGACTTCCCTTGTTACCCACGGTTTGTTATTAGGGTAGCAGCGGACAGACTTAACAGGGGAGACCACATCCTCGCAGAAGTTCAGGTAGTCCGTCAGACAGTGTGTCAGCCCCTCTTTGTCCTCACCATGTGGGTTTGGTCAGCACGCCCCAGTCTGTGGTGTCGCAGCAGTCTCTCAGTGCACTGTCCATTTCAGGGGACCACCTCCTGCTGGAACGAGTGGTTACTGGCTGCTTCTGGACCAGGGGGGTGTAGAGTGGCTGTAGGTGAACCAGGTTGTGATCTGACTTTCTTAGTGGGGGGAGGGGAGTGGCTCTGTATGCACCCTTCACATTAGCATACAGCAGGTCTATTGTCCTGTTGTTCCTTGTGGGACAGTCTACAGCTTGGTGGAAAACAGCCAAAGTAGAGTCCAAAGTTACATGATTAAAGTCCCCAGAGATTATTATGAAAGCCTCAGGGTGCTGTGTCTGCAGCCTCGCTGTGACAGAGTGAATCTTCTCATAGGCAGTGGCTGCGTCTGCTTTGGGTGGGATGTAAACACAGACGGAGATCACGTGACTGAACTCCTGCGGCAGATAGTATGGCCGCAGGCTAACAGCTAGTAGCTCAAGGTCCCGGCAGCACCACACAGTCTTTGCAGAGATGTGTCCCGGGTTACACCATCGGTTGTTCACATACATGATGAGCCCCCCACCTTTTCTTTTACCGCTCACTTTCGTGTCTCTGTCGGCTCTCACTGCGGTGAAACCCAGCAGGTCCATGTTAGCGTCCGGTACAAGATGGTTTAGCCATGTCTCTGTAAAGATGAACAGACTGCTCTCCCTGAAGATCCGTTAGTTGTTCAGTGCGGACAGCTCGTCGATCTTGTTCAGCAGTGAGTTTACATTCCCCATGATTACGGAGGGAATTGATGGTTTGTAGCGCCTTTGGTTCTCCTTTAGCTTAGCCTTTAGCTTAGCCCCAGCCCTGCAGCCCCTGGGTCTTCTCCTCAGCTCTGCCGGTATAGCATTTATTCATCTTTACAAAATTTTAAATGTATATTTTTTTTTTGTACATAATGTTCCTGTAGAGTATAAAGTCGAAGACTTCCTTGAACATCTTGTAGATGGAGAGTTATCCGAACTTTACTCTTTGATTTTCAGGAAATGAAGCAGATGAGACCGGGAGTGAGACAGTTGGTAATCTCAGAAGTGTTTTTAATTCATAGTATGAGGTTTTCATCATTTTTTTAGCTTATATGTAAGCTCTAAATCACATGGAATGCATAAGAGTTCAATAGTGAGAATACATAGAATGAGTTTTAAATGTGATTGTTTTGTTATTAGAATTAGAGAGGGACAGTGAAGAGGTTCTATGCATGCCAGAAGAACTTGAGGTGGCAGGACAGTTTGAGATAGATGAGACAGACAGTGTGGACAGACAGAGTATCAGAAGGAGATGACAGTAACCAGGAAGGAGGAAATCAAGTGACGTCACAGGCCATTCACTACAGTCAATGACACTTCCTTCGAGAATCCTCCAATTCGAGATACAACCCATGAGACCCTATGAATACTTTGATGGCCAACAACACAAACATTTATGTCATGCTATGTGGTACGCTAAGTTTCAAAACAACTAGTTCAGGAGAGATCAGAACCCTTGTCAGTCTCCACCTTGCTGTGCGAGTGATGAAAATGCCAAGAGTCTCCATGTACTGGGAAGCTGGGATGGACATTGGTATTTTTCAAACAGACTTAAAAATATGCAGAATATCCAGTTCCAGATGGTTAGGTCATACTTGAGTAATTACTATGTGTAAAAACAATGCCTTATTTTTCTTAAGTTTCAATGACATTTTACGCCCGTCTAGTTGTGGCGTCCACCATAATGGACATGAAAATATACAATAAAAACATGAATTGGCAAAAATGTTTTTCCCCCCTTTGTTTCTATGTTGGAGAGGAGTAAAGACCAGTTGGAGAATTTTTTTTTTACCCAACAGAAAAAGTGCGGGTCTGAAGGGGTGAATATGTAATTTAAAAATATAACATTACCATGTCTTCTCTTCTTAATATAACATCAAATTAAAGTCAATTAAATGTCATTTTAAACAATATAAATTACTTTTGAGGGTGATGGGGTGAGGTTTTTGGCCTGTCCCTCACTACTATTGCTGTACGTATACAGGACTTTAAATTTGTAAATGTTAAAATTTTCACATTTACATATTGTTTTAAGTATGATCTTATTGTTAAACAGTGTTTTTGGTAATAATGTAGATTAGTCATTATAAATATTTACCAATTTATCAGCGTCCCCTGATTTCATGTCAACCCTGTTACCGCAACTAAAAAAAACTAAAAAGATAATGGTACATTCCAGATTTGACTTGATTGACAGGAGGTCAAAGATGCTAACAGCTCAGTGACAATTAAGTTTCTCTCATCTCTGATGTGCTATTTTTTAAGTTTTTTTGAAGTTTAACCGGGGGTACAAGCATACAACGTCAACCCTGTTACCACTTTTTAACATATAAACCTAAACAATTTTCTATTTCTCAAAATATAATCAATATCTACAAGTAATTACCTTTTAGAGTACCTAGCTTGTATTTTAGCTAGCACTTATTTGAGCTAGCCACAGGCAGATTAGGTTAAAATTGCCAACCCTGGCACTGTCAACCCTGTTACCGTCAGCCCTGTTACTGTCAACCCTGTTACCACTTTTTAACATATAAACCTAAACAATTTTCTTTTTCTCAAAATATAATCAATATCTACAAGTAATTACCTTTCAAAGTACCTATCTTGCACTTTAGCTAGCACTTATTTAAGCTAGCCACAGGCAGATTAGATTAAAATTGTCAACCCTGTTACTGTCAACCATGTTACCTTTCCACAGTAACAGGATTTGACATGTGAGTAACAGGGATGACATAAAATAATGTTTACCCTCGTTGTACTCTCTTTAGAGGTTAACCTTTTAAAATTAAAACATTTTTAGGTCATCAAGTGAGCATTATTGAGGTAATAATTTTTTGATTGATTGATTGATACGCCGGTGGAGAGACAATTACTAAGTGTCCGGTTACTTTTACTCTTGTCAGCCCTGTTACCATAACGTCAATCCTGTTGTTGTCATTAATTTGATAAAAGTGTAAAAAATGACAACTCAAATAAGCTTTCAACACTCACCATTATAATTTAAATTACATTATATTTTAGATTGGGCCATCAACATTTCTCTTCTAAAAAATATCTGACATATGTTGAGATGTGTGATAGCCATGCAAAATTAGGGTATATTTGACCATCTGAATGACAAATATCTAATTGGAGAAAAAAATCCACAAAATAAAATAATCTCAATGGAAAGAGAGACTAAAGTACTGTTAATATATGTGCCATATATTGCATATTTCTAATTAGAAATATTGTATTTTGTTAAGTTTATGTCGGTAACAGGGTTGACAAGATTATGAAAACAGCCAGGAGAAAAACGGTTGTAAAATATGAAATAACACAGCCTGAGATGGCACAGTATAATTTCTTGCCATTTTAAACAGTCTTTGATTCCTGGGTACTTAAAAAATAACTAAATAAAGATTAAATTTAAAATTTTCTAAGCTGAAACGGCATCGGTTTCATGGAATGACCCATATATATTTTCAGACCAAATCTCAACATCAGGAAGACTTTTTATTTTTTATTGGACCTGTTCAGTCAAATATCTCAACATCTGATTTATAATCCTCTTCCTGCTCCTCTCTCCTTCTCCTGCTTCTCTCCTCCTCATGCTCCTCTCCCTGCTCTCCTCTCTCTTCCCCCTGCTCCTCTTCCTGCTTTCCTCTCTCCTCCTGCTTTTCTCCCTGTCCTCCTTTTCTCTCCTCCTCCTCCTGCTCCCCTACTTCTCCTCTTCCTGTTATCCTTCTCTCCTCCCCCTGCTTTTCCTCCTGTCCTCCTCTTCTCTCCTCTTTCCTCCTGCTGATGTCCTCCTTGGTTCCTGATCCATTGCTGTGTTTAATTAAAACCTGGTTATAGGTACAGACAGACAGAGTCTTGTCAGATCCCTGTGAGTCTTCCTCTTAGTCTGAATATTCTTTAGATTTGTTGTTTGTCTACAGAGTGTGTAAATGTGTAAATGAACCTGTGATGACGACAGCTTCAGCAGTTTCATCAATAATAAAAGTATATGAATATTTAGTGATACCTGCATCAGCATATTGTTTCCACACCCTCTCTTTTAGAACCTGAGCGTGTGCCGAGGTGAGGCAGTGAAATCTGAGCAGAGAGATTCCTGCTGCCATCAGCTCCATCTTCTCTAATTTCAGCCCCCCCCCCCACCCCCACCCCTCCTCAACCCTGCTCAGAGCCTGCAGAGCTCTCCTCATCCTGCACTATGACCCATTGAAAACAGCCTTGATTGAGAGATGGAGAGATGACTGGAGAGAGGGACTTCAATCTGAATGAACCACCTCTGAAATAAACACCTCCTCTTCCAGGATCCTTTTTTTTCTCCTCTTGTGACAGTCCCCATGGACATCTCTTTGAAACGTTTGATGTTCTCTGGAAACAAACCCTGCAGCTCTCTGCATGTTTTACTCGTGAAAGCTGCCAGTCGGCTGTTTCTGTCAGTGCTCAGGCTCCATTACCAAACCCCTTATGGACGGCCATCACAGGGCCAACTGCTCGCATGTTCCATCAGTTCACATGTTATATTTACCTCTAAAGACGAGTGCAGGCTCTGCACAACACAGCATGGACTCCCTTTTAGGATTTCATATTATTATTACTGTTGTATTTTATCCCAAATAGCTCAAAACAGTTGGAGCTCCTGCCGACTGGCTGCAGTCAAGGCCATAAAGGCCTCCTCCTCCTCCTCCTCCTCCATGTGATTAGATGGGTCAAAGTAAAAAACAGCACTCACAGTGAAGCTCTGGGCTCGGTGTTTCAGAGATGTCACTTCAGGAAGGTTTAGGAGGAATTGGCCTGCTGGTTGAATCATGGTAACACCACCTGATGCTGTTGAACTGCTGCAACTCTTCTTCTCAGTATCAAGACTGTATCTGAGCCGCTTCAATGAACCTGAAAAAAAACAGCTGCAGCTCAGGCTGTCATCCAACCCTCCTGACTCAGCTGTCATGGTTGTAAAGTTTGTGCCCCTCTCTCTGGTCAGTTTCAGGATCAGCACAGCTACTGATCAGGGCCATGGAGCAAATGCACTGAGACACTTTTGTTACACTGTGAATTTTTCTTTCTTATTGCTCTTGTGGACAAATTTCGATTCACTACTTATCCTACAGCTTGAAGAGTTGTCAGACAAATTATATATAAAATTGTGCGGTTTGAGGGGGATCTATGTGCTATTCCTTTTTTCTTCTATGTATAAACTTTTGCTGACTCTCATTGTGAAAAACTTAACTTTAAGTCAATACGACAAGCCAAAAAAAAGAGCAATTATTTGAGTTTTTTAGAGATTCACCAGGGTTTTTCCTGCGTTCAAAATTGCGTGGCGGCCGCCTCCACCTAATTTTGGGCCGCCCCCAGCAAGAGCGATTGATTTCGCTCAACACAGCGTAAAGCTCCAGCTGTGTTGATTGAGCGATTGATGTCCCTCTGCAGCAGCAACGTATTTTAACTGCAGTTGCAGCGTTGCGCCACTGTAGAGGCGCTATATCAACAGCAGTGCACCGGAAAGACCTGAAGCATCTACCGAAGAAGAAACGGATCGAATCATGTTTTTTCAAGTTTTTTTCCCGCTAGTTGGTGCTATCGGCGTCCTGATTTTCCCTGGCGGATGGTACAAACAGGTAAATACTGCTTGTCTTTTTTACATCCGAGCATGATTTATTTAAAAAAAAAAGTTTCCTCCGTTTTTAGCGTTGCAGTTATGACAGGCAAAATCAGCCAGTACTTTAAAAAGCGACCTCGCGAGGAGGAAAGTCAAGAGTCCAGGTGAAACACGGCAGAGAAAAAACGTAACAGGCAGTTAAAATGCTATAATTCATGGTGGTGACAACGTGGAAATTTGTGTCAGGTCTGAAAGTACTTCACAAGGGACTGGTGATCGCGAGGGTCAAAATGCAGGACAGGACGAGTCGGCGAGGCGAAGGTAATTAATTAATTAGTTTCCAATTAGGAGCATAACAACGCAAAGCCAACGGGTACGTAGTTTTTATTCCTCTTTCCAGATCTTCTCAAAAACACAGAGCCAGTGGCTTTGACAAGCAATGGCTCAATCAATTTACCTGGCTCAGGCATACTGAGGAAGGCATGCACTGTTATTTATGCCAAAAGCACTGTGCCCCAACACAGCAGGCAATTGCTGCCTCCTTAGTGAGACAGCCATCAACCAACTACAGGCTGGACACATTAAAAAGACATGAGGTGACAGCCATTCACAAAGCAGCAGAAGAGAAGGAGAAGTATATTAAAGATGGTAGTACCTAAAAACACTCAACTAATAAAGTTACAAAAACTAAAATAACATAGTTTAGATAGTTTAAGAAATAATTGGTTGTCGTTTTTTTAGGGAGGACACTGCAGCGTATACATATATATAATATATGATTGAAAACACTATCACTCTTCATGTCTGTATCAGAATAAAAACAAAAATACTTAATGTATGATGAATTGTTTTGTTTAAGGTGAAGACACCTCTGCGGAACAGACTGAAGGAGAGGCACTTGGATGTCTGTTGTAAGGTGGCCGTTGATGGACCAGACCAGGAGGCCTTGGACTACAAGGAGTGCATGAGGAGGTTCTACAGAATGAAAAAGAGGAGGCTGAAATGTTCTGTCTGGTTGCGAGATGTGTGGATGAAGTGTACTTTCAATTTAAAGTTGCCAGCTGATTTGTATATGTATATAGTTTTAATAAATGAATGCTTTAACATGATAATGGTCACACTCTTTTTTGAACTCTTAACTTAAAGTATGTTGCCTGTAAAAGAAAGTGAGTCGGTTGAATTTACAAATACATGCACGTCATGGCGCATGGTCAGGATGGTGCCACCTCTGCCTCAATTTGAGCCAGGAAAAACCCTGTTCACTGTTCCGACTTCAGTTATTTGTCTTATAAATAAGAACTTGAAGAAGGAATGTTTGTTGTAGATGTGCTCCTCATATACAGTTAGGCTCAGAAATATTTGGACAGTGACACAATCTTCATGATCTGGGCTCTGCATGCCACCACATTGGATTTTAAATGAAACAACTACAATGGAATTGAAGTGCAGACTTTGAGGTGTAATTCAAGGGGTTGAACAAAAATATATGATTAAACATGTAGGAATTGTAGCTATTTTTATACAAACGCTCCTTATTTCAGGGGCTCAAAAGTAATTGAACAAATAAACATAACCCTAAGTAAAATGTTTGTGGGTCTTTCTGCCTTAAGTTTTGTCTTGAACAAGTGAAATGCATGCTCGATTGGGTTGAGATCTGGTGATTGACTCGGCCATTGCAGAATATTCCACTTCTTTGCTTTTAAAAATCCTGGGTTGCTTTTGCAGTATGTTTTGGATCATTGTCCATCTGTACTGTGAGGCACTGTCCAATTAACTTTGCTGCATTTGGCTGAATCTGAGCAGAAAGTATATCCCTATACACTTTAGAATTCATCCGGCTGCTTCTGTCTTTTGTCACATCATCAATAAACACAAGTGACCCTGTGCCATTGGAAGCCATTCATGCCCATGACATCACACTGCCTCCACCATGTTTTACAGAAGATGTTGTGTGCTTTGGATCATGATCATGTTCCATTTCTCCTCCAGACTTTCTTCTTCCCATCATTCTGGTACAGGTTGATCTTAGTCTCAATGCTGTTCCAGAACAGGGCTGGCTTCTTCAGGTGTTTTTTGGCAAAGTCAGCTCTGGCCTTTCTATTTTTGAGTTTGATTAATAGTTTGCACCTTGTGGTGAGTCCTTTATATTTACTCTCCTGAAGTCTTCTCTTTATGGTAGACTTCTTCACCATGGTAAGGATTCTTCACTCATCCACCACTGGTGTCTTCCGTGGACATCCAGACCTTTTTGAGTTCCCAAGCTCACCAGTGCACTCTTTTTTTTCTCAGAATGTACCAAAGGTTGATTTGGTCAATCCTAGCATTTCTGCTATCTCTCAGATGGATTTCTTCTTTTTTTCAGCCTCAGGATGGTCTGTTTCACATCCATTGTGAGCTCATTTGACCACATGTTGTGTATTCACAGCAACAGCTTCCAAATGCAAACGTCACACCTGAAATCAACTCCAGACCTTTTAACTACTTGGTGATGACAGGGTAAGGAGGGAAGAGCCCATACAGTCTTGTTTTTTTTTTTTTTTTGCAGCTTTCTGAGTCAATGGTCCAATTACTTTTGGACCCTTGAAAAAGAGGGGGCTACTTATTAAAGAGCTGTAATTCCTAAACCCTTGCTCCAATTTGGATGTGAATACTCTCAAATTACAGCTGAGAGTCTGCACTTTAAGCCCATATTTGTTATATATATATATATATATATATATATATATAGCTGTTACATAGCAGCTAAAATAACAGAACTTGTATCACTGTCCATATATTTCTGGGCCCTACTGTATAATATCACAATGCTACTGGTATGAATGATTTGAAATCAATGAAGAATCTCATCATAATCTACACACCCCAGCAGTAGAGATAGTTTTCTAGTTGTGTGTTTACTTCACTGTGAAAGTGGCTGCGGCCAAAAGAGAAATGGTCAAAATCTGAGAAAACATGAATACTGAAATGAGCAGAAAAGGATCAGCCCAGAAAAACAGCAGGTTGAAGTGTCTATCAGAGTGACTGTAGACTTTCACACTTCCAGGGTCGATCATGAGTTGGATAATGATTCAGTACTTCACATGGATGTTTCCTTGGACATTCTGACGTTTGGAGCAGTTTCACTGATGACCTGTCTGTGTCACTGCTCTGCTCTGACCTTCAGAAACATTTTGCATTTCTCCAATCTTTGTCTGAGTGACTGGAGCTTTGACTAATTAAAACAGAGTCCAACATCTGGTGCCAAACGTGAATTCAGTGAAACTTTGGAGCAGGCTGTCATATCGCTCAGAACGAACGCAACGTCCTCATTGTTGTCAGAATGAGGTGAATCCTCTCACTGGGTGCCGTTGCTCTGTTAAGATCTCCCTGGTTTATCTCTAAGTGGCGCTCAGCTTGAGGAGGACACAGTGTTGCGTGTTTGAGGCTCATTGATGAATAAAAGCGCAGAAGCAGGACAGCTCTTTGCCAGCGATTTCACAGGGACTGAAATATTCTCACTGGCGTTTCTGCTCTGGCAGCCTGAAAGTAGGGTTTTTCACATCTTCTTCCTCTGTGCTGGCAGATCCAGCTGCTCCCTCAGGTGATGGACAGAGCTCCAACAAACAGCTCACAAGTCTGTACGCATAAAAAATAGATTTCAGGGTTAGACTCAGATATTCAGTCAAATTTGGCCTTTGTCCTGTATCATGTGGTCTGCTGCCAACAATCCGTCAACAGAAGAGCAGACTTAAGGTCCTTACACACCAGCGAATTTGCGGAGCGAAGCGAAAAAGCGAGACGAAAATTGCGAATATTCGCCGGTCCGAAAAATCGCTTTCGCCTATACACACCGGCCGCGAAGCGAATATGCGTATATTTTTTGCAAAGCGAATTAATAAAGTCGCTTCGCGGCACGGAGGAGAGGAGATGCGGGGTGGTCCTGTACCGCAATTACCAGCCTCTCTCCCATCGTTGCTCTTGGTGCCAGTGGTGGTGTGTGTCGTGTGAACGGCTGCTGATTGACATGTCTAGCATTATGAGCGAGGGAGAAAGAGGAGGAAAAGCTGTGAGAGACGCCGCAGCAGCCAGGAGAGGCGAGGGCTGAGCAGTGATCCTTCAAGTTGTCTGGTCATTCTGTTGGCCCTTTAGCTGCAGATCATCGGTATGTAAAACAGCTAAGAGGGAGAATCAGGCATGATGAGGAAGTCACCCTGTGAAGTGTGCATGACACCTAAGGAAGACATGAGAGTGTCATCTTGTGAGGAAACTACTTCATTAGTAGTTAGAAAGAGTTTTGGATGCACCTCAGCTGCCTTTCTCTGCGTTTTCATAATCTCAAACTTCTCCCTCTCCTCCAGCCGTATGGGTCTGTGACGTCATCAACAACATGACTTTTGATTGGCCAGAGGTCTAGCAGGTCCAGATATTCGCCTGCGAATATCCGAAAAATTCGACACAAGCGAATAAATAAAAGCGGCTTTTCGCCTCACGGGAAAATCACCGCCGGTGTGGAAGCTTGCATTGACTTTATGCTGTTTTAAAAAAAGGCGAATTATTCGCCTGGCGAATTCGCGCCTGGTGTGTAAGGACCTTAAGTGTCTGCTCTGCTTCAGTTATCAGTGTCTCCTCCAGAAATCAGCCTGTGTTTGTTGTGGGCCTGAAAAGCCTGATTTCTGGGGGGCCTTTTGTCAAGTTTAGATGTCGTATTTTAGCGACACAAAGACTGTTTATAATCTATATTAATGTCTTGCAATGCATAAAAGTTGAAGTGTGAATCCCTTACGGTAGGTTTCAGTAATGTCTCTGAACCCGCCTGCTGTCGGGCTTTGTCAGCTTTCATTTCAGGTTTTGTGATTCACATCAATTTAAATCCACAGTCCTGTCTGACATCACACTCTTCTGCAAAGAGGATCTCAGACTTATGTTAGACTGTCTGGTTGAGAGTCAGACCATCAGAGCAACTCCACGCAGAAGTCAAAAGTTCAGACTGAAACTCTGAAACCTGCAGGTAGAAACAGAGAAACTTCTGCAAACAGGAGAGAAGTAATACCAGAGAAGCTTAGGGAGCTGCAGGTGTGTGTGTGGGTTCTGGTTTTCTCTCTGGTATCAGGACTCCAGAGGAGCTGCATAAGTAAAACCCTTCAGCAGATGAACTCTGACTGGTCCTGCAGCTTCAGCTGAGCTCACAGACTCTGAGGTTTACATAAGAACTTGAAAAAGCCCTTGAAACCGTAAAGCTCCAGCTCTCCCTGTGCTCCTCATGCTGCGTTCAGGTTTTGGTGGAGGCTTTTGTGAGCAGCTTAGGCTGTTTCTGGTGGTCCCTGTGGATTAGCTGAAGCTCCCATTACAACCCCTCCGAGCTGTTTGTACCTGAAAAAGACAGTCTGTACATGAGAAAACTCTTTTAGGTCATCTTCGGTTCAGACTGAACACCTGAATCTCTTCCTCCACCTCCTCTCTAATGAGAAACAGAGCAGGATTGTGTGTGTGACGCAGAATATTTCACCCTCATCCTCCTCAGCTGAAGCTCTGACAGCTCTGACAGCGGGTTTGTCGACTCTCAGCACAGAAAAATGGGATTCTGCTGAGTCTGTTGTGTCACCTCTTTTTGTCACTTCTGTCACACTTTTTCAGAGAAGTGCTTTATGCCCCCCTGTGTACCGGATACACAAACGTGCAGGCCACCACCCTGTTCTAGGATGGTCAGAAGGACAGTTCAGGAGACATATCAGCCCTGGGGTTGCTCATTCTCATGTCACAGTCTGTCCTGTATTGATGTTTTCAACCTTTTGTCCCTGGAGAGCTGCTGTAAAGAGGTCACTGTTACCATGGTTGGCTGAAGTCCTGTAAAAAGAATGTACAGTGTGGACTGACATTTATCATAGGGTGAGATAATTCAATTTAATTCAATTTATTTAACTTCAAGTTTTTGTTGAAAACATTTGCAAGAGTCACAACTTCAGTGCAAAAGCAAAAAAACAAATCCCACATGGATTATTCACTTCAATTTTTTGGCTTTTGAGAGTTTGCATACAAAAATCCTAATAAATCTCAACGGCGTTCAAACTACCCCAAAAATGGCTAGAAAGAAGCAACTGAGTAAAGAAACAAAAGTGCAGATTTGTACATTGAGGAAAGAAGGGTACACAGAAAGGGAAATTGCAAAACGCCTAAAGGTGTTTAACAAAGGAGTCCACTACACTCTGAAGAGACTAGACTCTAGTCTCTAGAGGAACCTGGAAGTTATGATGATAGAAAAAGACCTGGACGAAAGAGAGTTACTACAAAAGCAGAGGATAAACATAGCATTGTCACCATTAAGAGAGATCGGTGAAAGACAGCACCACAAATAAGGGAGGAAATCAACATGACAAGGTCGAAACACATATCTCTGACAACCGTGAAATGACATTTGAGAAAGGCTGGTCTGAAGGGTTGTGTATCTGCAAAAAACACTACTTCGTCCATAGAACAAGAAAAAGAGATATGAGTGGGCAAAAGCTCACAAAAATTGGACTTATGATGACTAGAAACAAGTTTGCACTGTTTGGTTCAAAACGCAGAGTCAATGTCCGCAGACAATCTGGTGAACGTCTGAAAGCACCATGTGTTACACCCACAATTCAGCATGGAGGTGGTAGTTCCATGGTATGGGGATGTTTTGCAGGTGATGGAGTAGGAGGTTTGTTTTCAGTAAAGGGTATAATGAAGAAGGAACAGTACCACTCCATCCTCCAGCACCATGCTGCTCCATCTGGACTAAGACTTATGGCTCATAAGTTTGTTTTGCAGCAAGACAATGACCCTAAGCACTCTGCCAAGCTCTGTCAGGGTTTCCTAGACAAAAAAGAAGAGGAAGGTGTTCTTCAAAATGGTTTGGCCCCCTCAGTCTCCAGACTAGGGCTGCAGCTATCGATTATTTTAGTAATCGAGTACTCTATCGATTAATCTGTCGATTAATCGAGTAATCGGATAAGAAATGTTTTGCTCTCACTGTAATACTTTGCATTGAATCACGTTTGCCTCATTAAAAACCATCAGTAACACACAAAACTGAAATAGGCCAGGTCTTTCAAATGAATATTTTTACTGCATAGTCACAACAAATAAAATGATCCATCTGTAACACTCAAAAAAAACAGTATACAAGCCTAGCTTAGTCCTAACTGAATTGGCATCATTGAAAAATTGTGTTACAGTATATTTTTGTCAGGAACAGATGTAAAAACAAGAAAAACAGCATTTAACGGTTGAAAAATGAAACGCTGTTTTTAAATGTACCCATGCAGTGATGAGAAGGTGCATCAATATTGAACATGTGTGTAATTTGCCCATATTCCAACTGAAAAATAGCAGATAAATCTGCTGTATATATCTGAAAAATATATATCTGCAAAAGTTTAAATATAGGCCAAAAACAGATGCTCAACCTTTTAGGCTGATATCACCCTATATTGATAGCAAATAGATAGTATTTCACACCCTTATTAAACATAAAATAAATCTCAAATAAAATAAAAGTGCAGTAAGTGCCACTGGCATTTTACATTCTAGCTTTTACAGAAGAATAACAACTTTGAAATTCAAAGGCATGTTGTCTATATAACAAAACACATTTAGTGCATTCAAGTGTTACACACTTATTGGTTTTAAAAGGAGAAAACTTTGACTTGCAAAAAAACATTTTAAATGACCTTTTTCAATAAAGGTATAAATGCAACCTAAAACAAAGGCACAGGAACAAGAACTGCTTTAAGCTGTGCAAGTCTCGGGCGTAACATAAGTCCTTACTGCCCTCCTAGAAGGCTCCTTGGTCATTAAGCAAATGAATAAGATTGCATGTGTTTTCCCAAGTTTTTAAAGAAGTCTGTGGTTGAAATGAAGAAAAGTAAGCATGTCAACATGCTCAGAACTGAGGCTTGCCCTGCGCTTTGATGCAATGTTTCCTGCTGCTGAAAACAGACGTTCTGATGGTGTAGATGTTGCCGGGATACACAGAAAGGTCTTTGCCAGCTTTGACAGAAGTGGATAGCGTACTTCATTTCTTTTCCACCACAACAGCGGATTCTCTTTCCTGGAAAGGGGATGTTCTCCAAAGTACATCAAGACTTCCTTCTGCACATTTTGGGTTAACTTCTGCTCCTCCTCTTCCTCATCACTGGTGCTGGAGTCTGATGATCCCAGTAAGTGTTCAATGAATGATGCACCACCTTTGGGATATGTTTCCAGGTTGTCCTGTGCTGTGTTGAGGGCATCATTTTCACTTGCATTTGTCTGTCCTGCTTCTCTGCTGATAGCAGTTGCCATGTTTTGTACTGTGCTTTGAACTTTGAATATTTCGTCGGAGGCTAGGAACTTAAGTCTCCTAAACCTTGGATCCAGGGCAGCAGCGAGGAGGACAGTGTTTGGAGATTCAGGCTGAAACACAGACAGCCCCTGCCATCTTTCTGTGATCTGTTCTGTTGCATGGGTCTGGTAAGACTGGACTACTGACGTCTCAAAAGCTAAACTTTGAATCGACTTCTTCAGGCTTAGCACTAGCTGTGGAAGTGCAGAGAGGGTTACATACTCTTGCCCACTGAGAAACACTGAAGCTGTTTCAAATGGCTTGAGAGCCTGGCTCAGCTCCTCAATCATGTTCCACTGTTCAGGCTTGAGATCAAGGTAGTGTTTACCTCTTGGTGTCACTGCAGGATCGGACAAAGCAGCAGTCACTGGCCATCTCTGCTCCAGCAGCCTAGACAGCATGTAAAAAGTACTGTTCCAGCGAGTACTTACATCTTGAACCAGCATGTGCTCTGGTGTGCCCATTTGCTGCTGCTTGTTCTTCAGCTTAGTGCATGCCAGTTCGCTCTTCTTAAAATGTTCAACAAGCGATCTTGCTGCAGCTACGCACTTGGAGATTGCTGGATTGTTTTTCAGAGCACTTTGCACCACCAAGTTTATAGTGTGACCTGCACATCGCACTGATGCCCATCCATGCTTTTCGGTCAAAATCTTAACCGCTGCGACAATGTTGGCACCGTTGTCATGGACAACAGCTTTGATCTTCTTCGGTGGAATGTCAAATTTGGCAATGACGTCCTCAAGCCACTCTGCAATATTTGCAGCTGTGTGTCTCTCTTCCAGATGCATTGTTGTCAGGCTATGGGACTTCACTTCCCAATCCTCTCCAAGAAAGTGACCCGTCACCCCTAGATAAGCCTCTGTAGCAACACTGGTCCAAATGTCAGCTGTGAGAGCAATGCTGTCACACTTTTTAAGAATGTTCGTCAACTTGGCTTTGATTTCTTCATACTTCTTCTCCATCAATTTTGTAAAGTAGGTTCTTGAGGGAAGTGTGTACTTGGGATTGAAAGTAGAAATCATCTTCTGAAATCCCTCATCCTCCACCATGGAAAGCGGGCGCATGTCTGAGACAATCATGTTTAGAATACTGTCGGTGAACTCAGCTGCTTGCTCGGTTGAACACGGTGGAGGTCGCCGCACAAAGCTGTCCAGAGTTTGGCTCTTTGAAGAACTGAAAAAGAGTCCAATTGATATTGATATTAACATATGTCTAATGGTGTAAACATTTTATAACTTTTTTTTAGTTTGTTCTGTTTATATTGTTTATGAAGTTCTATTTTTTCTCTGGATCATTATCTTGTTTTTTTAGTAAAGTTTTGAGTTTGGTTATTTTATTTGGCTTTTACTTATCTTGCGAAATTACTAAAAAAAATAATATCATACTCAGATACTACAATAAGTCAGCTAGTTAATGCACATTAATCCAATAGTGTAAATAGTTTTGAACTTTATAAGTTTGTTCTATTTATATTGTTTCTTAAGTTCTCTTTGTTTTCTCTGGGCCATATCTTGCTTTTTAGTAAGTTTTTTTTAGTTTGGTTATTTTTGTATTAATTGTATTCATATTAATTGAGTTCATTCTTAGGTCTATTCACAGCCTTTGCTGCTAAGAAAACGCTAATTTCCATACTGCAGATCTAATTCATCTTGTTTAATTTCTAAAAAATATATATACACTTTTATATACTAAGACAATTCAACTAGCCCATGCACATTTATTTGATGGTGGAAATATTTTTTTAACTTTTAGTTAGTTCTGTTTATATTGTTCTTGCAGTTCTCTTTTTATCAGAGTCATATCTAGTTTTTTTTTTAGCAAGCCTTTAGTTTTGGTTATTTTTATATTATTATTATTATTATTATTATTATTATTATTAATAGTAGTAGTAGAAGTAGTAGTATTTGTATTCATAGTTATCTCTCTTTACTGTATTTATGCCTTTACTGCTGTCATAATGTTTATTTCCAGGCTTTGGATCTAATTTTACTTGTTTAATTAATAGGCTGAAATAATATAATTCTTGGATACTAACATAATTTGACAAGCAAATGTATATTTATTCAATATATAAAAGTGTTACATTTTTATTTACACTGTGAAGCAGCCTTTAGACAGCGCCATAAATTAAATTACATTATGTACTGGACTTAATCTTGATTATTGATCACATTGATTTGTTTTAACTGCAACTGCTTAGTATCGTGAACATTACCTTGTTGTGGCCAGTCCGCTCTGCGGACTTAATGCATGGACCGCCGGGTGTTTTCTCTTGAGGTGCTGCAGCATTGACGAAGTGCTATTGTGAAAAGCCAAGTCCGCCTTGCAGTGAACGCACTGCACGGCGTTTTCTTTTCTTCTCAATGTGTAATGGTCCCACACTTTAGACATTTTCTGCCTTTTCTTCTGCGTGCCACCTCTGTCTTCCTCTCTCTGTCTGTCCTCGTTTCCCTCCATGATTGAACCACATGCGCGTCAGCGGAAGGAGCGGAAAGAGCACGCTGCTGCGCAACAGAAATAACCGTCCGTGTCAAACACCGTGCGCTGCACATGGTTCCGGATTTAAACGATTCCTCGAGGCATATAATTTGCCTCGAGGAATTTTATTAATCGAGTTACTCGAGTTACTCGAGTAATCGTTTCAGCCCTACTCCAGACCTTTCTCCAATTGAGCTTGTGCGGGATGAATTGGATCGATCGGTCAGAAAAACGCGTCCCACGAATCAGCTGTCTTTTTTTGATGAACTTAAGAAAGCTTGGAATGCAAACCCTGGAACATACCTTAAAAAAACTCGTGGCACGAATGCCTGGTATATGCCAAGCTGTTGTTAAAGCCAGAGGAGGTTACTTTAAAGAAAGCAAAGTCTAAGCAACAATAACTCAAATACTTAATAATTTTAGTCAAAATGTCTTCTGATAAGTTACTCTTTACACAATAATCATGTTTATTGTGTTGCAAATTATATATATGAAACTATGATTCTTTTTTGTACAAATCTGATCTTTCTTCCGAACTTTTGGCCTGTAGTGTATGTCTAAGAGGACATGGAGCTGTGTACAGTGCAGGAGCAGTTCCAACAATGTTGGAAAGTGTAAGTAAAATCACTGCTGTTTGATTGTTCAACAAGAAAGACTCAAGATGGGCACTCCTCTCTCCTCCTGCACCTCTTCTTACTTCTCCTCTCTCCTCCTGCCTCCCCACTCCTTCTCTCCCTGTTCTCCTCTCTCCTCCTCCCTCCTCCTTCTTTTTTCTGCCTGTCATGGATTTGATGTTGAACAGAGTTCTGTCAAAGTTACCTGAGGCTGCAGGTGAACATCCTCAGCCTAAACAGTGAGGTGTAGTCCATCTCAGAAAGAAGAAGGGGGACTTTGAAGGTTTCTTTTACAGGACTACTACCACCTTATCAAGCCTGAGGAGGCTGCTTTGTTTGTTGTGTTTGGATGCTTCACCCTGAAAATGACTTCAATGTTTCCTCTCACTCCTGACATCTGCTCAAGATGAGAGAAGAAAGACTGAAGTCAAATCTCCATATTTAAGGATAGAAAGAGTGTCCTGGTGCTGTTTGTGAGGCTCAGAGTGGAGTTCACAGCATTACTGGTCCCCTCAGGTGTGAAAGCAGCAAGTGTGCAGGATGCAGTGGGCTGCAGAGCCTCCGAGCTGTGATGACTCCCCTCAGGCGGGATTAGGTGAATGGATGAAGAGAATTGGCCTGAGCCCATGACGGCCGTCTGGACTGATGCCCAATGCTACACTGCTGGATATTATAATTGGCTCCTCCTCACGCTGCGACTGTGTTCAGAGTTCAATCAGGACTCTGAGCTAGTCTGGGAAAGAACTGTCACTCTGTCCACCAGCTAAAAATATGAGCAGCTGCTAAAAAAAGAAGGGAGTCCTGACTGAGTGGATGAGCCAAAGTAACTCTGCAGAGGAAGAAGAATCTGCAACTTTTTTATGGTCCTTCAGTTTTTTATACAATGGTTATTAGACCAATACACCTCTGTATGACATGCAGTGTAAACCAGACCATCATCAAGAACATAAGGTTTAAGATTTTAATGTCAGAAACACTGCTGCAGGATTGAGACTAATTAAAGGGCCTTTCTGTAAAATAACTGCTAAACAATACACAAGCAGGACAGGGGATAGGGACAGTTTTAAAGGTCAGGTGAAAATTTTGTCGCACAGATTTTTACTGGGTCATACCTGGACCATTACCTCTGATATTCTTTTCGCATTTTTACTTTTCAAACCTCATTTCTTGCAGCTCTGATGCTACATTAAGCAGATCACCAACTGAGTTTCCCGCCACTTTACACACTCAAACCTGATAATAAATAGTGAAGCTGGATGGTTGCTAAGGGAATCACAAATCCTAAGTGAGTATAAAGAAAGAGTGTGTGCAGGCTGTCTGCTCTAAATCAAAGACAGGATCTTCAGCATCAGCTTCATGCAGGTGTGTGATGAGGGAGCTGAGAGGTTTCGTCAGATTGACTCTGCTGTGAGTTCCTCCGAGCTCAGTGCTCAGCCGTGCACAGCCATATGATGTCTCCATTACCTGTGTGACACACACACACACACACACACACACACACACACACACCACCTGCTGTCTGTGCACTCTGCAGGGTCTCTGCTTCATGTGAGATTCTGCTCTGATTGGTTTGTTGACTTTGCGGTGGTTAGTCTGCAGTTCTCTTGTCCCTCCCTCATCCTTCCTGTCTTATTGGTGTTAACGTTTATGGCGAGGAGACTTAGCGGCTCATCATATCTACTGTGCTCACTGTACAGCAACTGATTTCATCATGACAGAAACTCAGAGGCTAAAATCTCACCTCACTGCGGGGGAGTTTAGTTGAGATGTCTTTCATGTCAGTCTGTTTCTGCAGTTTCAGTGAATAGACAGAAGAGCATACTTCAGTTAGTCAGCTCAGGACTGCACAGACACAGCTCCAATAATAAAAGCTGATTAGAATAATATTGAAATCACAGTGATTGAGATTGTCATGAATTCAGGGACAAACACTGTGGGTACTTTAGGCCACTTTTAGACAGAAATGGTCTCCATAGAAAACGGAAAAGTGCTGTTTTGTTTTCAGTTTTTATGCTGTGTTTACACAAAAAAGCAATGTGGTTGAAAATTCTCTAGTGCGCATGCCAGGTCGCTAGGTGGCGTGCGTTGGTGCGACCGCGCTCCCATATAGACCAACAACGCATACGTAGAACAACTTCCGTTCTACTTCCTAGACACATTAATTGTTTGATGCAAATAATTCAGACGCCTCCTCTTCTGAGCAGTATGATCCGTGAGGATTCTGTACAGGTTGAAATTGAGCTCCTGCCCGTTTAATAATAACGACAGCGCGACTTGAATGTCTAGCATGGTTGTTGTTGTTATTTCAAGGAAGCTGCGCATAGCTATGATGTCATAAGCGTGAGCCGACGTGAGCCAGGATGTCACAGGTTTGACTGTGTTCAGCGTTTTGTACTTTAGACGAAAGCGGGACTAGCAAAGCGTTTACAACATTTCCACTCTGCAGGGGGTTTTCACTCTGTTACGTTTTCATCTCATGAAAACGCAGTTGCCGTCTAAACGGACCCCCCAAACGAAACTAAATTATTCTGTTTTCTATGGACACCGTTTCCGTCTAAAAGTGGCCTCAGTTTCATCTTGTGCCACTTTCCTACTAATGCACACATCTGTGCAGAGTAACACTTGTACAAATCTGATAAAATACTCAAACAGAAGTCAAACAAAAACAAAAACACAATTAGTTTTCTTACGAGCATTGCAATCAGCGAGCACACACGCTCGTTCTGTGATCGTCCTCTCTATTTTTTAAGCCTGGCCTGCATAGCGGGGCTCCGGGGGCAGCGCTTGGCTTGGTTACGTATGACATCTCACTGTGCCTGAACCTGCCATTTGGGTCTGCCAGAGATTCACAGCGATTTGAATGAATAAATACTCAGAAATGCAATTTCGCACTTCTTTTTCTCATGATATGTCCTGTAGCATCAGAAAAATGCCATATGAACATGTAGACAAAGAAAACATGATTTTCATCTTGTTCTTCAAGATTTTCAAACTTCATATCCAACAATAGAATGATAAGTTTGATTTGGAGATGATATTAAAAACTACTGTTCATCACTCAGTAAACTTTGAGAAAGGATTTTTGACAGAATGATCTGTCTGTTGTATTCGTGAATTTGTGAAAAAATAACAGCAGGACTTATAGGTGGTGCCATGCTCTGTTTCTGCAAGTTTTACCCATTCACTGCAGATCATGTGACTACATATCACAATATCAGTTAAACCTCTTTATTTCCTCCGGACTGAAAACTTCAAGTTTTTTTCCACAAAATGAAAATTGCAGATTCACAGAAATACATGCAAACTTGATATTCTGGGATGAGATTTTTCAGTCCAGAAGTTCTTTAAATTCTTAAAAATCAGTGAAAAGGTGCAAGCTGGAGACATCCAATCTAAATTCAAATCATGTAAAGTCTGCAGATTTGTCTTTATCTTTAAGCTGATGGACAAGAGTCTGATGCACTCATGCAGACACTCAGATTCAGGAAACATTGCCTTAATGTGCCGTAACTGTAACTTTCCTGACCAAGTCAAAGTGCTTTACAAAAAGGAGATGAATAATGATGATGACGGTGCAGTGTGCAGAAATAATGCAGACTCAGCGTGTGTCTGTGTGGGTCAGAATAATCAAACAGCCTTTCTCTGCTCCTCTTTATAATTCAGCAGCAGAAACAGTCCCTTCAGTTTTACAGATATAAAGAGATGCAGAAACATGAGTCTGAGTCAGTCTGTGTCTATCCTCTTGTATTTCTTCGATAGAAACTTCTCCGACAGTTTAACAGACTGTGTGCATTCGTTCTTCATTCATCATCAGCTGACTGTTTTGCCATCTTACACTTTCAGTTTAGGGCGCCAGTGTCAGAGTTTGACTTTTTCACAGGAAGCTTTAAATCCTCAAACCTGAGGCTCTGAGCTCACCTTTAACCCTAAAGGTGACTGTATGAACCTTTACACTAAGAGACAAGAGAGACGGTCCATGATTATGTTAATAGATGTCAGTCATATAAAGATGGCTGTCCAGGTATCATCTGTGTGCAGTTAACACATGTATACTTTTCAAAACTTCACCTGCTGCCACGTCTGTTCAGCAGACAGTATCTGTGCTGAGGTAGTCAGGTAGGACTGCACTCTAAAAACTGACCCTGAGAGCTGAAAGAGTCCATTCCTGTCAGAATTCTCTGACTTTTCATCATAGGAGAAGAAGGATCCAGACCTGCTCTGACAGGTGAGATGGATCACAGACAAACTGAGCATGATCAGTCACTGTAGATTTTTATAGAGTGCAGCGACAAGAAACAGCTTGATGCTGAGAGTGTTGTGCTCGGACGCTGAGTGCTGAAGCACTAAACTGCACTGGTGCAAACACACTGGCCCTCATTTATCAATCTTGCGCAGATCTGAGTGCAGATCTGTGCGCAGGATTCATCCTATGATAGGACACGTTTGAGATCTATGAAAGGGTTCGTATCTGACCAATCCCAGTGTACGTATGGTCGGGTCTTGGTTGAAATCGATCGTCATTAACATGTCACACCTTTAAATATTTGTGTTCAGAAGCCTCGCCCACTGAGGTCAAACATGAAAGAGGAGAAATATTAGAATGATGCGAAACTTTTCCGAGCTGAAAGTGGATATCCTCACATCTGTGGTGGAAACTAACTTGATGATGCTTTGGAAGCATCAAAACTGGTATAAAAGCAGTCCAGAAAACTCCTGTCTGGAGCAGGATTATGTTGGTGGTGAACAGCGCTGCCACGGAATAGTGGACAGTGGCTGAAGTTTGAATAAATCATGAGTCAATAAGTTGCTCATGATGATAAATTAATATCTCATACATGCCTCATATTTTTTTATTGCTATGACATAGAGTACGTTGCTCCTCTTATTGAAAGTATTTAGTTTTAATTTGTTGCGTCTGTGTAATGTAGAGCAGACTGGAGAGTCTGACAGAGGCTGAACCAAAACAATTATTAACCTCACCAAACGGTGTGTTGCTGCCCCTGAGGCACTTTTTTTATGCATTTCTATTGGATTTTTATCACTGAATAAATAGCAAGAGCACTTTCTAAACTTATATTTTACATGTCAGAATCCATCAATAAGGTCCTGTCTCCTCTGTACAGCACCTTTGTGGAGTCTCTCCTCGTTATTATTCTCCGGGCTTCGGGTCCTCACGTTGCACCGGCACAGCCAACAGCACTCCATTCACCAGTGCAACATTGTGCAAAACTGTACTGGCCCAAATGATGTGCCACACCCTTTCAGGAGTGTACAACAACTTCCCCGCTACTGGGCCAAGATAGAGACACCTGCCTTTTAGGAGTCAAACGCAGCGCTCCACAGTGGCGAGTGTGCGTGTGCGCGCAATGTTAAAACGGCTCTTCTGCTCTGTGGCAGTGTTTCTGGGCAGAGTTATCAAATAGGCCTATTCACCAAGGACATAACAAATTTGTTTTATTTTAATGTGTTTACGTCTTAATCTTCAATGAAATCCAGTTGATTGTGCTTAATGACAGGTTTGAGGTTTGTATATCAATTATTTGAGACAGACATTTGCTGAACCGCAGATCCACACTGACTCAAACTTGCGTACACGATGTCAGACCTGTTGTGAGATTTGGTCGTAGCGTACGCTCACGTGCAAATTGATAAATGCCGATCCTCACGTCAAAATTGTCGTACGCAAGTTTTCTGCCGTACGCTAGCTTGATAAATGAGGGCCACTGTCGGGTGAGTTAGGATGACATTCAGATTGAATATAATCTGTCTAAAATGTGTTAAAGCCAGATACTGTCTGTTTTGTCTTAAGTGATCTGCCCTAACCCAAGATGGTACCAGACTTGTTATTTCCTTTCATGGTTTCATCCAAGACCCCCAACACTTCAATCACTGCTCCACTCTTTCCTGCCGTGGACGTATAATAAGAAATCACTTGTGCATGTTCAGAGCAGAGAGACCAATGATCATGAAAAAAGACCTTCAGCTCTGGCAGGTAAAGAGTCACTGCTTTCTTTGTTTGGAAGACATCATCCTCATCTACCTAACTGAGCTCTGCTGTTGCTCTGTAGCAGCAGACATAAGATTTCTTTATTTCCTAACTCAAGACGATTTTTTTTACAAACCTCAAATGGTTCCCCAATGTGACAAAAACCTGACTGACAAATTTGACAACAACACACAGTGCAAGTCCTTAATTGGAGCCTCACACACATGCACGCACGTACGCACGCACGCAGGCACGCACACACAGAAACACCCTCAGTGCGGGGGCTTTTAGCAGCAGACAGACAGGGACAAGCGTGTCGTGCTTACTGTGATGTTTTCAGGCCCACAGTGCAGCACCGATCCATTAATGCATTAATGAAGGATTAATCCTCTGGAAAATAAACCCACCAAAGCTGCTGTTTTATAACAAAGCAGCTGTGTTCCCCCTCTCTGTCTCCGAGTGTGTGCGGGCTCTCTAACGCCTCTGCAGGGCCTGACAGACCTTCACCCTCTGAGCTCAGTCTGCAGGTGAGCAAGCAGCAGGTATCCCCTCAGGAGTGAAGAAGTCAGAGGAGAGGCCTGGCACACTCGCTCTCTGGTCAGAAACGAGTTGAGGGTGTTCACATTGGGCAGATCTGTCTGCTAACTTTTTCACACACTGAAACAGGAGAGATGAAAAAATTCAACTCAGATTCTTTGTTCAAACTCTATCTGCATGGTTGATGCAATAAACACAGAGTTTTGCATTGATATTTCGCAGCCTACTTGTGAAATCAAAACACAGGCTCGATCTGGAGCTCAGTCTTTTTTCAGTGATTTCAGAGACGACAGGGAAGATTAGCATCTTTAAATCCACTCCAAACTTAGGGACAGCAGACTGATGAACTCAGACACCCATGAGGCACTGAGGACAGACTGAACACGAATTGATGTAACCTCTTCTTCATATTTGTTTAAGGCAGGCGACATATCCTTATTTTGATGCATTACACTATGCTGCTCTGTGGAATGGCTGTTCTGCCTTCAGGTTGGCTGATGTCCCTGTTAGAAAAAAACCAAAAAAAAAACCCTTCCTTTTTTACTTCTGCACTTTTTTCTTCCTCTCAATCATCTCCACACTTGTGGTCGTCTGTTTCTTTGAGCTGTGAGGTTTTCTTTTTTCCTCTTTCTCCCATCAAACCATCAGCCGATGTTTGGAGCTGCTGAGCTCCAATTATCACTTCCCCTGAGACTCTGATCTGATGTTTTTGTTCATCACTTATATCAGATGTTTTAAAACTTACAGCAGAACAGCTTCTGAACAAAGACCCAGAGAGAAATTGAACAGGGGAGAGTAGGTGTTGATTACCATTCTCCCTTTCTGGATTATTTCACTTTCCCCTCTGCTGAATCCCATTTTCCTGTCACACATCGTTCTATATTTAATGCTATTTCCAATCCTAAAGGGACTCTGACCTCTGACCTGCCCCCTCCAAGTGCTGTTCAAAACGTTTGGTCCAGAATTTATTTAATATTGCACTTCCTTCCCTCCATACTCTCAGACAGCTGCATTTAGGTTAAGTTCAGAATTGAGCAGCTTTTATTCATCCCTCAGCTGCTGTGAAACTCGAGCATGCTGGGAGATTTCTGCTGAATTTTGAAGGGAAACATAAAGTTGCCTGTTAAAGTTAGGGTCTCCTCTCTCAGACCTGCATGTCTCGTTCATGTTTGTGTGATTTGTTCCTGCTGTGTCTCAGTCCTTTAACACTTGGACTCTCTTTTATCACTTCTGCAGCAGTCAGACATCTGCAGCTCTGTGATCACAGTGAATTTGTTTAGCTTTAAAAATGTTCTCTGCTGTGAGGACTCACAATGTTCAGGATTAATGTTGCTGCTCTGAGATGCATCATAATGTGCTTCTGTCCTCCACATACTTTATACCATACTGTGAGTGAAAGGCAGCAGCAGAGGAAGGCGGGTCAGCAGGTTAGGACTCACTCCGCTCTCTAAATGAAGCACACAAAGAGAAGTTTATCCGTCCCTAACCTCTTTTCACAGCCTACAGCAGGATTCAACTCTGAAGATCGGCATGTAGACAGCAGGCGTTTTCTGCAGGCAGAGCTCAGAGCTTTTCGGTCTGTGCAGCTCCCAGTATCACTGTGAGTTCAGTTTACAGAGCCCAGCAAGAGTCCTCATATACTCCTTACTCCTGATCAAGGAGAGGGCTCCCTCATTGTATTTCTATTCAATACAATACAAGAACTTCATTTTTTCTAAAAGGGAAGTTCATTTGTCTGGAATCTCATGAAAAGTTTTCTCTGGTAGGACAGTTAAAGTTGGGGTAGGCAGGATTCTGTGAAAGAAGCACCTTTTTTGTGTTGTATATACAAATAAGCTTTTAATATCAGTCAGTAGCCATCAGTTATTGATGACATTTGGTAAGATAATGAAATCACTGTTTTGTTATGCCTGTGTAGTCAACATTTTAAAATTGTTGAGCGGCCCGCTCTTTCTGACTGTAAACAAAGCAATTCTCTGCCTCCCCCAACCTGATTGGTTGTGAGGCGGACACTGCTCCTTTGTGCTGATTGGTTGTGTAGCAAACAAGACAACCCTGTGTGTGAAACTCACACATTCCTCACAGGAAAGGTTCCTGATCTGGTCCCAGGGCTCAGGATAACATAAATCTTTCCAGACTTGTTTGCACTTTCAGATTACCTAACTGACCCGATCGGAGGTTGACCTAAACCTCTGGCTCTTCATGATTGGTCAATTCGTAGAACAGAGACAGAATTTTATTACCTTTCAAACTGACTCCATCGCTGACCATCTAAGTAATCATTCATGCCTCAATCATGCCATTTGATATTTACCGTCTTAACGGACCCCAAGGAAAGGTCTGAGGAGCAGGACACTGACCTCCAGACCTCAGTCGTAAAACCCTGCTCAGCCATGTATTGATAAAAACTGCATACCTTTGGTGAAAAAATACAAATGACTGATCATGACATCTTATGCATTCAGTAATGTACTAATCTGTCTAATTTTGAAATTTGTGTTAAAATGAGATGTTTCCCGTTTTTCTATGTGCTCCAGAAGCCAAGTTATCACTCTGACAGAATAAATCCTTTATTCTTTAGTTTCTTTAGACCAACAGCTTTTCAGACTGTCTCATGAACTTTTAAGAGTTATTTATTAGACTATGAATCATAACTTTACTCTAAGTAACAGAAATAGTTTAGAAATGTTTGGTTTATATTCTAATCATTTATTCAGTATTTTTAACCATTAGGTGGTTATAAAGTCATTGAATAATCTGAATGTGAGTATTTAGAATCCATTATTAATCATGATGAAGTTCATTCACACGTGTTTACTCTTTTGTTGTTCACAGTTTCTATGTGTTACTATCTGTTTCATTTCAGAGTAATTTAGCATGTTCAATATGATACTTAAAACATAATGAGAATGTTTGAGGTGATCCTACATGTCATTCACATGTGTTTAGTATCAAACAATTTATCATGAAACCAAGCATTCAATGATATTAATCATATTGAGTGAGTATCAGATCTGACTCTTTTACCAGCCAAAAGTATAAGTTAGATCAAATAATCAGAGATCCAAGAGGTCTCCTCTGCAGCAGGAGACCCCACGACCCCTCCTCTTTCTTCTCACTCACACACACCAGAGACACTCCCAGTGTGAGAAGATAAAACCAGAAAGTGGGGTTGCTCACATGCTCTTTCTCTCTGGTCCTTTTCGCTCTCTTCTGCTCATGCTCTTCTGTGTTCCTCTTCTTTGTTTTCTCTTAGCTCTTACTATTTAGTCTTACTTTTTCTTAGTCTTCTAAGTTTTACGCCACGTGTTCATTCACGTTGATTTTTCTTTAACATCGTCTTAGTTCAAGTTTTGAAACTTCAACTTTTTGTGCGCATTGCAATTTAAGATTAAGCCTTTGAGGGGAAACTGTCTGGGAGGGATAGTGTTTACATTCAAGATTTCTCCCAAAAAATGGCACTTCCTCAGATCCTGACAACCCAACCTTTAACAAATTGTGTAAATTCAGTCGGGTGAGTGGAGAAGGTGACATGGTCAAAGGTCAAATTATTAATTAAATAGCGCCTTAGGATGTTGAGTATGTTGAGTGTAGCAACAGAATCATGATGAGTTTGTGGATGCAGTGTTTAACTGTGTTCACAGTCAATGGTTTTTGAAGTGATTCTGAGCCCATGCAGTGACTCCCACTCTAGAGTCTTGTCTGATTATAATGTAGTGCTGCCTGAGGACCTGAAGACCAGGACAATCCAGTCTTGATTTTGGTTCTTGTCCTTTTAGAACAGAGATTTCGCCAGATCCTCTGAATCTTTGAATGATATGATCTTCTGTAGATGATAAAATCCACTCATTCTTTCAGTTTGAATTAAAAATAAGAGTAAGAAGACCTTAAAAATAACTGAAGTCTGTATTCTTAGACCAGTCCAACTTATTATCCAGATGTACACCTAGATGTTTATATGATGTCACCACTTCAGTGTCCACTCCACAGGTGTTCACTGGCTGAAGAGGGGGTTTGGATCTACGGAAGTCTATGACCATCTCCTTTGTCTTTGAGGTGTTGAGGAGGAGACTCCAGTCACTGAAGGCTCTTATCAGATCTCTGTATTCAGCTTCTTATTCATCTCTGATACATGCCACAATAGCAGTGTCATCTGAGTATTTCTGGATATGGCAGGACTCAGTGCTGTATTTGAAGTCTGATGTATACAGTGTGAACAGGAATGGCGCCAGCACTGTCCCTTGTGGAGCCCCTGTGCTGCTTATTAATGTCCTAGAAATACAGTTTCCTAGCCTGACAAACTGTGACCTTCCTGTCAGGTAATCTGTGATCCAGGAAACACAGGCAGGATCCACTCCCATCTCTGTGAGTTTGTCTTTGAGTATGGGGGGTTGGATGACACACAGTCTCACAGTCTAATATCTTTATGTACTGCACACACAGTGAAACATGTTCTCTGCTGTTAACATCCATAAAGGCCACTGTTGGTGTGTTTAATGTGTGCGGCTGGCTGTGAATAAATGAGCTGATTTATGAAAGTGTGTTTGCATTTTAGGAGAGAAGATCTCATTACCTGAAGGTCATTGTGCATCATCTCTGCCTGAGTATCTACCTGCTGTCCTATTTACGACTTCTCATCCTGTAATCACAGTCACTGCTTCACTCTCTCGACACTTTTCTGGTTGGAGCATTTTCAGCATTGTGAGATTGTGAGGTTTTTTTTGTGCCAAACTCCATAGACCTGGAGGAGGTGCTGGATTATTATGAGAGAGCATGCCTATCTTTTGTTGTTAGATCAAATGTTAGCTATAAAAGTTTTGAACGACTGAACAGGCCTCTTTTTTTGCTTCCCTCCCCGGCTGCTGCAGACTTGCAGGATTGTGTGGAGCGTTATTTGAAGTCTTGTGTGAACATAAATGCCTGCTCATAAAAGTTCTCCACAGTGAAAACGACCTAAATAAAGATGCTCGCTCTCCTCCTCCTCCCCAGGTCCATAACACCTTCATCAGATTGTAGCGGGTGATGGGAACAGCTGGAGGTGCATTATGGTTAAAATAACTCAAGGATGGGATGGAGAGCAGACATTTCTCGGGTGTTTTTGTTCAGAGTAAATCCCAGCAGAACGAGTGGTCATATTTTCAGCCTGGCTGCAGTCTGACCTCCGTCTCTCATCCTCTTACAGCTGAACTCCATGCATGCACACACACACACACTCACACACGTGTGCACATGCACACACACAGACACGCTGGGCACAGAGCTGATAAAAATACATAAGAAAGTATGGTCACAAAAAGTGGATTCTCTGCCATCTTTATCAGTAATGATTTACTCTGACTCTGTCTTTTTATTTTACTTTAGATCAAAAACAGCCTCATCTGAAACGCTAAGTTTTTGCTGCTGTCTCTTTAAGCCCCCCCCACACACACACACACACACAAAAACACAAACCTAGTTTTCCTCTGATTGGCCACCAGCTAAGAGGACAGTGCTTGATGTTTTGGCCCCGCCCCCTCTATTGTGTTCAATTAGTAGAACAGCAGAGCAGCGTTATCCTGGCTGAGCCATCCTGTTGCGTGAGTCACTTGACGTTCCTTCCCACAACAGTCTGGACTTCGGCCCATTGGAAGCCCTGAATGTGGGCTGGAGTACTTTCCTTGATAGACAGACTACTGTAACCAATCACCGTAACCAAGCATCTGACATCATCACAGATGCATGGTTACGGTGATTGGTTACAGGAGTACATGGACCAATCAGGGGCTGCCTTTTCCTGTTGTCCGGGTAACAGTGAAAACACGGTCTCTGATTGGCCCGGTTATTTTCTGATCGGGCATACACGCTCTCTATGGGCCGAAGTCCAGACTGTGGTGGGAAGGAACATCAAGTGACTCACGCAACAGGATGGCCCAGCCAGGCTAGAGCAGCGTTACCCGGCTCTGCTGTGGGTGTAACCCATAGACTGTATATACTACGGAGAACTTTGCTCTACCTTCTGTCATTATATGTATTTGTAACCAAATTGCTCTCAGTATTACCTGGATTTTCTCCACTTCCTGGCATCACCACTTGCACAGTAGCGTTCTACACATCCAGCAGGAGAGTCATTGTGATGATGCGCGGCTCAAACAGCGTATCCCTGGGTGAGCTATGGGATCTTCGAAAACACGAACCCCCTAATAACTTTTAAAATGGAGCTGTACAGAAAAAATAGGACTTGAGCACAAACCAGTCTTACAGTAACTACATGTCAACATCACAACCAGGGGGAAGAAAAAATTTATATTCTGTGCAATTAATTCCTAAAGTTTGTCCACAGCTCCATAGGGATTGCTGGAGGAGGCGGGGTGTATGACCTATCCTGCAGCCCATCACCAGAGGGTGCTGTTCTCGCGGTGGCTTCACCCAGCGAGAAGGCAGACATGCCCCTAAATGATGACATGTTTTTCCCACCCTGAATGAAAGCAGGTCAACCCTGAAACAGCTGTTGGTCAACCATCATGGGTTTTTTAATGACTGATACTGATGATGCTGATAGAAGATGCTGAAACCACAACTTTCAAATATAACAATGTAATATTAACTACATAACTCCAAGCTCATTACAATCCAATATTTGTAGTTCTGCTTCAGATGGCTTTAAATGAACTCGTGAGGTGGAAGAAAAACCTGAGGCGGTGCTGTCAGTCAGAACATGACATATTTTATACCTGAGGCAACGTTAAAATCTATTACTTTACTAATCAGAACAGAATATCTATCAAATCTTTGTCAGTACCTGTTAGAGTTAATATGCTGTCAGTTACTGTGTTCTTATTTCACAGGATGAGACTCCACAGCAGCTACACGGAGCTATAAGGCTGTCGGCAGCATCTGCAGACATGTTTGTTTCTTCGATCGGACTTATGAGCTCGATTATTTCAAATGCCATTAACCACCCCTGTTAATTAGCCTGTCTCAAGGGTTTCATAGGAATTCTCTTATACAGAGTAATGAAGCACTCATGTATCAGTCGTATGTTCTGAAATATGGATCATCATCCAGGATATTTTTCTATTTTCATCACTTCATTGAATTCTGAGATAACCATGCAGTTTAGTTTGTAGGGTACATGGAATAAGGAGTGATATTATAATTGATCATAAAATGATTGATATTTGTCTTTTCTGTAAAACCACACTTTAAAGAATACATGAACTGTCAAGCATGTTTATTGTCATTGCTGGCGTTCAAGAGACTGGCGATTGTCCCTGTCAGTGCTGATCCTCACGGGAGAACTGAACCACATTTTTATGAAGCACATGCACCAGTTCTATTCTGATATTAATAACCAGCTGTCATCACTAACCAGTCACCTGCACTTTGATCAAACAGGACTTCAGTCGGCTGCTCTCCCCTGCAGAAAGCCTGGCTCTGCTCTCAGTCAGGACGGGTTCCAACATTCGTCTTCTTTCGACTTTAATGATGTTAATTTGTGTTTGGCGGGATAAAATGAAAAGCTGTGTTGTTGTTAGTGCTCTGAGTGTTGTTTTCATTTATTGTGTGATGGTGTGGGCGTCTGAAGCCCACAGAGAGTGCAGTAGTGATTAAGGGTTATGCAAATAAACTTGACTTATAGCAAGAAGCTGCATTTAAAACACACACGGTTTTTATCATCACTGTATGGGCTCTGGTTCCTGGAAAGCACAGCAGTAAGTCTCTGTGGAGGGTTGTAGGAAGTCTGTTTTTAATGAGAGGGGAAAACATGCATGCTTACGTGTTCTCACTCTTTATTTTAGCAGCATTGTCTTTTTGTCACACGCTGAGCTCGCCATCTGCCGCTCTGCAGCACCGTCCACGTCCTTAAAAAGTCATCGCTGTATTTTTAATTATCAGGGTTTAATCGGCTCTTCTCTTAAGGGAGAAGAAAGGTTATTAGAAAATGAGCCCACACAGAGAATATCTATTAAAACTGCAGCACAGACTGTACCCAGGTAGATGATCTACAGGGCCTGATGTGACAGGCTCCAGGTTTTACTGTTTTTAAAGCGGAAATTCAATCATGCTTTGATTTAATCATTTTTAAAGACTTCACTTTTACTCACATTTCTCATCCTGAAGATTTTATAAAGGAACAAAACTGAACAGAGTGAGAACCACAGGATGCTTTTGTAAATGTGTTATTAGTTGTTTCAGATACAGAGCTTTAGCTGCAGTTTGTTTCCTTTTTAAAGCTGCTAAAAGGAACTTTTGGGTTTGTGCTGGTTCTGGTGCCCCCTGTGAACAAATAAAATCTGTAGTCTTGAACACTTAAAAGTAGTTTTTTAGACAAATACGTGATCCTGTTGTTTTTTACCTTTTGAAATTTTACACTTGATGCAAGTATTTACCCTGGTTAAAGCTTTTCCCTCAGTCTGCTGTTAATCGGCCGGTCTCACACCTGCCCCCTTATAGACTTTTGAGACATCAACATTTATAAGTAACACTTCAGCCAGGTCTCATTTGCTTATAAAGGTCATAAAGAGGGACCAGTATCAGTTCCAGGGAAAAACTCCTGAGGCTGCCTTTAAAAGGTGCATGGCACACAGTCTTAAGTTGATTCAAAAAGTTTCAAACCTTTTTTGAGTCATGACAAGGTGCACACTTTTGGTCCAGTGTTTGTTATTTGATGAAGAGGGTCATATTGAGTCCCCTGAGTGAAACGCCACATTCCCTTAAGAATAGAAGTCTCAAAGGTTCACCTGGTTCACCTAACCTGTGCCTGCTGTGGTGCTGTTTAGGGGCCAGGATTTAGCTGAATGAGGAGGATTGAAAAGAAGACACCATTGATTTCAACATGGGTACAAGGATCCTGTTTTTTAGACTTAGTAAAGGTTCAGTTATTTAAAGGAGTTGAGGACGTCACTCAGAGTTGAACAGAAATCACTGTTTAGTTGCTGCTGCCCCACTTTTGGCTTGTTTCCATTAAATGCTTTAAACTTCCTGTTTGTAAAGAAACTGTTCTTGAGTAGCACAAATAACAGGTTAAAATTTATATGCTTTTGCGTTAATAGCCCTGTATTGTATTGGCCCACAGCTCAGATTTACCCTGAAAGAGGTCATTTTCCTCCTCAGACATCAGTTTGAAGCAGATCATCAGAGCTGCACCAACACAACGTCTCCTCAGAAACAGCTCTGTCTTTGCTCTCTGCGGTGAGAAAAATCTTGTTAGCATTCATGTGTTGTGTTTTAGTCTGTCACTTGAAGCAGCATCCTCCTTTATCAAGCGGTTTTAAACACTTTGAAGTTCTGCTGTTCGGGGAGTTTTTGTTCCAGATTAGGAAGCAGTGGGAGAGATGAGCTTTCAAAGACAGGAATCTGAGCACTGGAGCCGTCTGTTACAGTTCTGTATTGATCAACCTCATTTTTTCGTCTGCACAGTTTCCCTCTGTGTGTTTCACTGCAGGCTAAATTAGAGCTGCAGCAACATTGAAAACCAGGTCAAGGTGACAGGGAATCTCAGACGCTCAGGTCAATCCCTCAGCCCCCTTGGGACATTCACTCTGCTCCTCCAGCACCACAAGTTTGACCACACGCTCAGGATCAGCTCATTAGCATTCAGTCGTGCAGGCGCAGCAGAGCAGCTTCTCCTAATGTGTTTAATAGTGAGAATATATTCTGCCTAATTAAATTAATGTGTTGCTGGATAACGCTGAAAGGATTTCACAGCAGCTCCAGGATCAGAAGGGTTCATGGAAACAGAGTAAAAACCCAGTATTGTTGGAGGACACTTCATTTGTGATCAGAACGAGGGAATAGATGAAAATATCAGACTTTAAAGATGGAGCATCTGTTCAGGAAAATTCACCAAAGGAGGAAATATTACTGAAACACTTAAATACAGAGACCATGTTCACCTGTATCACATGGACTGGCACTGATGCTGATCTGCTCTGGACCAGTTTTTGCTGCTGCTCTCCTTCCCTCCTCGGCTTTTGTATTTCACATTTAGACTTAGAAAGGCAGGAAGCTCTCAGAACAGAACCCAGCGATCTTTGCTGCTGCTCCTTCTATAGATACCACCAAATGTGACTGACTGCAGTTAATAAACGACTTTCTGTGATGACAGTGGTCCAGACTGAACTGATGGAGACGTCAGGAATATTTGTGATAACTATAGCTGTGAAATGTGAAGCACAAAGGAAGGAGCTCTGACCTTCAGGATTACAATGTTCGCTTCCATGATGCAGCTGAACATTTCAGAGCATGCAACTGATGTTGAATCAGAGCAGCTCAGAGTAAGTTTTAAATCCTGAATCACGTACAAACAGTAGAAACACAAAGGTTAGGGGAGCATGCGCACAGATGAAGTCCGGAGTGTCTGTGAGTGAGAGAAGAATGAACTGAAGATGGGAGTGCGTTCCTTTTCATCACTTCTGTTTTTTCTTCCACAGAGAGACTCTCGCCATCAACAGCTGAGAGACGCCTGACTGCATGAGGAGGCTGAGTGACGGGACCCTCACCTAGACCCCTCCCTCCCCTCCCCAAACCCTCTCCCTGCCTGGACATGGTGAGCACCTTGGTCCCACAGTCTTTGTTTTGTTTGTGTCAGCTCCTGAACTCATCGCTCTCACAGTGTGCTGATTGACAAAAGAATTAATTGTAGACGTGTTGGAGTTTCTCAGACAGCAGGAGAACAAGCTGTCTTTGAAATCTGGCGGCAGATCAATCTTTATTTGGTACCAAAACAAAACCAAACAGATATCATCTGGAGAGACTTCACAGAAGGAGCAAGTCGGGACTCTTTTTTAAACTACAGAAACTAATGAGGGATTCTCATTATGATATGACAGGATGAAAAGTCTGAAAAAAGCTGTGGCGGACAATGGACCCAACAAAGTCTGGAGGAGGAGCAAGCTGCAGCAACACAGATGATGCAACAAAATACTCCACAACGCTCATAACAAACAAGCTGCAAATATAAGAGAGTTCAAAAGCACACAAGCACAAAGGATACATGCAAAAGACAAACTTCACAGACTGAGAGGTCAGCAGAAGGGCTCCAGGCCTGTAGGGGGCATTCACTGGAAACCAAGAGGTGTCTCTACATTATAATGACTAATTACAAAAAGACTGTTAGACAGAGAACTGGAGCTGCACTGATTTCACAGTTAGCATGCAGCATCCTCACAGTAACCCGGTAAACATAACCTCCACACAGGGGGGTCAGTATGAGGTCATTAAGGAGCTGAATTTCAGCAGATCCACAGAGATGGTCGGATCTGTGTTGTAGTTCAGACACAGACAGAGCGCCCTGACAGGTGGGCTGAATCCTCTGCATTACTGAAGAGGGTGTTCTGCTCCTTTCAGGCTGCGGGTCATCCCTCTGATAATAAAACTCTGTTCTGAGCTGGTGTCTAAGGAAACCCCCATTTCCTCTGTCTGAAATGCTTCATTTCACTGACTGTCTCTTTAAGACTTCCAAAGTATTCCACAACACAGCTCTTGAGGAGCCTTCTACACTGTTGTCACGCAACAGAGTTGTGTTTTTTTAATGATTCAAGATTTCCTTTTTTAAGTCAATTTACTGATGATCCTGCTAAATGCTTGATTACCTCTTTAAAAGCCTGCAGCCTGATCCATGGATTAACCTTGTCTATGAAACTCTGCCTGGTTCAGCGTTGACACCCGGCAGTTTATGATCACATTCCCAGCTCTATTGTATTTGTTTTGGACTGTTGCACAGTGTTTGATTTTGCAGCCTGTTTTTTTCTCTCACTGAGGACTGTTTGGCCTTGTTAGCTCCTGAAGGTTTCAGTCCACATACTCCTGCAGACTGGAGTCCCTGGGTGATTCAGCAGGGGAGGACAGTGTTAAAGGGATGTGTGTCAGATTTAAGCAAATAACATCCTGGGCTCACGCTGCAGAGCGATTCATTAAAGCAGAGAATACCATTATCCTCTAACTGCAGAGGCCAGAACTCCTGGCCGTCTCGTAGGTAACAAACAAAAGAAAGCAGTCCAGGCCAGGATCCAGAATCAGTGTCAAGGTCCTGAAGAGTTTGAATCATTCATGTAGATCTTGTTAATGTTTGTGTATTATGTTTGTGCGTTAAAACCCGTACACAGCCCTACACGCCCCCGGCAGTTCAGCCAGAGATCAGCCAGGTGGTGATGAATGACCCTCCTGACTTAAGCGTGAGCCCCTGAGAGTCCTGGCCATGAATTATTAAAACTGAATCATAAGTAACTGGCTGTAATGAGAGTGTGCTTACAGGCTGGGGGGGAGGGTGATGGAAGGAGAGACAGCAGTTTGACCTTGGACTGAGAGCTGGGCGTGATGCTGGTCAGATAACGGATTAGCTCAGGCATGTTCAAAGGAGCACTGAGCTGATTCCGGCACATTAGCTGTTTTTTTCCCTCCTCTACTCAGAGCGATGAGCTCTGTCTCCATGTTCATGTCATAAATGTTAATGTGCTGTCACTGCGCTTGTTTCTGGGCCACACTGTGTTTGGCAGCAGCTCAGGTTGCTTCAGGTGTTTCTGTTGTTTTGCAGACGAGTGACGAGCTCGTCTGACAGCCAAAACAAGCTGGATGTTTACAGCCGAGCGTCTGACAGCAGACGGCTTAAAAACAGTCTGTTCACTTGAAAGGATTCTGCCTATTCTGCCTCTGTTTGTCTGCATCCTGCAGCAGGTTTATCTTAGATCAGTTTCTTCTCTGAGGATAGTGACGGTCCTTTTTTTAAAGGGTTATTCCAGTGTGCATAACAGTGGCTCTATGCTCCTTTATCTAAAGGTTTGTTTGTTTGACTGACTGGTACCTGCAGCTTTCTGACTGTTTTAGAATAGTCTGTCAGCTGGTGGCCATCAAACAGCTGGAACATAATCATTTGTGGAAGCGGTCCCTCTTGCATCAAAACTGCATCTCTTTGTTGTCATCTGATCAAACTTGAGTTCCTGACATGGTTGAGGATCAGACTGTGAAAGTGTGTAGAGATCACATCACACAGGGCAGGCAGGCAGACAAAGGGCTCTATTTTCGTGCCTCGCCGGCGACGCGGCGCATGCGCGGCGTAAGTGAGGTCCGCCGCGCAGACAAGGCGTTCCCAAGCACAATTTGGTATTTTGGTGAGCGGTGCAGCCCAGCGTAAGTATCCCCCCTCCCTAACTCAGCTCCTCCCAGCGGCGTAAGTCTTAGCGAGGGAGGAGAGAGGGCAGAGAGCGGGTTTAACACAGCCAAGACCTGTTTTCACCAATCACATAAGCTCCTCTCCTTGCCTTTAAATCTGCCACCGGCGAGGCGTATTACTATTTTCATGAAGTAGTCAAGGAGATCAAGAGATGTCTGAAGACAGTTATGCCACACGATGGCGACAAAGGGCAGCTCCTCAACAAGTGTCACTTCAAGCGCTGCATTGGGCGTCCTCCACACTCTCTCATATGAGCACAGATGGATTTGGTGTGTGTAATGTTGGACCCACTGGTAAGACAAACACCCTTTTCCACAAATAAAGACACTCACATAAAGTTGCTCATATTCAAACCTCACGTGACAAAGGTGGGTTGAGCGCACAGATCACAACATAAACTCCAATAATGGCACCATCTGTGCGTAAATGACGCATCGCGCTCCGTGGCCTGGCTCTTTCTTTCATAGATGTTGGCATATAAAATAAATTTGGCTCACAAAACTGAATATTATAATATCCGTATGTCGGCTTAAAGTAGATAACGCATCTGAGCGCTGAAACAAATCATCTGTTCAGCCGCTGCTACAGCAGGACAGAGAGAGGACACGGAGACGTGTCCAGGTCGAGCTGTGCGAGAAATAAGAGGAAGAGGAATAAACAAAAGGAGGGAGACGAATTACATATCTTGTGAACTTCATCATGTGTGTCTATTTACTAGATATTTAATTTAATTTAATGCGGTTTCAGCTGTGTTGATTCGGTCAGGTTGTGTGTCCAAACGCGTGCCAAACGTGCTCATCAGATCAGATATAGATCTAAATGTACAGTACAGGCCAAAAGTTTGGACACACCTTCTCATTCAATGCATTTTCTTTGTTTTCATTACCATTTAAATTGTAGATTCTCTAAACTATGAATGAACACATGTGGAATCATCTGCTTAAGAAAAAAGTGTGAAATAACTGAAAACGTATTATATTTTAGATTTCTCAAAGTAGCCACCCTTTGCTTTTTTGATAGCGCTGCAAACTTTAGCTGTTCTCTCAATGAGCTTCATGAGGTAGTCACCTGAAATGGTTTTTACTTCACAGGAATGCCTGAAGTAACCCTGACAAGGTACTTCTGTCATCAAGAGCAAAGGGTGGCTATTTTAAAGAAACTAGAATATAAAACATGTTTTCGGTTATTTCACACTTTCTTTATAAGTACAAAATTCTACGTTCATTCATAGTTTTAATGCCTTCAGTAATAATCTACAATGTAAACAGTCATATAAAAAATAAAGAAAAGACATTGAATGAGAAGGTGTGTCCAAGCTTTTGGCCTGTACTGTATGTGCTAACTCAGATTATTAGTTGTTGTTGATTATTTATTGCACTGAAATGTGCCTGACACTGTGGAAACCTGCCGGTGAGGCATCGGGGACATATGCCAATACGCCACCAGTCTACCAAATACTATTAGACCAGCTACGTTCCACCTGCGCTGAAAGCTGACCAGGTTTGAATCGGCGAGCTTTCAGTGCACTTTACACGCCGGTGGCGAGCACGAAAATGTCACTGCGCCTGCTGATTCTGTCGACACCTCCCCCTGCCACGCCACCACGCCCAGCTTGGCGGATCTCGGCTCGCCTCCGTGCGCCTCAGTCCACGAAAATACCAAACTGGCTGTATGCCGGGCTGCGCCTTACGAAAATACAACTGCGCGGGGCTCGCCGCCCTCCGCCGCCCCACGGGCGTACACGAAAATAGAGCCCAAAGACTCTTTCAAGTCTGCTCTGAAGCGACACTTGTTTATCCAGGCTTTTGGTATCTAGTTAGGTTTTTTTTGTAGTGTGTTGTTAAGCGCTTTGGGTATCTTGAAAGGCGCTATACAAATGTAAGATGTTATTATTATTATTATTAGTCAGTGCTTCAGCTCCGGGTCGTCTCTGGTACCGTCTGTGTTTCAGATGCTGCTGCTTTACTATATTTCATATGTCCACTCAGGACAATGTCCTTTCAGGAAGATTTTGAGGACTTTTCCTCCTCTCTGAATTCCAGCAGCACATTTTTCAAACTGCAGTGAAGTTATCCTCCTTTGGAACAATGACAAACTTACACAGAGGTGACATCATTTCTGCTCTTGTGACTTTCTGCACCCTTGCATCTTGGTTACAACGTGATAACACGTAAGTCTATCAATGCTACCTCTATGTGCAATATTGACAAGCAAGATAATTATTATTTCTGCTAATACCTCAATTTTTGTCAGGTATATTCACTCTAATAATTTGCAATAAAATGTTGAACTCTTGTTTTGTTCAGTGTGTAGAGACGTTTTTTGTTTTTTAGGTTCTGTACCGGACATTTTTTTCTCTTTTTTTGTATAGAACATTTTTTGTCTAAGTTAACTTTTTAATAAGTTCTTTGTGCACTGTGTGTGCATGATGATTATACTTATTCTTCTATGTTTGCTGTGCAGATTCCCCCACTGTGGGATAAGCGAAGGTTTATCTTATCTTTAAAAGCTTTTAATGCACATTGTAAAAGAAAACATATTGGTGATAATAAAAATAAACTCTTTATGACCACAAACTGAAGCAGAGAGACTCCTAGGTTAGAGCTCACAATAACAGGTTGGAGTCAGGCCATGTAAAAAGCTCATTATGTGAAGAGGCGCATTTGGAAAAAGCAGAGATTGAAGGTAGACTAAGAAAGACGAGGTTATGAAGTTTTTGTTTGAGCTCTCCATCCTGTACATCACCACATGCTAACTGTATGTTTGATTGTGGATGACATTCATGTTGATTTATGGTCATGGTGAGTCCAACCGACCGTCTCAGAGGTCACAAGTTTGAAAGGCTGCAGGTTTGATACCTTTAAAGTACATTAAGGTCCATCAGCAGCTGTGTCTCCTCTTTGAACGTCCTTCAGCTTCCCTCTGAAGGACTCCACCTGCTCCCTCCCTGTGATTTATTCTGAAATAAAAATGTGTCCGAAATAAAATCCTCTCTTCCTTCTCTCTGTCTGAGCCCAGAGGTCGTTCCGATCGTTTGCAAATGATGACCGCCATGTCATGGCCAAACACGCCAGCATCTACCCAAGCCCGGAGGAGCTGGAAGCCGTCCAGACACTGGTGTCCACTGTGGAGGGAGCCCTGAAGAAGGTCTCTGATTGGATGGATGGACTCAATAAATCCTCAGGGAAGACTTCCATCAATCAGGAGGCAGGAGACAAGACATTGGAGATGGTCGCCACTGAGACTAAGTAGGTTTGATGTTTGTACTGGTATGAAAAATCTCTGATGTTCCTGCTGTGGCTATAATAGATTTATGATTACAGTTCAGAGCTGGATTGATCTCTCTGTGCCACATCAGTCCTCTCCTAAAAGCTGAGCTCTCATCTTCATCTTCATCTCCATCTCCATCTGGACTCTACGTGTGGTGACTAGGTGATAAAGGAGCTCAACAAACTCTCCTGAATTCTCACCATTTGGCTCAAAGCCTAAACATCCAATCAGAGGGTCAGTGTGATGGCGTGGTCTGTATGAGGAAGGAAAGAAAATATGATAATGTGGAAAGTTGAGCAAGTTATGTAGAGGCCTCTGAAAACAAAGGAAACTCAGGTCTTCTGTTAAAAGCTTCTATTTATAAAAAAAAAAATAAGCCTTTAACGGAGGATCAACATTTTTTAAGAAACCAGTAGGTGACGAAAAACTGAGAAGCAAATTGCTCAAATTCTGGAGGTCCACTTCCTGTGTAAATTTAACCAGCCTCCTGGAAAAACTTTTAGAATAACCCAGGGTGAATTGATGAGCCAAAGTAAGGTAAAAGTCTAAACAGTTTACTATGAGTGAGCAGCACTGACTCTGTACCACAGGTCTGGTTTCTCCTCTGCTAGGTCTTTTCGTCCTCTGTGCAGATACTGTAAACAGTTTATAAAGCACTGATGGAAAGGTAAAAAGCTCTTTATAACAAGGTTAGTTTCTGGTTCTCACCATATCTTATTATGATAAAACTGCAGTGTCCTCTGACAGCTGTGAGTCATGCAAGTGAATATCTCACTCAGGAGGACATTCTTGAAAAGGACCAAGAGCTGCAAGAGAGAGTCACCCTCAGATTTCTTTTTCTTTCAGTCACACATTAAAAACATGGAGATCTTCCAGAGTCTGTGTCTTCACAGGTGTGTCAACCTTAAATCCATTCTGACTCTTGCGATCCTCTCTCTGTCCTCAGACCTGATGGCTCAGCTCTGCTGAGTGGGGTAACTCGAGTCGGTTTGGTGTCCAAAGGCCTGCTGATCAGAGGGGACATGGACCTGGAGCTGGTCCTGATGTGCAGAGACAAACCCACCAAACTGCTTCTGTACACCATCAGCGCCAACCTGCCGCTGCAGATCCAGGTACGCTCAGACACACCTGCAGCTCTGCAGCAGTTTGTGATGAGGATAGGCTGGTCCTCAGAGAGAGAACAGGAGCGCTTTATATGAGGTGAAAATAGAGAGAATGTGATGCTGAGGAAGAGCAGGACACAAGGAAAATAAAAACAAGAGTATCCAGCTCTTTATGGTCCTGGATATGAACACAAGTGATGTATAATCTCATTCATGGAGGAATACATGCACTCTCATGTTTGTAGACACAGAAGCCTCATAATTCAAACATCATCAGTCTGCAGAGATCTTAGGGCCAATTCTTATCATCTGTCAATCATAATAGAAACAAATCATCAACTAATGATGAAGATTTCATGGGGATTTAAATTTGTACACTTTGGAAATTTTTGTTTCCAGACTTCTCCCTCTGATGACTGATGCAAACATACAGGAACAAAAGTCAGGACTGTGCTGGTGTGATGTATCAAAGACTTTCCTCTTTCTTAGGGGCTTTTCTGCCTGTTGTCTGCAGCACTGGAGGTCTGTGCTTAAAACCTGTCTGTCTCCATGTCCTGATTAAAGAACTTTTTAGGTTTTTGTCTCTATCCTCTGAACTTCAAGCCAACCCTGTTTCAGGGTTGCTCCTCCTCCAGAGTGAGCCTCACCTCCAGCGTTACAGAGATTTGTTCAGATTTCAAGTAGAGATTTTGTCTTCCATTTCTCTTTCATATTCTGGTTGCTTTCCCTCAAAGACTAAAACTGGGAATATCTCCATAAAGAAAACGCTGTCCACTCTGCCATCTCACTCAAGCAGGAGTTCAACTATCAAACTGTGATGGAACAGTTTACGGTCCAGGGTTACACAAAGGAGCTGCGCCAATGTAGAATTATATAATGCATACAATTCAGTCACAGCCAAGCCCAAAGAGGCTCTTCACTAGTGAGTATTGAGGCTGTACTGAGGGCTTTAATATTAAACAGAGAATTATGGCCTCCCTAATATTGACCTTCACAAATACAGAAGAATCACCAGGAACCAGAAGAGAGGAGGTCTGAGCGTCTGTGGAGTCCTCCTCAGAGTCCTGATGTATCACTGCAGAGGAAGAAAAAGCTCTAAGGAGGAAATTACTGGATTTTTTTGAGTCACCAAAGAGGAGATGAGGTGTAGTTGATTTGAAAAGTGAAGACTTCATCTATCAGCTCTGGATAGACACCATGCATCAGAAACCTCTGAATCTGTGAGGGTTTTGAACCATCTTAGCTCCAGAGGAAACATTCATCTACTGATTTGTTTTTGTATGTCAGCTTCACCTCCAATCAGCTGCCAGAGCCGCTGTACACACAGACTGATTGTGCTTCCTGCATCCTCGTCCCCTTTAATTACCTGCCGCCACTGCTGCCTGTGAGCTTCATCATCGGAGGAGGAAAACATCGAAATCTCTCATTTCCTCCAGCAACAGAAAGACTGTTGGGGGGGGTCTGGGCTGGTGGATGGGGTATTTCCTCTCAGGGATGAGATGAAGAAGATCCATGCCATCGAGGGAAATGCCAACCTGGAGGAAAATCAAGATAATCTGACCAAGTGGGAATCAGCTGGAATAACAACCAGTTTTTTCACTCAGAGAGCTCCTGTGATTCAACAGTAAGTTTCCAAATATAGTTTCATAACTTCAGTTCAATCTTTACATCATGAATTCATCATAACATCTTCACTTTTGCTCAGTAGACTCTTCTAGTACAGAGCCATGGTGCTGTAATCACAGCAGGAGGATGTGGAAAATATGAACATACAGTAGTAAGACAGCCACCCTCTGTACTGTTAGATGTTGGCTCTCTGTGCTGCCTGTTTTTTTTTTTTTTACGGTCATTAGTTTCCTTTCACTTTTTAATCTTTACTTCGTACACTTGTTTGATGTAAATTTATATGTGGACCACAAACCTGCCAGAGACCACAGATGGAAATAAGCCTAGGGCGACAACCAGGTCCATTAACCCGTGTTCATTAATGTGTGCTGTCCCTTACAATGAACAAATAAATGAGTGGATGAATGAGGTGAGGAATGATGAACTTCAGGCTGGTTCAGGCAGGTCACTGAGGCTTCACTGGGTTTAGATTGGTCATGTGTCAGCCTCAGCCTCACTTAACAAACAGCCTCTTCATTTGTGGTTGTGCTGCATCAGTGCTGCTGCTCCGACTCTGAGGAGGACCTCACTCTGAGGAGGACCTCACACTCTACACTCACACCAGCTGTTCTCATGGTCCTGGATGAGAATGCAAGGACCAGCTGACTGAAAACAGCTGAAGTGTTCTCACTGTTCTCACCTCCTCCTTCTCCTCCTCCTCCTCCCTCTCCTCTTCCTCATCCCTCTCCTCCTCTTCCACTTTGTCTTCCCCCTCTTCCTAATCCTTCCTCTCCTCTTCATCTTCTTCCTCCTCCTCCTCCTCCTCCTCCCTTACTCTCGTCAGTACTTGACGCTCCGACTGTGAAATTGTATTTTTAATTAAGGCCGTGTCTCTCTCTCTCTCTCTCACTCTCTCTCTCTCTCTCTCTCTCTCTCTCTCTCTCTCTTGCAGATGATGACAGAGGACAAAGTCGAGGTGCAGTCGAGCGTACCTGAGGCGGCCATCCGGGTCTGCACCACCAGAGACCCCCAACTCTCCCTGAAGATCACCCTCTCCTCTCTGACCATGCGGGAGGAGCACAGCACCCCAGAGGAAGGTATTTCACTCCTGACCTGCTGAGCCCCCGTGAGCTTCCTGTTTAGGAGGAAGACTCCCTGATTTTATTTGACCTTTCAGCCTACAGAGCGCAGAGAGGGAGGAGACATAGAGGAAGAGGAGGATGAGGAGGAGGATCACACTGACATGTTTTTTTTTTTTAAGTTCAACAACGCCTGAGCTTTAAATGGACGAAATCTGAAAGAGACTGAAGTCTGAGAGGGAACCAGAGAAAGAAAATTTATCAGATAGATCTGGGTCAGGTGTGGAGGGAAGAGCAGCTGGAGGAGGATTTCTGTGATGGGGAAAAGAAGATATCTCACTCTGGTGTCCTCTGAAGACTCAGTTACCACACTACCAGAGGATGGCTTTAAGTAAATGTCATTTTTAGGCCACATTCAGTTTGAGGGGAAATCCCCTGAAAACAGGTTTTTGAGAATAAATGTATCCAGCCATGGAGATGTGACATGCCATCAGGAGAGAGAGATTCAGATCAAACTCAAAGTAGTGTAAGACTCCAGGTGGGAATAAGTTTGAGACAAATCCAGGTAAGTCTGTCTGAAAAAGACCAGAAGTACAACAAGGAGTTGTAAAGAAAGGGTTCAGGAACTTTGGAGGTTTTAAAGACAAATTTGGACTCAGAACCAAGCGCCCATATACCCTGGTAGTTTTTGTTCGGTCTCTGTGAACCCCAGTTCATCAAAATGTCCTCTTACCTCTACAGTAGCTGCAGGTCCCTTTGTGTTGATTTTCCTGTCGTAATGGACTTAAAGATAAACAAAAACTGTAGAGCTGCAGGTCCTCTGTGGTTTTGTACCAGTGGGGAGGATGGAGTTGAGCCATCACAAAAGGTAAAAATGGATTTTGTGGCCCTGCAGCACAGCTGGTGATTCAGAGTCAGAGAAACAGTTTAGCTTCAGGTTTAACAGCCTGTCAATGCGAACGAGGACAGAACCTTCCCGTTTGTTAAAGTGTGAAATCCTCCAAACACAGACTGATGCTCTGCTGACAGCACACAAAGAGGAGCAGCAGAGACTGACGGGGTTTCCTGTAGACACAAACAAACAAAAAAACAAACACATTCTCAAGATTTCCTCAGTCAAAAGCAAAAAGAACAATCAGAGCCGAGTCTAAATCTGGTCAACAAACCTGTGAGATCAGTTCATTATCCATTCATCAGATTCACTCACTCCGTCTCTAGAAGACCAGACCTTTTCTAGGACAACTTCATCCACAGCATGAGGAGCATTCAGTCCAAGATTTCAGAGTAGTTTTTATATATTTTACTTGAACACTTCTATTCTGATTTCTTTTAAATTCTCTATTTGTAAAAATACTATTCTTAATATTTTTCTAATCGACTTCAGTGTGCGTCATATCCTGATTAGTATTTTAGTTTCAATTAGCTTTATTGGCATGATTGTTACTACAATATTGCCAAGGCGTTTGAACACAAAACTAATAACAACAATAACTGTAATAAGAATAATAAGAATACAATGATAATAATAATAATAATAATAATAATAATAATAATAATAATAATAATAAATGAATAATAATAATAATAATAATACAATATTAATAACAGTAAAAAATATATGATGATAATAATAATAATAATAATAATAATAATCATCATCATAATCATTATCATCATCATCATAATAATAATAATAATAATACAATATTAATAACAGTAAAAATAATAATAGTAATAATAATGAATAAATAGTGTCAGTATCGTCATGTTTGCAGATAAAAACTCCAGAGCAGCTTCTTCTCTTTTCTGATGGCATGTATTGTATATGTTTAATTGTATATATTTACGTCTGTATTTGAACTTTGTAGCTCCAGTCTGAAAAATTTGCCCCACTTTAGGTTTGAGTGTGCCCTCAGGATCTGAACCTGTTCCTGAGCTAAAACCTGTTCATCACTCAGCAGCATCTCTCATGTTTTCAGGAGCCGATCAGCAGAGGTTTTACTCTCTAACTCTCTGATTTCCTCCTGGTCTCTTTTAGCTAACTTCCTGGGTTTTACAGAGTCCTTCCTCTTGGTTCTTACAGAGTCCCTCCTGCTGGTCCTCTGATCACTGACTGTTGGTTTAACTATGCAGGTCAGCTCACCATCTGGACCGACACCCCTCTGACCCTTCCACTCTGCTGATGAGCCACTTGGCCTCGGGAAAGCACGGGCACAGGGGGCTTCCCCGACACCAGAATCAAATGCACCTCTTCCTCCCTCCTCTCCCGCCTCCTCCCTCTGTTTACCCAGGAGCCACCATTTCAGATCAGAGCTCTCCCATAGATTTTATGCTGTAAACAGTGCTGATGAAATTGATCTAATGTCCTGCTCCTTATCTGAAAGCTGCTAATGTCAGCGATGGCAGGGATCTTATCTGTTCTTCTTGTGGACAGTGGACTGATGGATCCCTCATGTTCTGCTCTGAGAATCTGTTTCATCATCACACCTGAACATTAGGGGCAAAAAGAAACCAGTCTCTGAGGGATGTCTCAGACTTCACTGCGACTGTGACAGTCTGAAATCTTTCAACAGCTTTATAAAAAGGGCTTTAATTGAGTGCAGTGTCAATTCAGGCAGGCCACCGAGTCAAGTTCAACCAATTAACTGGAGAGGTGATCACGCCAGAACCCCGTTACAAAAACACAACAGAGTAAAACTCGGCCCTCCAGCTGGAAGCATTTAGAGGCGTTTGGGGAAAAAGCTTTACTCAGCGAATTTTACTGCAGACTGAATAGAGAATCAGTCATTTAAAAACATGGTCTGTATGAAACATGAAGGTAGTCTCGTCTTCTTGCTCCTGATGAGGCGTTTTCGAGCCCAAAGATGGGAGTCTGGAAATATTGACTCCGAGTCCTGATAGGATATCAACAGGTGAGTCACAGCAGTAATTCATCCCTGTAGAGCCATCTTGATCAGAGAAATAAGCTATAGTCAGAAACTGGTCCTGTACCAGTTTATTTCTGCTGTGAGGTTGGATACTTGAACATGAAGCTTTATGGCGACTGACTCACTGCAGGACACTGCCTCTAGTGGACACTGGAGACACACTGGAGGTTTCCTCTCAGAGAGGCTAAGGGTCAAAATGATAGATTTTTTGAAAAGCTCTGGGTTGTGCCGAGACAGGGGGCGGCCTGGGTTACAACCATAGGCCACTTTCCCACGTCACTCCCTGCCCTCTCTCTCCCTGATTCCTTCCTTCCCCACTGTCCTGTCCTCTCCCTAAACAAAAGCAAAAGTCTGATAATTAACTCAAAAGAAAGAGTAAAGTGCAGATTTGAAAAATACAAGCTAGCTGAAGTCCAGTGTCACGTATGAGCCGAGTAATCCAGGGATCAGATACACAAAGATAAAGTCCACTCAGTGAAGATAAAAGCTTCATCTTCATCACTTCTCATGTATTTTCAGCCTCTGTCTTACAGATCTTCATTTGTATGAAGTTGTGAAAATGCTAGCTGAATCATCTGGAGTTTAATGACTGAGTCCTGTCGTGTCTGTGGAAGAGACTTACAGATGGCTCTCTGTACATGAGGCTGATGAGGAAATGAAGGCGTGATCTGAGAGATGAAACCATGAATTCATTAACTTCATTACTGTCCCTAGCACTGACTGTATCCCTCATTTACATGTTCATAGGATCATGTGCAGAGTGAGGTTGATTACATATATTTTTCTCAGAGTGGCTCACCCTGTTCACCCTGTTATTACCCATAATTCTCAGGGTCAGAACGTGAAGGTCCTCAGCCCTTGGTGGTAAAGGAGGATCAGTTCTTGGTTTGTCCTCCACTTCCCCATCCTGTTCAGTGTGCTCACAGACTGTAGATACGGCTCAGGACTCCTCAGCTCACATTAGCTTTGATTTATCTCATGCAAATGAGTTTAAATGTCAGGAGGAAAGACTCAAATATCACTTCTTTCTTTTTTTAAAGCCAGTGTCAGCAGTTTTCTGAGGAAATCGCTGTGATTTAATCTCAGCGGACCATCACTCATTTGTAGACATCTTTGGACAATAACGAGACTTTTATCTTCATTTTATGTCTGTGTCTCAACTGAAGAATACAAACGCTATAGGAAGTCACAGAGACTTCTTTGTGTGTGGTTCCTGACTGCGGACTCTGCAGCCTGTTTGCCCTTTTCCTTGTCTGCTCGTCTGTCCCACAGCAGACCCCTCTCAGAGGACTGTCTTCACTTTCTTTCTAGCGTGGCGCCCTTGTTTTCAGATGTTTATGTTGTCATCTGCTGTCATGGTAGTGGCACCGCCCCACAGGAACATAAACATCTGACTGACACTGCAGGAGTGAAAATACGAATGCGGCGACCCTCTAAACTGCTTGATGACTCTCTCTGCACTGACACCTCCTTACTATGAGTGTCATTTAAATTTTTTTTTGGCTTTGGGTCCCCACTCATTATCGCGCTCTTGTTTTCCTCCTGCACACAAATTGACAATGTACTAATCTGGCGTGTTTGCCGCCTGCAGCCCCTGATCTGCATCTGGAGCAAGACTCCAGCAGGGCAGCGGGATGCATGAGCTCACGTCCTCTCCGGTTCCTCCTGTCAGTGTTTCAAGATCCTGTCTGGTGCATGAACAACTTCTGTCCCAAAAAAATCACAGATTCTTTCAAATCTCTCCCAGCTCGCAGGGTCAGATCAGTGGGTTTGCCTAATAACTCTCCCTGCTGTAGTGTTTAAGAGTGTGTGTGTGTGTGTGTGTGTGTGTGTGTGTGTGTGTGTGTGTGTGTGTGTGTGTGTGTGTGTGTGTGTGTGTGTGTGTGTGTGTGTGTGTGTGTGCATGCTGTGTGTCTTCATGCTGTGTGAGTGTGAGTTCAGAGTCTCATCTCATCTCTTTTTTTGGGAGAAGACAGAAAAGAGAAGCAGAGAGTGGAGGAAGAGGACGATGAGGAGGGCATCCTGGACAGAGAGAAGTGCCGAGCTGCACTGGCTTCACTCCGACACGCCAAATGGTTCCAGGTGAGCACAGATGGGCGCCAACACAAACACCTTCAACACGTCTTACCTTCAATACTCAGCCTGTCTGTGAAAATCAGGTTGGTTTAGTTGAGTGTGCAGCAGAGACCATGATCACATCATAAAGACATGATTTTAACAAAGGAGGATCACAGGTGTGTTTGTTCCATCCAATCACACTCATGCAGGTGAGACATTCTGATACTCTATGAAGCCATCTTTACAGCCCTGAAACTCTCAGAACATCTTCAGGAGCCATGCGGCAGAAACTTGTAGAGCTGTTTGTTCATGTGGCCCTTACAGAGGATGAGTCTCAGGAGGCCATAGGTGGCGTTGGTGATGTCACACCACCAAAATATTGACCTGGCTACCAAAATCAACTGAAGTATTGCTGAGGTCAGCACTTCACCTGAAATTCTCAGGTCACTTTAGCATTTCTGATCTCCTCAGAATAGTCAACTTGGAGTTTAAAAGAAGATTATTAAGATTAGAGTGTAAGATTAGAGCTGTGAAACAGACACAGAGCTGCAGAGCTTCACCTTCATTTGGAATGCACGTTTCATATTCCTGGACCATAGATTGAATTTTCTTAGGATCAGAAACACATGATAATGGGACTGTGCCACCTGCCATGTTGCACTCGTTTTGTCCTAAACGATAAATGGAGCTTTCTCTTTCCTCTTTTACTGCTGAATGAGGGCGTAGCCCCTCCCCAAAAAGCTTAAACTGAAATATCATCCCCTAAAACAGTAAGACCTGGTTTTTAGACTCTGCAGGCTGAGAACTACAGGTCTGTAGAAGTTATCCATCAAATCATGTGACAGAAGTAAAATTTGTGTTTTCAGGATTTATCAGCAGCCCTTGATGAAAGGAAGAGAGAGACTTAACGCCTTGTAAGGAGTAACAAAGTTGTTTGAATGTGTAGAGGAGGATCCTGACAGAGTGAGATGTGACTGTGAAGGTCATGTGAAGACTCTTTCAGATGAGCTGCAGCTCTGAGTTTTCCTCCTCTCAGAGTCAGCACAGAGACAAGTGAAGGGCAGGTGAGGCAGTGAGTGTCTCCCCTTGAGGAAGGAGAACTGAATGTAAAGTAATATCTGAGAGAGGGCTGAAAGTGAAGCTCTTCAAGGAGGATTCATCACACTCAGGCTGACTAATATGACCCATTATGGTCCTGCTCTCATCTCTGATAGCACAGGAGACAATCAGCGCCACCCTGCTCATCCAGCAGACATTAGAAAAACAAGCGTCTTTATTGTTCCAAACAGTCATCCTATGGAAATGACGGTGTCTGTGATCTGCTGTGGGATTGGCTGTTCCTCATGTAATTCTGCTTGAACTTTCAGAGAGGATTTTCATTGTTTGATCGTTTTCAGGACAAGAAGTTTGTAAATTCAGTCAAACTTAGCAAACAAATATCTCAACGGTTATTTTATACTGATGGTAAAGCAGCAAGTCATACATCTTTCACATAAGACCAGACTGTGAGGACTAGTCATCATGCAGATGGGAAGAGGTTCTTCACTCTGTTAGAGACTGTGTGAGCTAACAGTATGGAGTTAAATTAGTGCCAAAACCTCACAAACACAAAAACTGTGTTTTATTCATGGCCAATGATTCACGAACAAACTCAGTGTGATTTGCAAAAGTAAAACATCATTCACAACTAATGCATTTAGTTTTGTTAATAAAAAAATGTCTCTCCAACAAACACATCATGCTCCACAAATACAGAAAAATCTTACATGAAAATATCTTTCAGGCGCAAAAATAAAATCAAGTACAAAAAAATATCGTTCAAATACGAATTTAAATCTTTCAAGATTACATTTTTCTCCTCGGGTTCAAAAGAAAATTCTGCAAGTAGTAGAAAAAATTCTGAAAGTAGGAGAGACAATTCTGCAGAGAACATAGACTGTATATTCTATGGACAACTTGGTTCAGCCTACCGCCTGTATATGGATTTAAAGCCAAAAAGCTCTCGATATTTCCAGGATTTTTCTTCATTTCCTGAAACCAGAGCTGCGCGGTAGCGGTGCGCGCATTCAGCCGCACAGTCGCAGAGAGTCGTTGTGATGACGCTCGGCTCAAACAGCATATGTTTAAGCTGTAAAAGATATTTACGCAGTGTTTTTTGCTAAATGAACACGTCAATGAAAGGGAAACAAACGTGAGATATAATATTTACGTTGATAGTCTTGCACCATCTCGGAGTGATGCGTTCAGGCAGCCTCAGATAAAAGAGTGCTGTATTTCACACACAGATGTTCAGAGAGACTCGTATGGGAAAGCACGTCAAACATATGAGGACTTTAACACTAATATTTGTAGACTGAATAAGTTCAAGGCTTATCTTAGCATTTTTTTAATTACAATTTTTTATTATTAAAACAAAACAAAACGGTATGCAGCTTCACTTAGACTTATTTGGACGAGAAATCTAATAACACATGCTTACAGACATCAGTATTGCCGAGAAATGCATCCACCCATAAAGCACATATCAATGCTACTAACCTTATATCAGCTGTTTTTCTGTTTGCCAAAATATGTATCCACTTGTTAATTAGCTATTGAGACAACAACAAGACATATTTTTATTACACTAGGAAAGTCCACCCATTTTTCGCACAATTAAAACAATAAATGCTGCGCTCCGCGGCTTGTCTTCAAGTCAGTCGTGACGCGAGCCTGAGGGCGGGGACATTTGGCGACTCAACCAGGAAGTCCTCCGAAGGGTAGTCAGGGCCGTAGCCAGGATTTTGGAATAGGTGAGGTCCATGAAAGCACGCGCTGAAAATTTTTTCTTTTTTTTTTTTTTTTTTTTTTTAGGCTACAAGTCACACAAGATGTTTATTATTTAAATATCTTTTAATGATGTAAAATCAGCATTTTCCCCCAAAAAATGTATATTTTTTCAAAAAAACAAATCAACTTTTTACATCAAGGGCTAGCTGATTCCTTCTGTGATCAGAGGCATCCCACCGTCGAAGGATATTCTCCCGGTTCACTTCCACTTTTTGATGCACATGCATCATCGCCAGGCCTAATAGTCTGTCGTTGGACATGGTAGATCTAAGCCATGTCTTAAGTCTTTGTATGGCTGAGAATGACCTCTCACAGGCACAGGTCGTCACTGGCAAGGTTAGAAAAATCTTCAACATACATTGTATGTTAGGGAAGAATGACAGGTTGTGTATTTGAAAAACTTCCAGTGCAGAAGTAGGAAGGGGGCCATGTTCAAATTTGTGTCTCCAGCGCTCGATCTCCTGTCTGGCAGTGTCTGGGTCAGGGATGTCTTCATGGTACCACTGAAGCATCTCATCCTCTTTTTCTGGTGTTAGTTTTTTCAAGGAGGATGGCACCAAGTAAGATGCAAGCATAGGGGGTTCATTACCTTTGGAAAATCTCTCATCCATCTGAGCTGTGATGTAATCTATGAAGGGGTAGAAGAGATTTATCCTGTAACGGTCTTCAACTGATTGGTTGGTCACATTTGCTCGGTAAGTTTGTTTCACAGATACCCTGTGCTTCGCTGGGACAACACCTATTGAGTTAGCCAATGCAATGGCTTTCTCAAAGCACAGCCTGAAACCTTCGTCCCGTCTTTGGTTGGCTATGACCTGCTGCACATTTCTTGCCTCCTCATTTGCTGTGAGGATATCCAGATTGGTAGCCTGCAGCTGTTTGGTCAAAGGATGTATGTAGCCAATTATTTTATTGACCATCCCAGCTGTAATGATGGTCTCAAATGACTTCATACTGTGCCTGAGGGTGGCGGCCTTTCCAGATATATAAGGTTTTTCGGTCTCCATCGTTTCCAAAACAGAATGCACCGCAGTGAACTTTTCCACAAATGCACTGAGGGTGGTTGACCTGCTGCTCCATCTAGTGTCACTCATGAGTGGGATCCCTGATGTTCTTCCTGCTTGTCCTTCTTTACTGGTTTCTGCCTCCAAAGCACCTTTTCTGGCACTAGAGCCTGAAAAGAACACTGCAATTTCCTCAATGATAGACATTGATAGACATGATAGACATTGTATTCCTCACTATAGACAGAGCTAAACAGCCATGCACTACCACTAAATTAAGTGCATGGCTCCTGCAGTGGGTGTACATTGCCCTGGGATGAACATCACTGATTCTTTTTTTGGACTCCACTCACATGGCCACTCATTGTAGATGCCCCATCATACCCTTGGCCCCTTAAAAACTCCCCACCCCATCAGCTGCTGAAGAATTACTGTGGCTATTGTCTTTGCATCTTGCTGAGGCAAAGGGCAGAATCCAAGAAAGTCCTCTCTTATTTCAGAACTCTCTCCCTCCCCACTCACGGACCGAACGCAGAGTGATAGTTGCTCAATTCCACTGACATCCATGGACTCGTCAGCTAAAACAGTGAAGAACTGCGCTGTTTTGATACTGTCAATAAGAGTCTCTCTAATGTCCTCTGCACAGCATGCAATGAGTTCATTCTGAATTTGTGGGGATATGTATTTTGCATTCTTGGCAGCAGTCTCCAGATGTTGCTTGAGTGTAGTGTCGATGTTATGCCCCAGTCTAGGGGTGCCTAGGACACAGCCTGATAAGGCCTCATCTTCCCCAAGTCCCAAGTAGCCACAAACAAGAGATTTGTTTCAATTTACAGAAAATGATTTATTTACATAAATAAGTAAATGAACATATAGATTTACAAAAGTAACTAAGGCGGAGTTGCTAGGCTTCAGGGTGGACTAAGGCCAAAATGATCCTGTCTATGGAGTAAGTAACTAACCTAACCAAACAAAGGAAACGAATGACAAAAGACTTACCTCCCTAACTAAATAAACAGGAGAAAACAAGGTTAGCAAAACTGGCAGCCCACCCTTACTTCTCCAAGAAACCACTACAAAATACACAACGGTTTAAACCCAGCAAACAGTGTGGCCGGTCGGGAGAGGAGGAGGATGAGGAATGCCTGCAGCCCTGCACATGGTGGCCGCCATCTTGGCTCCTCATATAGCAGGTTTCAGCCAATCGCTGGCCAGGACGTAGAGCCAATCCACCAATGACCGCGCGGCTGTGGCACACACCTATTTGCACATGAAATTGACACAAAGGACACAGGGCACACACACAGCAGACAGTCTACAAATATATGACCACAGTCATAACAGTCGAACTGTGCTTTCCAGTTTACAAAATGGTTAAAATTTCCATTTTCACTGGTTCCCTCCCAGTTCCCCCGGAAAGGCACATTTCTTTGCCCTAGACATACAATGATGTCTATGATGGAGAGCCTTGTCATCATTTTGCTTGCTGATAACAGATTTAATATCTTTCTTTTGGCCTTGTGTGATTGACATGAAATTTTCAGCCAATTCTGTGGCTCTCTGGTGTCCCTCTGAATGGCTATGCTTTGGGATAATGCCCATTTTTCTCACCAACGGCATTCTTCCAATCAGTAAAGCCCTTTGTAAGAAAGCCAAAGTTTGCTCCTTTTACTTTATTATAGCAGAGGCAAGTGGCACAATAAGCTGCATCTTCAGATGGGGAGTAGTGCAGCCATTCATATTTTTTCTCCCACTGAGAATTGTACTTAAGCTGTTTTCCTCCAAAGGTACGATGGGGATAGCTATATCCCTCTGGTGCTAACCACCTATTTTGGAATACACTTTTTTTCTCATCATCTGTAAGTGCATCACCATTAATGACTTTGTTTTTTATCCTAACCGGGTCAAAGGGATGCTGATGGCATGAACTTCTCATTTCTCCCCCCCCCCCCCCATTTCCCTGTTTCCCTGGTCCCTGCTGTATCCCATCTCTGTGTGTCGCTGCTCTCCACTCTCCTCTGTGTTTCTCTGCTCTCCATCCTCCTCTGTGTTTCTCTGCGCTCCACTCTCCTCTGTGTGTCTCTGCTCCCCTTCCATCTCTGAGTGACTCTCCTCTCTGTGCTCCACCTTACTTTCCCTATTACTATCTTCCTCTTTGTCAATTTCTTTCTTTTTCTTTGCCAGAAATGCATGCAGTCTATTCTGTTTTAACCTCTTGGCCATGTTTGCCCTGCTCTCTGTGACTTGTTTTCTGCGGAATGGGTATATTAAAATGAATATGAGCTGAAAACTTGCTAGATGAACTGAACATTAATATCTAAAAGTGCCCCCTCTAACTTTCTGACCCATAGGTACTTTCACTTACCAAATAATTTCTTGAAGTTGACATAGAAGGTACTCAGTAGGTCTACTGTTTTTTACTGTTTTTTTTTTTATCATGCAAATGTGTAAAAATAAATTCAATGTCGCCTGAACTGCACTATACAAGCACGCGTCACGTGACTCAAGGTCCTCGAGTAGTCGCATCATCGTGACGCGTGCTCGGCCACCTGATAAGCCGGGCGCTCATCAAAAAAAAAAAACGCCGGGCGCACTCTCCGCTGTGGATAAAAGTAAATAAACTGGCTTTGATCAGATGATTTGACAGGCTGAACTACTGCCGAATTATCTAAAAAAATATATTGTGGTCACCTAGGTGTAGATGGGCGGGGATGTGGTCTACAAAGTGCTAATAATAAAAAAAAAACCTATAGTTTCTGAATGTGGTTTCACAGGGCGCAGTCGCGGGTACGTGCATCAGCTGATCAAACAGCTGTTCACCGCAACACTCACACAGGCACAAACACAACACAAAGCCCATGGGTGTTTACCACAATTTACAATTTATAAGCACGTTTCACAGATAGGTTTCAAGTTTTTATGAGTTTATGTTTTATTCAGTTGGGCATATTTGGCGGAAAAAAAAAACCTCGGAAAACATTGGTGAGGTCCGGACCTCGCTGACCTCATACCTGGCTACGGCCATGAGGGTAGTCTGTCCCATTTCACAAAAACCGGACCATCTCACCCAGGGTACTCCAGTCCACAGAACGGCAGCGCGCTCAGCCTGTTGCGGTCTCTGAAATAAGACACAGCCTCACACCTGGTTCACACAGGATGCTGATGCTGCGCACGCGCGCACACACCTGCCTGTCCACACATAAAGGGCTCTATTTTCGTGTACGCCCATTAGGCGGCGGAGGGCGGCGAGACCCGCGCAGTTGTATTTTCGTCTGGCGTAGCCCGGCGTATAGCCAGTTTGGTATTTTCGTGGACTGAGGCGCACGGAGGCGAGCCAAGATCCGCCAAGCTGGGCATGGTGGCGTGGCAGGGGGAGGTGTCGAGAGAATCAGCGGGCGCAGTGACATTTTCGTGCTCGCCACCGGCGTGTAAAGTGTGCTGAAAGCTCGCCGATTCAAACCTGGTCAGCTTTCAGCGCAGGCGGAACGCAGCTGGTCTAGTAGTTTTTTGGTAGACCCGCGGCGTATTGGCATACGTCACCGATGCCTCACCGGCAGGTTTCCACAGTGTCAGGCACATTTTAGTGCAATAAATAATCAACAACAACTAATAATCTGAGTTAGCACATACATTTAGATCTATATTTATATATTCTGATCTATATCTGATCTGATGAGCGCGTTTGGCACGCGTTTGGACACACAACCTGACCGAATCAACACAGCTGAAACCGCATTAAATTAAATTAAATATCTAGTAAATAGACACACATGATGAAGTTATCAAGACATGTAATTCGTCTCCCTCCTTTTCTTTCTTCCTCTTCCTCTTATTTCTCGCACAGCTCGACCTGGACAGGTCTCCGTGTCCTCTCTCTGTCCTGCTTCAGCAGCGGTTGAACAGATGATTTGTTTCAGCGCTCAGATGAGTTATCTTCTTTAAGCTGACATACGGATATTATAATATTCAGTTTTGTGAGCCAAATTTATTTCATATGCCAACATCTATGAAAGAAAGAGCCAGGCCACGGAGCGCGATGCGTCATTTACGCACAGATGGTTCCGATTTTAATGCCATTATTGGAGTTTATGTTGTGATCTGTGCGCTCAACCCACCTTTGTCACGTGAGGTTTGAATATGAGCAACTTGATGTGAGTGTCTTTATTTGTGGAAAAGGGTGTTTGTCTTACCAGTGGGTCCAACATTACACACACCAAATCCATCTGTGCTCATATGAGAGAGTGTGGAGGACGCCCAATGCAGCGCTTACAGTGACACTTGTTGAGGAGCTGCCCTTTGTTGCCATTGTGTGGCATAATTGTCTTCAGACATCTCTTGATCTCCTTGACTACTTCATGAAAATAGTAATACGCCTCGCCGGTGGCGGATTTAAAGGCAAGGAGAGGAGCTTATGTGATTGGTGAAAACAGGTCTTGGCTGTGTTAAACCCACTCTCCGCCCTCTCTCCTCCCTCGCTACGACTGACGCCACTGGGAGGAGCTGAGTTAGGGAGGGGGGATACTTACGCCGGGCTGCACCGCTCACCAAAATACCAAATTGTGCTTGGGAACGCCTTGTCAGCGTGGCGGACCTCACTTACGCCGCGTCGCCGGCGAGGCACAAAAATAGAGCCCAAAGTGTTTTCTGCGGCGCTCTGACGCACCGGTTAGACATCGACTGAGCCCGGCTGTGCTTGGCTGTTTCCGTCTGCCCTCAGTTTTCCACACTTATGAGCGCTTTAAACATGGGTAATCAATATTTATTTATTATGTCATACATAAATTAGATATTGGCAGCATCTTCAAGTATTATTTTAAATTGTTATATAGGGGTTAACAACGAATGAATTGGGGAGTCTGTTGACTCCACTATATGTGAGCTCGGGGCTATTGACTCTATCGTAATAAAGTCCCCCTCCTTTGTCTCAATAACATCACTGAATCTCTGCCGCTCTCCCTCTGTGTGTGTGTGTGTGTGTGTGTGTGTGTGTGTGTGTGTGCGTGCGTGCGTGCGCGCGTGCGTGTGTGTTCATTGGGATTTTTCTAATTTATTGAAATTTATTTTATTTTGAAAATTGACCGGATTCTCTCGCATCTCCTGTTCCCGACTTCCTGTCTGGTCCTATCTGCTCTGTCCAGCTTTACAATTGGCGCTTGCGGCTCGCGCCAAAAATAGAGAGAAGCGGAGCAGCTGCGCTCCAGAGCCTGAGCATGCGCTGTGTGAACAGTCACACAGGTTAACACGGGCGCCGATCCAAAACTCGGTGCGCGGTGCTTCCGCGTGCGAACCAGGTGTCAGGTGTGAACCCTGCGGATGCGGATCAGCACGGCGGAAAGTTACTGCCAAAAGTCACGTGACGCGGTAGAATCATGCCAAAACTGTTTCTTCGACTTGCGGAACTGTTTCTCCACAGAATTGTCTCTCCCCTACTTGCAGAATTTTTTCTCCTACTTGCAGAATTTTTTTTGAACTCGAGGAGAAAAAAATAAATCTTGAAAGATTTAAATTCGTATTTGAACGATATTTTTTTGTACTTAAAAGATTTTATTTTTGCGCCTGAAGGATATTTTTATGTAAGTGAAGATAGATTTTTCTGTATTTCTGAAGCATAATGTATTTGTTGGATACACATTTTTTTTTATTAACAAAACTAAATGCATTAGTTGTGAATGATGTTTTGCTTTTGCAAATCACACTGAGTTTGTTTGTGAATCATTGGCCGTGAATAAAGTTTTTGTGTTTGTGAGATTTTGGCACTAATTTAACTCAATATAACAGTTTCAGAATAATGTTCCTGAGAGTCAAATGTGAAAGAATAAGTTCAACACTTCATCATCTACAAACCAGAATATCATTAAAAGATTCAGAGAATCTGGAGAAATTTCTACTATAGGGACAAGGACCAAAACCAAGACTGGATGGTCCTGATCTTCAGGCAGCATTGCATTAAAAACAGACAGGATTCTGGAATGGAAATCACTGCATGGGCTCTGAATCACTTCGGAAACCATTGACAGTGAACACACTGCATCCACAAATTAGGTTAAAACTGAACCATGAAAAGAGGAAACCAGAAAGAACCAGGATCCAGAAACACCAGAGACTTCAGGGGAAGAGGAAAACTGTCCTGTGGTCTGATGGATCTTAATCTGACACTCTCTTTGGAAATCATGGACTCTGTGTCCTGTTTGGGTTTAAATGTTTTCAGTTAAATATTTACTTGAAATTATTTGAAAACCATCAAACCCTGTTTTTGTTATTGTCACTGATCCATCAGGTCTAAGTGGGTTTTGGCCTGGCCCTTAGAGTTTTATTTCAAATGTGGGTTTAGCATTTGAACTATGGGGATTCCCTTGGTTTCAGGACCAGCCTCTAGTGGACACTTGAGGAAATGCCGTTTTTAGCAAAGTGTCTTTGCTTAACTTTTGTGAATGACGGTTTAGGTGGAGCACATCAGACTAACCCTGCCTGTAAAAGCAGCATTATGAACAGAAATGAAGAAAAGTTGTTTGCTGGGATTGATCTGAAGGGAGATGTTTCATCTTTTCCTCTTTCTTTTTTCTTTCATGTACTCCAATCAGCATGTCTGGACCTGTTCAAGGCTAAACTTAGTAGAATTTCTGCTCACAGATAAAGCCGAAAAGTGGATTATCATTTACAATTTCATCTCTCAGTCTGTAACGGTGGTATTAGCAGCACATTGACATTTCACAGGTCCTGAAGAAGCCTGTGTGAGTGCCTGAGATCTTATAGCTCAGAGTCTGAAAGTGTTAGAGAACAGATTGTTGTATTTCTTTGAGCTGCTCTGTCAATCTCCCCTGCTGCTGTTAAAATTCTCCTCCTCATGCCATCACCTCTTTGTCTTGTTTCCCCTCAGGCCAGAGTCACAGATCTTAAATCCTGTGTGGTCGTCCTGAGGATTCTCAGAGACATGTGCAACAGACTGCCAGGATGGAGGACGCTTAGAGGCTGGGTGGGTGACAGCTGCGGGGGGAGGGGGGTTTGTTTCTGCAGCAACCTCTGTCATAGATTTCCTGTACTCTGTGCCCTCTCCTCTGTCCTCTGCAGCCTCTGGAGCTGATCTGTGAAAAGGCCATTGCCACCTGTAACCGGCCGCTAGGTCCAGGAGAGGCTCTGCGACGAGTCATGGAGTGTGTCGCTTCAGGGATTCTGCTGCCAGGTCAGAGCTCAGTCCTTGACTCCAACATTTACAGATCATCACTGTCCTCTGAGGAGAGGTGATGATCTGTCAATCTTCAGCTGTCCTCTCCTCTTTCAGGACCTCTGTTGTCCTCCATTCACCTTTGAGCCACAGTGCACTGAAATACGAAACGCTAAGAAGGAAAACAGAATTGATAGAAACATACAAACAGAGAAGAGCACCTGCAGAGGTCTCCAGGGTTAAGTCTGTATCTGCTGCAGAGAGACCTCAGACTCAGAGTCCAGGTTCTCAGGTTTGACCCCGAAGATGTCCTGGATCAGGAGAGTTTTCAGTCTAACTCTGACAATTAGAGGTTTCAGGAGGTGGAGCTACAGGACTCAGCAGGAAGTCTCTCTCAGTCTCTGTTAGATTCTGAATTACATGTTCTGCTCATTAGAGCCCACAGACCACAGAGGTCTAGGTTTCCATCTTTCAAAGGAGAGAGAGTGCTTTAATGATAGGGGGTTACAGTGTCAGTCAGACTCCATCTGAAGTTCATGGAAATGTGATGGAGGACAGAGAACCTCACAGTGACCTGCTCAGACCAAACAGAGCTCAGAGGACCAGGAGGACTTTTTCGAAAGGCTAATTTGGCTAAAATCTGAAGTTTGGAGTCATCTGACCCCTAAGTGACCCCAAAGTGACCCTAAACCCCCGTCAGAAAAATCAAATCAGAGTTTAGATAAAGATCAGGAAGGACACCTGAATCATTGATGAATTACAGCTTCAGCCAGAGCAAGTAGGGCTCTGCAGATACTCTGACCTGGTTTTCTTCTGTTCAGGAGGTCCAGGAGTGTACGACCCCTGTGAGCGGGAACCCACAGACGTCCTGAGTGAGCTCAGTGCCCAGCAGGCTGACACCATCACAGAGAGTGCACAGGTCAGTCCTCTTCCCCCATCTTTCCTGAGTATAATGGTGAATACAGTCAAATCTCCTATTCTTCCTTGAAAGGGCAACTGGACTCAGGAGGTCCCTAAGGAAGAGCCAAAAGAATCCCAACATCCCTCTTTTGTCCACTTTCAGTCGAGATCATCACCTGTTCCACACTGTTTTAAGTTTATGGGATATTTTTGTATTTTATTTAAGTGTGTCCCAGCAGAGCATTTAAGGGTTTAAGACTTGCTCAAGGGCACTTTGTCAGCAGCTTTTAAGAAAGAAAAGAACTTTTCCCACATTCATTATCCCTCCTGCTCCAGGGATCAGACATTAAAAGCTACATTAACAGGTTCAGGTCTCACTATTGGGCCTCAGCTGCCTGCTTTAATGGATCCCAAAAGTGACGAGGTCAGAACACTTAGGGGTGGAGCTGCTTCTCTTTAAATAAGAGGGAGTCCAGAGTTTGGACTCAGAGGATGATGATCATCTGCAGATGTTCCTCGGCTCTGTCATTATCCTGTCAAAAAATGTCGTCTGATTTTTCTCTTAACTTCACATCCATGACGGTAAGTCTTTTATTAGAACTGCTCCTTTAAATTTCCCCCTCGGAGCCGAATAAAAACTCCCCTTCCTGTTTCCTGCCATAAAAGTGGCCGCAAACACTTACTTAAACGAGTGGAATCATTAGAGGAAATTCCCACCAAGCCGCACCTCCACGCTGCCTGCACATCCTCAGTCAGTGTTTCCTCCAGGATCCCCCCATGTGTCCGTCCTATTGAAGGAGGATTTTTAAGGCCAGTCTCCGGCTGCGGCGATGAAACTCCTAAGGTCATGTCTGATCTATAAATATCTGATGACTGTACACTCTGACCGCAGACCAGCCTGATGAGCTGACACTGGCATAATTAGTCACCTAATGAGCGTGGGAAAATACTCATCTCTCAGCACGCTCATAACCTTTAATTGAATCTGTGAAGGCTCCATTAAGGCTGAACAATATCTACAGGTGTAGGAGCAACATCTGCTGACATCCAGACAAAGACTTTTTCAGGGAAGACCTTCATATTTCAGGAGGACAATGACAAACCACATTCTGACAACAGTGATTACAACAGTATGGATCTGTAGGAGAAAAGTCCTGCTGAGAAACTGGTCTGCCTGCAGTCCTGACTGTCCCCCATTAAAAACATTTGGAGCATCATGACACCAAAAACAAGACAAAGGAGACCCTGAACTGTTGAGCAGCTGAAATCCTCTATCAGGCAAGAATGGGACAATAGTTTACTATCAGACTCCAGAACCTGGTCTGCTGTATTCACTACAGAGGGTTGGTAAAGAAGAGCTAAAGACACAAAATGAGAAACATGAACCCACATAGACTGTGTATAGAATGGATGCCGTCAACCTCCTCGCTGGGTGAAGCCACTTCGAGAACAGCACCCTCCGGTGACAGGCTGCAGTGTAGGTCATAAATCCTGCCTCCTCCAGCAATCCTTATGGAGCTGTGGACAAACTTTAGAAATTTATTACACAGAACATAAATTATTTTCCCCCTTGGTTGCGGTGTTGACATGTAGTTACTGTAAGACTGGTTTGTGCTCCAGTCTGCCTTTTCCTGTCCAGCTCCATTTTTAAAAGTTATTAGGGGGTTCATGTTTTCTATGATTGACACTTGATACAGCCTATGGGTGTACAAAAATAGCATAGCTCACCCATAACAGCTGTATATCCATTGCTTTGTGGAGGGCTTCAGTCTTTTTCAGACTGTTTCTGTTCCTCATTGTCTGCTGTGTTTCAGTCGAAAAGAGACCTGTTTCCCTCCGCTTCTTTTGAGGCTGGTTTGGATGTTTTCAATTTGCTTCATTTGTGAATGAATTCACTCTCCTTGTTTTTTCTCTCTTTTTTGATGTTTTTTGTTTCTTTTTTACTCTTACTCCTTCGTCTTTTGGCCGACTTTAGGGGGATTTAACAGTAATCAAACTGCAGCTACCCAACCATCCACCGCACTGCTGCTGCTGGTCTCCCCTCAGGCAGAGAAACATGAAGACATCCTCAGATTCCTCTCCTCCTCTCTGCTCTCTCTGCTGTTCTGCCAGTCTGGGAAATATTTCCCTTCTTCTTCTTTTCCTCCTTTGTCTGCATGTTTATTCCTCCTTTTTATAATGCATGAACTTTCCCCCAGCAGAATCTGTGGGTTTACAAAAACCTGAGAGTTTCCTTGATAATTCAAACCTATTGATCCCACAGAAAACAGGATCACTGCTCCACCGAGCGCAGAGATCTGTTTGTTCACAAGTCAACTAATGTGCCCTTATTCTGTCTGCTGTGTGTGTGTGTGTGTGTGTGTGTGTGTGTGTGTGTGTGTGTGTGTGTGTGTGTGTGTGTGTGTGTGTGTGTGTGTGTGTGTTTTCCAGCACGCCTTACGCCTCCTCGCCTTCGGACAGCTCTACAAGGTCCTGAATATGGATCCTCTCCCTGCCAGCAAACCCTTACCTCGGCTGTTAGAAGGTGTGTGTTAAGCTCTGTTTGTGTGTTTATCTGAGACATGTTTTTGAAGTGTGTGTATGTGTGTCTTCCTGTTTTCATGGTTGTGTATGCTTCTTGTAGCTGTAAATCTCGTATTTCTCTGCAGTTCAGACACATCCTGGAGTGTGTGTTGTTTTGATGTCTCAGCTGATTGGTGTGTGTGTGTGTGTGTGTGTGTGTGTGTGTGTGTGTGTGTGTGTGTGTGTGTGTGTGTGTGTGTGTGTGTGTGTGTGTGTGTGTGTGTGTTTGTTTTGTCCCTACAGGCTGTCAGAAGAGGCTCCGGGACGATGTGGGCTCCGATGACAGAGACTTCATCAAAAGGCTGAAAGGTGACTCTTAGCATGGAGTGGTTTTTCAGACTCATGGTTTGTTCCTGTTGCTCTCACCTTTGAAACAGAACACACCCTTTAGCAGCCCATGGAGAGGTTCAAGCAGCAGGCTGCTAGCCCACCTACTCTCTCATTTAGGGTTATGAGTGAGTGTTGCTTTATCTACAGGTACGATCACTTAGGACTGGGTGATTTGGCAAAAAAATGATCATGATAGATTTTGTCATATTTTCTGATCTTGATTATTATCACCATTTTTTTTTCATTTTTTAAACTGCCAGTTTTAAAGCACCTGTACTAAATACTAAAGAAACTAGGGATTAGTTCAACATTTTATTAACATACAAAGTAGATAACAATGCAAATTGAATAAGATACACTTAGAAAATATTAAAACCATGTTAACTCAACAATTAAACAAATGTAGATAAATACTAAATAATCCACTAAACTATTTTACCGTCCTGAGTGTTTTCGCGCGTATGCAAGACCCAAAATAAACAATTGGCCCCCTCAGGAATAATACAGATGTCCTAAAAAGTAGACATTAGATGATGTAAATATGAGATGATACGATTGATTGCTGCTTTGGTCTGGTGGCTGTACCGCTAGTTGTGGCTAAACTGCTAATGCTACTTGTGCTGTCGGCAGTGACAGGCTGTACAGACTCCACTCGCATTTTCATGCTTTCTGCATAATCACTGAGGAAGAACTTCTACAAATGATCTGTTGTGTTGCTGGTTTTTGAGGACACCGACCACCGACATACTTGCACATCGGCTTAATTGCTCGACATCACTTTGGAGATACCCCAGCCACCGCCACACAACCGACATTAAATAACTTTTGTTCTGAAGGGTATTATAACTGAAACCTCCAGTTCTTGAAAATCCAAAGTTTATTTCAAAAGTGGATCCTCTCTTTTTGTCATGGACTAAGCTGCCTGACTTGAGGTATCACAGGGATTAATAATAGTCTGAGAATTTGGTGAGCAGGAAAAAAAACCTTGAACTGGTTGTTTTCCGCCATTTGATCCTGAAATGTTTGGGACATTTGAAGGACTTTGTACATGTGTAAATATGGCTGAAATGATGACTGTGACGATGCAGCATGATTTTAAAAGGACAGAGAGTCTGCTGTGATTTTGTCTTCTCATCAACATGAAAAAGAGTGAACCTCATGCTGTAAATCCCGCAGTCAGTCCACGCTGCGGCAGCATTCCTGCCTGTAGTTTCCTTACTTTGCTGACACAGTGGAATAAATGTGGGGGCAATCTGTGGACTCCGAGCCGGAGTTCGTCCGCAGTCTCCTGCAGTGCTGAGAGATTTGTTAGAGAGTCAGGATGGTGTTAAAAATGCAAAATTAAGAGTTTAAATCACAGTGAGAACAACGGGAGGCAGGCAGTTACAGTCACTGTGGAGTCTCTGATCAGGAATCTGCGAATGCTTCAGCACATGCTCTGTAAGACTCAGCTGCATCATCAAAGGATAAAAAGAAAACCTCCAAACTTTGTAAGCCATGCAGATTAGCAAAGACTAAAAATGAGATGTTTAAAGGCTTATTAGTCACATACAAGCCCTGAGGCAGCTCTGAGTCCTCAGAAAGGACAGGATATTTGTGTTTGAGCAACAGGTAAAGAGTGTATTGATCCAAGAGCTGTCGCCTCCTTGTTGCTAATGACAGAGTGTGTGTGTGTGTGTGTGTGTGTGTGTGTGTGTGTGTGTGTGTGTGTGTGTGTGTGTGTGTGTGTGTGTTCGGTCTGTAAACACCGCTCTTTGACAGACTGTGTGTAAAAGGTGTAAAAGTGGTTCAGTGGAGCAGAAAGCAGCAAGCAGTGAGGCTGAGGATCAGGATGAACTGTCAGAGTAAAAACACATCCTGCTGTCAGACATGGTCCGACCCTGAATCTGACCCTGACCAGTGTCTAGAACCTGCCCTCGTATCCTCGCAGAATCATGAAAAGACCCCGTCTCTATGTCGGCCTGTATTTCACTCTCTCAGCCAGCAGAGGATGTTATCCCTCGAAGCATAAAAGAGTGGAGATAACAGATCCATAAAGAGCCTAAGATAGAGAGAGAGCGAGAGAGAGAGAGAGAAGGAGAAGCTGCTGGAGCTGAAGGAGTTGATGGAGGAGGTTATCAGGGATCAATGTGCTTCACTGTGCAGGTTAGAGAAGGTGTGAGTCTCTTTATTAGAGAGTCCAGGGCAGTTTTTTAGCCACCCACAGCCCCATTCACAAAGATCCTTGATTCTGGTCCACAGTTTTAGGGCTCATCTTCTTTTACTTGGACAAACGGTCTGTTTGTGTGCCCTCAAACATTAAAAAGCACAAAGACGAGCAGTACAACACCATCTTTAATCCATCTCATTTCTCCAGGTGTGACTGTTGCATGTTTACACTCTGAGGTCATGTGATTCTCAGATACAGACACTGCCTGCAGAGCTGTTTGTTTCTTCACTTGCTCCAGTGAGGGGCTGCAGATGGACATTAATTGTAGGGTAGTCCTGGACAATGAGAGCGTGGTGACAGCATGATTGATCCTATGCAAAGTGTATATTACAATCTGGGTGCAGGTGTGTTAGTGATGTTGGTGAAAGAGGATGAATCTGAGGGTTTGAGTGTGTGTACAAGCTGGAGCTGCAGGTAAATGTTTCTCCTTCTGCAGCATTTTCACACACCTTGATTTTACTGTCATATAACCTTGGCTGCTTCTGCCACAAACTGAAGTTATTGATGTTAAAATATTGATGTTATGTGACTTCAGACGCCCAGAAAACTTTGTACTTAAAACTTCACTTCCACCTGTACAGGTCAGCATCTTTTTTCCTACAATCAGCAGAACTGCCCTGAAAGTTCACTTGTCATTAGCTAATGAACTCAAATGTTTTTTGACGGTCACTTTAGCAGGTTTCAGGTCCCACCTCACAATAAAATTTGACATGATTCATAATTTGAAAGTTTTAGCTTTGGTTTACAGTTTTTACTAAGCTTAACTGAACTTTTTATCAAACTGGAGAGAAGTTAGAGTGAATAGCAAGAAAAAAACATCTTCATCAGCCCAGGTGACACATCTCACCTTTAGGAGCTTTATAGTAGGATTACGCAGTTTTATTACAGGTGTAGGAGAGTTTCTCATCCTATAAAGGAAGCTGCAGGATTTCCATTTTAATTGAGCAGCCTATTATTTTCCTTTGCCTCCTCTTTAATCAGTTTCTCTCCTGCATGCTTTCTACTCTACCCTTTATGCTTCATCACATCCCTGCTCTGCAAAAGAATACAAACTCATCTGAGCAGATGATGGTTTCCTTATCCTCTGTTGTCAAATTCTGCTGAACCCATGCAGCCTCAGTGTCCTGCTTAGAGTGGGCCTCTTCTGCTGATGGAGCTCATTTGCTCCAACATGTGTGTTCAGAGAGGCTCTTCTGCAAACCATGGTTTGATTTGAGTAACTGTTGTCTTCCTATCAGCTTGAATCAGTCTGTCTGTTCGCTGTGAACCTCAGAGATGGTTGAGTTAAAACCCCAGCAGACCAGCTGTTCCTGAGCTACTCAGATCAACAACCACGCTGGGTTCACAGTCATTTTATAGTCACCTGCCCTACTTGTCATGGTGCTCCTGTGAATCTCAGCAGATCCTCTGGAACAGGCCATTGTGCTTCAATGTGTTAATTGCAGGAATGGCTGATTGGATGTTATGTTTGCATTAATGTGCAGGTGTCCCTAATGTTGTAGCAGGTTGACTGTGTTTTAGTTAAAGTCTTATAAGAAAATATGCAGGTTTGAGTGCCCCCCCCCCCACTGTCTCTCCCTCTCTCTCTCTCCCTCCCTCCCTCCTCTCCTCTCTCTCCTCTCTCTCCCTGTCAGTGTAACAGTAATTAATTAAATTGTCCCTTACTGAGATCTCGTTTTATCTGCTCCCAGTTCAGAGGAGGTGATGGAGGCTGAGATAGAGAGAGATTAATACTGCAGGCTGCTGCCACACAATTATCAACCACCTCCCTCCCTCCCCCCCTCCCTCACATACGCACACACACACACACACACACACACACACACACACACACACACACACAGCAGTGACACCTCCCTTCTCTCTCTGAACACCTGTCCATCTCATCCTTCACCTTCACACTCACAGCGTCTCCTCCATATTTATCCGGAGCATCCACACACTGCAGAATAAATGCTGGTGTGTGTCCACGGTTCAAATGCATCAAGTGTCCTCTCAGACACCTGTCATAGAGAGGTGACACCTGTAGGCGGCCATATTGGAGGGATAAATTCTTCAGAGTTACCTCCATCCATATGTCAGAGAAATTTCAGAAACTTTTCAAGCTTAAGTGTCAGAAACTTCTTTGTGTGCCTCTTGTGAATCGCCACAGGGAAGTGATCCTCATGAGGTTGTTTAATTAGTATTACTGGAAATGTTCATTCTATCCAGACGCCCTCTGTAGCTGTTCTCACACATTTTCCAGACAATTTCAGGACATTTATTTAACATGTAAAATGTGAAATCTGTGGGATAAGATAGTAGTATTAAGCAGTTTTAAGTGTCTGCTGTACAATCAGTCAGTATGTTGAGCAAAAGCAGGAGGAACACAGTCCTCCATAAAGACCTCCAGCTCCCATGGTTGGTTTCTGTAGAAACTGATATCTGCAAGAAGATCAGCTAACAATCTGTTCTAGATCAAAGATTTACACTAAGACACTAATCTGACTGATGCTCAGTCACTGAAGACAATCAGAGTTTAGACTTACAGACTTCCCTGAATGTATCAGACATGATGGGTCTGACCTCCATTCAACAAATAAACATATTCAAAGTAGTTTTCTTTTCTTCTCTCGTGGACAGACCTGACAAAGCTGGACTTTGGACTCTGGACAAATCTGCGTCATGATGTTGATGTTTCAGCAAAGTGAAGATCAGTTCATGAGAAGAACATCACAAGAACATCATTTTCTGTTTCAGGTTCACACTGAAACAGCCTCATATTTAATCCAGTTCATTTGGGTCTTCTCACAGTCTTCACAGACAGAGTAAATCATGTAAGCCAGGTTGACAAAGATTGGCTTGAAACAGAAATTAAATAAGCTTTTATTTGGAAGGCTGTCCGTGATTCTGCTCAAATAGATGTCGCAGGGTGTCAGCGTTTCATTTTCAGTTCATCTGTGAGATATTTCAGAAATCTCTGCAGCCCAGCTCTCTTCATCTCTGTCAGCGTGGAAGTGTAAAGTGATCTGACCCCTTTGAGGAGAGGAGGGGAGAAGAGGAGGAGAAGTAGGGTCGCTCTCATCTCAGACCCTTCAGCTCATTATTAGGAGACAGGGAAAGGGCTTAGCCAATCAGGCAGCTCCTGAGGCTTCCTGGTTCTGTCTTTATTAGAGGAGTGAGCCCTCTGTCTGATAGCTTATTATCCTTTATTATTGAGTCTGTGCACCAGAGCCTGGCTCATATTTCAAGGTCTAAGTGTCAGATTTTTATTTATCTTGCAAACATGCAGCGAAATATTAATCTTTGTTTTTGAATTGGAATAAAATCCAAAAGGACAAACAACTGACTTAGAAATCCCTTAAACCCCTCAGGATCCAGGTTTTATTTTTTATATACATCATGAATTTTTGATTTCAAACAGCGTCAGACCGTAACAAGTAAGGATCACCACAGCTGCAAACTGCCTCCCTTCATGAGTTGAGTTTGAATGCGTCTGCAGAAATGATGTGCTTCTCCCTTGGCAGAATCTGGGCTATCGTTTTGGGTGGGGGTCGCTCTGCATCATTTGAAGTTGTTCATGTTTAGAAACTGTTTCAGATTAAGTTAACTGGCTATCTTCACTGCCTCTTCTCTTTAGTCCTTGACTGGAGGATGACCGATCCCAACCACCCCATGAACGCTCTGATGCGTCTGAACCAGATCCACCCAGGCCTCCAGTACCGCCTGCTGTCCCAGTCCGGTCCAGTCCACGCTCCGGTCTTCACCATGTCTGTGGACATCCAGGGAACCTCATACCAGGCCACAGGGAACTCCAAGAGGACTGCCAAACTCCAGGTGGCACTAAAGGTACAGGGCTGAGGTTCAACTCTGACTGCTGGAGGATTTCCAACTATTGAAGCTTTAGTGTGATGATTTCTCAAAAGCTTTATACCAGGGGGTTTCTAAAGATATGTGTCACACTGATGATTAGAGCTATATGTGGAAAAAACACACTGACAAGTCCATAGACAGACAGACAGACCTGACTGAGATCAGTCCGTCTCTGGAACACTGAGAGGACTGTATGATTAGTTATCACAAATCATTCAAACTGATCAAAACAATGATCTCATCAGCCATGCTTATGGTTCAGACCGTGTGTTCCTGTTGATGGTGTTGTTATTAGGGATGATGATGATGATGATGATGATGATGATGATGGTGATGATAGAATAGAATAGAATATTCCTTTATTGATCCCCATGGGGGAAATTTTTTTGTCACAGCAGCATCACAGACAAAGAGTGCAAAAATTCAGTTATAAAAATAAAGATTGTAATATTAAGAACTTAGATAAATGTAATAATTAAGAAAAAAATTTGAAAAAGGAAAAAGGGAGAAGAAAAATAAAACTATCTACAATATACACAATTTAAATGCCAGAAAAAAAGTGGTGGTGTGAGTCCAGTTTTATTGCAGTTCGTTGTAAAGTCTTATTGCAGAAGGGAGGAATGACCTGCGGTAGCGCTCCGTCCTGCAAGGTGGAAGTCTAAGTCTGCTGCTGAAGGAGCTGCTTAAAGCCCCCACAGTCTGGTGCAGTGGGTGAGAGGGATTGTCCATGATGGATACAAGATGTTGATGATGATGATGTTCTCTTTGCAACTTCTCTTCGCAGCTGCTCACTGCCTTGCTCATGGACAGATCAGTCAGAAATTACTTATGAGTGATTCATGTCCCATCTGTGGTGCATTCAGGGACCGTCGGAAAATCTCTTATAATCAGATGAATGTAATTGTCTTTGTGTCTTTGTCTTCATCAGGCGCTGCAGGCTCTGGGCTTTGTACTCGGCAGAGATGGAGACCTGGACTCTCTGAGCGCCGACGAGAAGTCAGATGGAGAAGGAAAGAACGACCGGATGTCCACCAGCTCCAGCTCCACCTCCATCACCTCCTCCACAGACATGCAAGAGGTGGGAGGAGCACACACACATACACACAAACACATATGCACAACACACACACACACACAGAATTGTAGAGTGAGCCTGTCATGCGATGGGAGTTCATCACTTATCACAACAACTCTTCACTCAGCCTCATTCAAAAGCCAAAATAATTCACACTGAAAAGCTGAAGCGTTGATTTGCATTCAAATAAATAAAAAAAATGAGTTCATCCAGCCTCCTCAGTGTGAGTTGAGTCTTTTAGAGCTGTGCTGCTGAATAAAGAGAAAATCAAGAGTGTTTCCAAAAGAGGTTTGACACTGACATCGTTGGTCAGTCTGCACTAGAAGGAACCCTGAGCCCAGGAGATTTCGTTTCTTCTTTAGGGAACACGTACATGTCGGTCTTCTAACTTACAGATAAGAGTGAACCCCGTCCTAAAACAGCCAACCATCCAATTCTTATTCCTGATTCTAAAGCTGCAGAAGCAGACAGTTTTTACTCTGAATGATAGATGTGACTATCAGAAGGGGTTGGCTGACACTCACAAACACTCTTAAAGACCCACTTCAATAAAATTTTGTTTTTCTTGCTGTCTACATGTTCATATGGCACATGTCATAAGAAAAGTAAATGTGAAATTGCTTTTCTGAGTATTTCTTAATTCAAATAGCTGTGAATCTCTGGCAGACCCAAATGGCAGGTTCAGGCACAGTGAGATTTTCTACTTAGCAAATCCAAGCTCCGCCCACAGAGACCTGCAAGCCACACTCGGAAAAGTAAAGAGGATGATTGCGCAACAAGCGTGTGCATTAGCGAATTGCAATGCTCGTAAGAAAAATATTTATGATGGTAACTTTTATCGTGCCCCTAAAGACACAATGGTCCGAGAGCTGAATAGCTCCTATATAAATTGCTACTTTTACTACACCGGCAATGTTAGGAAGCAAGCTAGCAGGAAGAGGAGTCTGCAGAGCAGTGCTGTCTCCATCCAAGACTCAGAGGCTAATTGCTAATGATCTACTGGAGCTCTGCAGAAGAGAAGTCCTTGAAAATGACACAGGTAATGTGAATTTGGCTAAAATCTTCCTAATCACAATTTAAAGGCCACTGAGAACATTTTAAATAATACAAAGAATACAATTAGAGTGGGACTTCAAAGGACAGGAACTTTTCTCGATGAGTTAGTGGAACAGTCTTTCTCCCATGACATGATGGCAGTATCAGAATAAACAGAGGTTTGTTTGATGATGATGTTAATGTTCAGAGGAGTAAGGTGAAATTTACTGAACAGACTGTAGTCTACACAGATGAAATAGTAAAACACACACAGGACAAAGCCAAACATCCGTATCCACTCTCTCCACTGTCAGTACTGATAAATGTCATAATAGATCACAGTGGTCACAGTGAGTTTAAGAAGCCAGCAGCTGATTGGATAAAGACAGTCTGTGTCTGTTCATGCTGCACCTGGAGAGACTGAACCTCTGGATGGATCTGAAACTCCTCGTGTAAACTCAGGTCCTAAACAATGGTGACAGCTGTCATCTCATACAGTTGCTGAGAGTTATTCGCTTTGATGTTAGAGTAAACAGAGGAGAGCGGACTGAATCCTGTTTGTGCATGAGTGTAAATCTGTCTGTGTCAGCCTGAACCCGCAAGCTCAACATATAGACAACAGAGGTGCAGAAGAAAGAGGATGTAAAACACTCAAATCAGGTTGAACTCTGTGTTTTCTTGAACTGCATGTCTATATTAGTGCAAATATTATGTCCATGGTTGTGTGTGTGGCTGACTTCTAGTGTTTTTGCACCTTCCCTCTTTTTTTCTTGTGTTTGTTTCTTCCCTCCATTTTTGTCTGGATTTTGTCCACATGCAGAGCTCAGGTCAGTGCATGTATTCGTGTGAAAAGTCAATTAAATGTAATTGTTCAAAAACTCTCTCTCTCTTTCTCTCAGTCAAGAGCTCCAGGTCCCATCCTGACAGCGGGGGGCAAAAACCCAGTGATGGAGCTAAACGAGAAACGTCGCGGCCTCAAATATGAGCTGATATCAGAGAGCGGCAACAGCTATGACAAACGCTTCATCATAGAGGTAAGCACACACACACAGAGTGCTCTGCTTCATAGATTTCCTGTCTGCCTTTCAGAGAATCTTACTAGGAATTGATGAAGAGTGAGAGTGTTTGATGTCGGTGCTTCTTGCATTTAAAACATCCTCACACGTCTGAAAACAGCAGGAGAGACAGTTAAACATGAAGTCAATTTCATCCTTTAAAGTCAAACTGAATCACATGTCAGACTTGCAGTTTGTACCTTCAAAGGTTTCAAGTCTTCACGTCGTGGTCTTATTAAGCAGCAGCATCTTGTTTTTCTTCAAAGTAGATCTTTTAATCTCCTCCTAATTTCAGCTGTAAAGACACAAATACTGAGAGAGAAGAGAGGGTTTTTCAGGTTATTATAAGACTTGACATAAATCCCTCCCCCTCTCTGTGACAGGTGGAGGTGGATAAGCAGGTGTTTCGGGGGACAGGTCCGAATAAGAAAGTGGCTAAAGCCAGCGCTGCGCTCGCAGCCCTGAACAGCCTTTTCTGCGGATCCAAATCCACGAGCAACAAGAAGAAACGGCCAAATCCTCCTGTGAGTGAAAAAACACAGCTACACTTAAAGATCATACAGAGTCATATGCTCATGTACTACGCTTTGTGTGTGTGTGTGTGTGTGTGTGTGTGTGTGTGTGTGTGTGCAGCCAAAGCGGCCTATAACCTCAGTGCTGACCCTCCCCAACCTGGCTGCCAGACCTCCTCGAGTCCCTGTCATTCCCAGAGCACCGTACATCAGCAACCCCCAGACACACGGATACATCCCCCCAGGTGAGTCAACTACCTGAACACAGCTAACACAGATGTTTGGATCTGCACTGGGTCAAAATAAAAGCCTGTTTTATGAAGATACAACACTTGGATAATCTGAGACAGGATGAATGTACAGCTGTAACCACATGAAGCCACTAACACGGCATTATTTGTGCAGTACCAGTTCAGTTCTGCTGAGGATAAGAGGTGGAACGATACAGGATTTTATTCCAGAAGAAAACCCAAGAACAATGATGTAATGACACAGATAACCATCGTTTACGTCCCTGAGATCAGACACCACATTTTCAACAATTTTATTACTTGATCCAACCAGCGTGTCAGGACCATCAGCCCTAAAGACGATGGTTTTATCTTGTGTAGTGGAGTGGTCCAGTTTGGTTCAGTACAGTTTTGGTACAGAAAACCCTGACCTTGTTTGCATTTCCGCAGCAGACTACTTCACACAGGAAGCATTTTGGCTGTGTGTCAGCATTGCATCAGCCACATTTTTGGCGTTCATGTTTACAGATCAGACTGTTCAGGTGTGAACATCTCTCCTGGATTCTCCAAAAAACATTCAAATTTCAGCCAAAAGTGGACAGGTTCATAATTCTTTTCAAAGTTAAAGCCCAGTAAGCTTTTATCTGTGGAGAGATCCCCCATGTGCTCACACAGTGCTTTCTTTTTAAGTCATTTTCAGGACAGTTATTTGATGAAAGAAGGAACTCGCATTGCCCGCTATTGGAGCTGAGGGTATATTTCAGTTGAAAAAAATTGTTGTGAATCAGATGGACTGTGTATTAACTGTGTTTGTTACTAAATGACATTTGGTCCTGGGCGATAGTTTATATTTTTACATCAATGTAGAAACAGATTTTTCTGTGAAATCCTTCCAAAACAGACATGTAAACAAAAGCTCAAAGTAAAGTTCAAATATAGTCTTTGAAAAAGTCTTTCAGCCACAAAGGCTTCAAAATATTCATCAATATTTATTGATTCATTTATTTTTAATGTAAAAAAAGATCCAAAAAGGAAACGCGGTTTTTGCAGAAGTTAAAATCTTGAAACATAGTTTAACTGGATTGGGTAACTCTTTTTGTTTCCTGTGAACTTTTTACACTGTGTCATTTTGTCTCTCTGCTATCAGGTTTTGGAGCTCCATATGGTTACAGCCCTGCGGGAGCTCTTCCTCCTTACGGTAAACACTCTCTCTACTCTTTGACCTGATCAATAATCTCATTTATAATCCATCATTTTGATTTATTTTGAGTTCCTTTTTAATTTTAATTTTTCCTCAGGTTTTCCCTCCAGAATGACCTCAGTAGTTCTCCCCATCATCAGAGTCCCCACAACATACCCTGTCACCCACCTGTACCCTTACTAGGACCCTCACTTCACCTCTCCTCACAGGACATCATTTGTTTCTGTTACATCCATATTTTTTTCTGTTTTCTCAACAAACCTCAAACACCGGCACTGGAATCCTCAAACTCAAACCAGTCCTCCTAGTCAGCATCGTCAGAGTCTTCCAGCCAGTTCCCACAAACTGGTTATCAGAAAACTAGGTTTACAGTCATTAGCTGGTCAGTTAACTGTGTGACAGACAGGCTCTTTGGTTGTCATCTCATTATTGACAAAAAATATCGAGTTTGATGAGTGTGTGAGAGAGTTTAGTTTTCTATGTTGTGCATCTGGTACAACATAGGGAACTTAACAGACGCTCTCTACAAGGTGTTCTGTTAAGATTAAAAATAAGATGTTTGCGAGGGAGTAAATGCAAACAAAAAGTCTCCTCATATTGCTAACTCCTTAATTAATCACCCCAAAAAAGAAACAAATGTCCTCTACAAACTGGGCAAAAATCACAATTCCTTAAAATGTGTTCCTAACTGAATTCTTAGCCAATACAGGGAACTAACTTAAGGTCACTGAAGAGATACTGAAAAAAGTTGAACATCAGGATTTCACATCGTACCAAACATTTCTTACTAAAGAAGAAAACATTTAAATAACGAAGTTTTCCTTAAGACTCACACTGCAATACGATACTATAAATAAACTCTAAGGAACTAAACATTGTGTGCAGGGAACTAGAAATATTATCAACCAACCCATCCTGTATTAAAATCCAAAATACTCTTTAGTAGACAAGCTTGTTAACATTGAAGGGAACTATAACTATATATGCAATGTAGTAATCATCGAGATAGAAACATAGTTGTAGTTATTTCGATGTCATATGGTATTCACTTCAGGGAACAATTTTTACACCAACTAACACAGAAAAATACCTGGTTTAGGGAACTAAAAAAGCTTCTACATCTCAAACCCTAGTAAATATACAATAGATCAGGCAATAGGAAACTAAACTGATAAAAATTAGGGAACTAAACATTGTTTGCAGGGAACTACAGAAGCTAGTAATCAACTAATAGTGAACAAGATAAACAATGTAGATGAATAAAGGAGGATATACAAAAGAATTGTAAAGGGCCAAAAAAAATACTTGCTGTAGGGAACAAGAGAAAGCAACCAAGGGAACCAGGCAACACAAAAGACAGGAACTGTGGGGAACTAGAAAACAGTTATAAGGAACTAAGAAACACTGAAAAAGGTGAATGTCCAGAACTAGGTACAACAAAAACAGCAACTTCAGAGAACTACACTAAAAAAGTGACCATAGGTAACTATGAAACACTGAAAATGGCAACAAAAGGGGACTGGAAGACTCTGAAAACAGCAACTGGGATAAGGGAACTGGGTACACTGCATACCCAAATGCAACACTGGTATATAAAACAAGTGATTAAAGAGCATCTTTGTCAAAGGTAAATTATTCTTTAAACTACCACTCATAGATGTGATTATTATTATTATTTTGCTGTGTTTTGGAAAGAGTTTTGAATCTTTTTTTTTTTTAAAAAAGGTTTACATTGGTTGGTTGCACTAAGAAACTTTCTCCTTTTCTTTGGATATTACTTATCCAGGTTTACAGTAACTGTTGAGCATCTGAACTGCTAAGCCATTTGGTGTTTGGATGAAACACTTTCTTTTCAGAGAGATTTTATTTTGACCTGTTTGTAGGTTATTTTCTGTCTTATTAAATTATTTTTGTCAAAGTTTCAGTCCAGTGCGGTTCATAAAGGTTTTTTTTTTTTTATGTTTCTTTGCATGTTCAGAGAATATTTACTTTTAAATGAGAATGATATTTTCTCTCCTGCTTACCTGTGTTGTCTCCTGTCTGTAGGCGGTCTATACATCGACAGTGCCTATTACCAGCCTCAGACCATCACCACACCAATAATCATCCACCTGGGTCCTCAGGATCTTTTCTGACCCTGCCTACTTCAAGTTTAATCCCTCACCCTTATTAAACTCTGTCAGCGCCTTTGTATTTCTGCAGGGCTGCACCTCCAGCTGCCTCCATCCTCACAGAATGCAGCAGCAATATTGAAAGCAATATAGAGGAGGAGGAGAGGGAGGAAACACCTCGGGCCACTTTCTGTCGGTTCCAGGTTTGTTTTTAAAAAAGAGAAGGATGCAGACTTAACGTCAATAAACACAAAGCAATATTTTTCCTGCCTTCGGGAATCTCAACGAGCTCCAAAGTAACTCCATTTGAAGTCTAAACACGCTATTAGCTACAGCACATTGACAGCAGAGTGACACGTTGTATGTAAATATAGTATTTACTATCTGTATATGGATGTATGTGAGTTTTGAATATATATAAATATATAAACATGTTAATATATTTGAATATGTAAAACCCAGCAACAAGAAATGAAACAAATTTATAATAGATCTCTGAATGTAAATACAGTCATGAATGAGAAAGATTTGTGTTTTAAACACTGCCTACGGAGTCAGAAAAGTACCAAAATAGGAACAAATAAAAAATGGGACTTTTAAAAATAATTAACTGAAATAGGAAATGTTTTAAATTTGATGAAATTGGAAGGACTCTGTCATTATCTGTCTTTCTCGAAGAATTCAGAAATCTTTTTAGTTGTAACTTATTTTATGAATCTGACCTTAATTCAGACTTTTGATTTTACTCAGAAATTTAGTTTTGTTTTTCTAAGAATTGATTTTTTTTCTCAGATTTCTGTGATTTATATCAAACTTTTAACTTTGCAGGATTCTGAATTTCTCTGAATCTCAGACATTTTTCTCATAAATCAGAGATTAGGGTCAAAATTCTGAATTTGATCTCAAAGGTTCAACTTAAATCTCATGTTTTAGTTTTTCCAAGATTTTTAATTTTTATGTGAAATCTGGGATTTAGGTCAGAACTCTGACTTCATCAAAGAATTCTGACTGTTTCTTGGAATTCTGGTGTACAATTCTAAATTTTTGACTTTTTCTTAAGTATTGATATTTAATAATTGACAGAATTCTGTTTTAATCCCAAATTTCTGACTTTGTTCTCAGAACTCATTGGGGAAAAAGTAAGAATAAAATAATGTCAGACCCCTTTTTTGGTCCTTATCCTCTTCAACCTTTTACAAAACTTTTTTTATTCACAACTTTTTCAGATACCTCAAATACTTTTTTTTTATCAATTTCGTTCATTTTTCCTTATTTATTATTTTGGCACTTCTTTGACTCTGTAGCTCTGAAATATACTATCTACAAATATAAAGAGTTAAATACATTTTACAGCCTGTCTATAACAGTGTAATGGTATGTTGATGGTATATTATCTCTATTTAAACATTTGACCGAGAAGTCACTCCATATCTAAAAATGATACACATGAACCTGAATGATTTATTGTTCAGAGATTATTTTATAAACTTTCCCTTCAGCATCTCAATACAATGACTCCCAACCTGTAGTCAGTGTCCCTACAACAGGTCATGGGTCTAACCTGAAGAGTCAAGGGGTAAATATAAGGAAAGGAAATTTATTTGTCCACATATTTGTGTTTATTTTTCAGACCCAAATTACAGTGGAAATAGACGATGAAAAACCTTCAAGAAAATGTAAAGATTTTATGATTCTGTCAGCTTATCCCTGAAACAAAATTAGAAACTTCATATTACAGTTGATTATATGTTACAGAGAGTCATCCTAAGTGTTTTTGAATGTCTGTTTGTGGTTCATGAAGTTTAAAGACGTAACAAATAAAAAAATCCTTTCATTAAAAAAATGCAAAAATCATAGCACACATGTCTTAAAGCAATATTGAACTCAGGAACCTTCAAACCCACAGAAATGGAAATAAATTGGATCAGGAATGAAAGAAAATGTCACAAAGTTTGTGTTTCTGTGGATTTATTTAGCAGAATGTCTGTGTCTGTGATAATCTGTGCTGTTTCAATGTTGATGAATGTGTAAAGAAGAATGTATAACCAAATTTAATCACACCTGCAGAATAATTATCAGAAAAGCAGTACCGAGATTCATCATTAAGGAGGTAATGTAATCTACATCTTATATTTTATGTCGGTGTAACAACTGGAGATAAAATTCAGGGTCTAAAGGCTCCAACATTTGACCCAAAAACAGACATGATCATTAAAGTCCTGGTTACTGTGTTAACTTCATTGATGACAAATAGGTCATCGGAAAACTGCAGAGGTTAAGGGTAAACGACACAGATTTAGTTTTTGTCTGTCAGCAAAATGAGAGCAAAATTAGAAGTATGAAAAAGTTTATCAGTTTTGATGTTTTTGCAGAATTTGTAAAGCCATAGTCAGTTTAAAAAATGTGCAAAGACAAAATATCAAATGTTGAAACTGAAAATGACTGGTTATTCCCGAATAACCACTCTTTACCCGTTTGGTTTTTACTCTATAACAACTTTTTTGTCTGTTTGGTTGTCCCTCTTTGTGTTTTCAATTTAACATGAAAATAAGTTGCATTTTTCTTGGAGCAACATTTTTTTTTTTTTTCAGTTCCATTAGATACATTGACTTTACACAGTTTTACACTTCAGTACTGATTTTAAATGAATAGCAAACCTTTCAAAATTGGTTAGATCCGCATTTTTTCACAGCAGCTTGACTCTATTTATACTTAAACATGAAGGTGCAACTGTCAATCTGACTTCAGACATAATTTTTTTAATCATCTAATCCATCCTCAATTCTTAATTTGGTGTTTGGGCTTTACATTCTTTAGTGCACGCAGGAGGTCTCGGCTCTAAGTTGTACCCACTGGTTTTACCAGAAGCCCTTAAAAGTCAAGGTGTGTCACTATCAGATCAGCTGATGGATTTTGAGACTGTGCTCTCACCAACTGTTTTTAACCCTTTTGAATTTAAACTTAATGATCAAACTAAAACTCTCTCTTATTGAATTTAACTGTTTTGTCATTTCTTGATCTCTGTACCTTTTCTTCTGCACAGCTTCAGTAGTTTTCTCTATTTTTGTTCTCTGAATTCAAACAGCAGCAATAAAAATCCTGTTTTTGTTGGCAAAGATGTTTTTCTAATTTTGCAAAAGAAGTGCAAAAATGGGAAATTTCTAAACGAGTGTTTAGTGTTTAACCGGAATAGAAAAATCATGTCAGAAGCCTGGAAAAATATTGTGTTTGTAAGCTCCTCTTCTCTGAGGCGAGTCCTCCTGCATTCACACTGAGCTGCTGCAGAGATAATTACATCTGAGGAAGAAAATGAAGAGAAAGAAAAGTCTGATTACAGTGAGAATCATTAAACAGCCTTAAACATTAAGAGCAGCTGTTAGAGGGAGAATCAGTGGAAGTTAATGAGAGAAACAACGTGTCGGACGGCTGTTTGTGTCTCTGCAGGAAGATTGTTTCCCAACGTTCCCAAATGTCACCTCAGAGTAAGATGGCACAGGAACAGTCTTTTAAATGTTACTCTGGGGATCAGAGAAACATGCAGTTTAGCATCTCACACCAGAGGATAATAAAAAAGGCGTCAGTCACAGCATCTCTGTTTGTCCCCCCTGGTATAAAACTGAAATATTATTTAAATAAACTTTCATTATCCAGCAGTGCTGCTGTGTTTGGCCTCTATCTTCTTTTTGTTTTTACAGCACTTAAGTCAAATTACTCTGTCTCTCTGATGTCTTATGGGAGATACTCGACAAACCTTGGTATGCTGGAAAGTACCTGTAAAACCTTGATGCAGCTGTCTGAAAGCCTCTGCTCCTGCTTTAAACACTCCCCAGTGATGTTTCCTCTGTCTACTCGCTGTAAGAGCACTTGTTTTTACTCTTACAGCATAGTTTAATAATTTTGTCTTTATATTTCAATGAAGTTTCCCTCTATTCTTGCCCCTTACATCAATTCACTCCCTTTTTGTGTGTTCTCTGCTCACACTAAAGCGGGTGTATCCTGCCAAATGAGTCAATTTGGACCCTATTTTTGAGTCTTATGGAAGTGGGGTCCTGATCACACATTAATTATTATTCAGTAAACAAGGAGTATTATTCAGTAAACAACAACGCTGGTTGGCCAACAGCAAACTTCAGCTCAGTAAAAGCAGAGCTACAAGCTGATTCCTCAACTTCAGTATTTTTTTACTGATTGCACTCACATAAAATGGTCATCAATACCTGAAAGCACCACAGCAACACTCAGCCTGATAGAGGCAACCAAAAATGCATGGAGGCTCCATCCAGATGTCCGCTCGATCATTTTTATAAAATACCTTTTTCTCTCCAGTTTTTATACAAAGTTCTATCCATGTCAAAGATGTTTTTGAACATTTCATTGACTTCACAGCACAGACATGGTTTCAAACACCTGAATAGGCAAGCACAGGTTTTGCTAAGACAGATCTAACAGAGGGACAACAGATTTCTATCAACTTCAGAACCATTGTAATTTTTATGAGCAGAGTCAGTAAAACCAAGAAAAAAAGGGGAGAAAGATGGTCTGGAAACAAAATTTGTCGTTACCTACTGATAATAGCATATTTGTCAGTTTCTGTAAATGTAGAACTCCTCAGAACATTAATCTTATTTGCTGAGTGATGTCTGACTGAAACTGACCGTTAAGTTGAGCGTGTGTATTTGCTGCAGGTTTGATGTTCATGCAGCTGTTTCACCTTTTTTAAAGTTATCTTCATTTGCTGCATGTTTCCACCGCACAGCCTGTTGCATCTGCAGCACGTTTTTCCCAATGAGGATTGCTTGATTGTTACAAAATGTTTCCTTATAGGCCACCATAAAATCATAGACTGTAGAATAATGGACATAGTGTTGGTGATTCCTTCATTTTTGCTCTGAATGGGCCTTTTTTCTCTCTTAGTTTACGTTAACACTGCAGGTCAATTCCGATTTTTTTAAACATATATGCGAAACATATTTGATTTTTTCATGTAAGTGTGAATGGTGCAATTCTGATTTTTTCAAATCCGC